AACAGGCTTAAAGGAGGAAAGATTTATTTTGGCTCACCATTTCAGAGGTTTTAGTTCAAGAATGGCTGGATCCATTGCTTTGGGCCTGAGGTCAGGCAAATATCATGGTGGCAGAGTGAATGGTAAAGGTTGCTTGCCTCATTGCTTCATGGTGGACAGGAAGGGGATAGAGAGACAGAGAGAGAGAGAGAGAAGGCTCAAGATACCCTTTTAAGGCCGGCTCCTAGAGACTCACTTCCTCCAACTAGGCCCCACCTCCTAAAGTTTCCACTACCTCCTAAAATAGGGCCACCAGTTGGAGATCAAGTCTCAGTACATGAGTCCATGGGCACGCTTCATATTCAAACAATAACACTCACTTTAAACAAAATCTGTTATAAGCCAGTATATACAGAAGTTGTAACCTTACCTCTTTCTTTTCCCCATAGTCAAACCCATTGAGAAATAAACATAGGCATCAAATAAGGATTGAAACGTAATCTCCATTGCTGGTAAACTAAACTGGAGGAGCCATTTGGACTAGAGTGCAGACAGGCTTTCAAATACTTCCTTCTGAACCAGATAGACCCACCCACCCAGCTGTGGGGAAGAGGTCTGGGCACTTCCAGTAGGGACAGAAAGTAGAAAACAAATATCCCATGAGCAGATAGATCCCCAAAAGGAACTACCACGTAGGGATGGGGAATTTGGATTTTAACCTTTCCCAAGAGAAGCATGTGAACCAACCATCACACTCTTCACTCCACCCAAAGATACCCCAGGAATATATGGGAGGAGGGAAAGAAAAGCAGAAGCTAAACATGTGGGACTTTGAAGACATTTCTGCTGGACAAGGGGAAAGTACTACTGTTTCAAGTGTTGAGAAGCTGCCTACAGCTTGTCTTTGGGTTCAAGGTTGATTCCTTGGCATTCAGGAGAGTAGAGAGCAGAGCTGTGATTAGCCTAGGTGTAGGAGAGATGCATCATTTTCTCAGAAGCTCCGGCAAGAGAATGTTTTGGGCTGGGGAGATTCCAACAGCCCTAGCCACGCTGTCATTGACATAACCTGCCAATATCTGCTTCTCTATCTTCCTTGTACTTTAACCAGCCCTGCCATGCATGAAACTTTCTTGTAGGGAAGGAAAAATAGGGGAGAAAAGAGGCCACCAGCTCACACTGAAGAAGAATCTTCCCGCCCTTGGAAGATGGCACCTGTAGTAAGCATTGCTGTGGTGCAGCAGGGTGGGTGGGAACCAAGCATGAAAAATGCCTCCCTTTTCTTGAAGCAGTTCTTCAGTAATGTCCTCCTGCCACTGTGCCCTTGAACATTTGGCAGGTACCTCTGAAGGCTATGGGAAGCTGGCTTAATCTGGCTTGGCTTTACACAAGGTGTCTCTAAATTATTCCTGAGTCGTCCTTGGTTCAGAGAAATCACAGGAGGAGAAGGAGGTTTAATTAGAAGCCTGGGAAGTGCATTTCCTAGACTCAGCAGTCTTCTTGCAGAGGAAATATCAAGGTTCTTAGTGACTGTCTGTCAAGTGGTCACATTTGAATCTCATTACCTTGGGGCTGGAGGGCAGAAAGTCAGGACCTGACAGACAGCATCCGTCTGCCATGACAATGAAGGAGAAGATTACAAATCACAGCAGAAAGAGCAAATTGGTTCCCACTGGACTGGGAGATAGTGCCCAATCCATCAGGCCATTAGCCTGGCTAGGGACCTTATGGACCCCATAGCAGACTGACCATTTTCTCCTGATGCTTTGCTCCTCCAAGTCTGGGCTGATCGCATGCTTAAGTAGAGATGGTGGCCAATGCTGTGGGTTAACTGTAGGGATGAGGTGGAGTGGAGGGGAGGGGAGTTGGGTTAGAAAATGAACCCTACCCAAGTGCATCCATCAAGTGAACTGAATGTAATAAGCTTCATTGATCCTTAGGTTAAGAAATTATCTTTTGAACTTCCTTTAAAAAATAAGAGCCCCTCTTAGAGAACGGTCTCCTGGCATTGGTTACTTAACCCCAGGGGTGTCAAGCCTGATGCAAATCAGAACTGCTGGAGAGCTTCACCTGCTCCTTGGTCCCATTGCTGAACAATGAGATCAGAGTCTCTGGGACGGGGACAGTTTTAGAAAGCGCTCCCCGCTTTCTAAAGTGGAACACTGTTACCTTAAATAAGTAGGACATTGAGCAGGTTAAGTTGTGATAGGACAATCGTGGGAGGGAGAGATAAAAATTTCAGAGCTTTGATAAGCAGGGCATCATAGAGATTTATATTTTAGGATACTTTGTGTTTTAATAACAATTTATATTTTAATAATTTATAACTGTTTCTATGTTTAGTTGAGTGTAGTACTGGGGCTTGAACTCAGAGCCCCAAGCTTACTAGGCAGTTGCTCTATCACTTGAGTGGTAGAGCCCTCTTTGCCTTAGTTAATTTTTCAGATAGCATCTCACACCATTGCCCAAGATGGCCTGGTCCCTGATCCTCTGCTATACCTCTGGTGAAGCTGGGATTACAAGAGCGAGCTACTATGCCCAGATCTAGTGGTTTGCCTTTAATCAAGATATTCCAGTATTAGAAATAAGGTGAATACATAGATGTGATATTTTTTAAGAAGATATTTCCCAGAAGGCAACTGGGAATTTATTCAAGCCTCTTTGGATAATCTTAGAATGGTGGGAACGTTGAATTTTATTTTGTTGATGTTTTTGAGACAAGGTCTGGCTATGTAGCCCAGGCTGGCCTTAGATTCACAGTCCTCCTGCCTTACCTCCTCAAAGCTGGGATCAGGTGTGAACCACTACACCCAACACACTTCTTTTGTTTTAAAGCTAGACCTGATTATATAAAATTCATTCCTTTGAGAAATGAATTTTATTAAATTTAAAATTAAGTAGAGTTTAAATTTTGAAAATTTGTCAGAGTTTTCATAAGTAACTTCACTGCTCGACCAAAGGCTTTTTGTTGTATTTGCTTTTTATTTTTATTTACCCAGACTGGGTGTTGTGGCAGTGGGCTTGGGACATGAGGTAGCTAGGTGACCTGCATCCTGTGTCATCTTAGCCATGCCATTGGCACGATTACCTCAATCCCTGTGGCAACACACAGGGAAACCACATGGCAAGTCTGGTTTGAGAAACCTAATCCTGGATCCACAGAGCCACGGATGGGACCTTATATTAGTTCTTTGTAGAGGTTTTAAAAACAGTTCAGTATGAAGCTCAGTGAAGTTGTTCATGTAACAAACCAGAGGGAAAAGCAGAGTTGACCCTAGGCCCACTTCCACTTCCTGAAGAAGAAGAGCAGGAGAAGAGCCTGCTGCTCAGAGAAGGCCCATGACCAGCCCCAGTGACACAGTTAGAAGGTGGCTAGTTAAGCCCTAGACCCCAGTGGTTCAACTCCTTCTTCTAGGTGCCAGGCCAGCTGCCTCCAGGCAGTGCAGGGGCTGTGGTTCTATACCTAACCCACTGCCCTGAGCAGACAGGCTGAGCGAGTCTCATCTGTGCTTTGTTTAATGCTCTTCTTGTTTGGACACAGGTATCAGAGTCACGGTAGCTTTCACCCCGAGGAGACCAGGTTGGTATGGGTGTGTCTGTGTGTCATCTCTTGATTTACCTTGGGTAACCTGGGAGATTTCATAGATCCTAAACCAGAAAGTTTCATGTATTTGGGGTTCTTATGCTGGAATTCTCAGCAAACTGGAGAGGGCAGGTGTAATGGCAGCTACTTTGGGTACTTACCCAAAGCTATGCATATGGTTCTTACCCATATGGGTAATATGCATAGGGGGACTTACCCATAGCTGCTATGGCAGCTATGTCTGATTTGGTGGTTGATTTCCAAATATTGGCTGGAAATCTCTGACCCCCTTTCATTTGTAAGAAACTATACCATCTACCTCATGATGTGTTGTGGGAATCCTGGCTATAGTTTCTGTAAGTACAAAAAGATTAAAAACTCACCTTTTCTTGTCGTTGATATTTTAATATTGGTAGCATATTTTACTTTTGACAAGCATGTTTCTTATTTTAATATTACTCTGTGAATTGGGGAAGCAATGGGAAAAAAAACATTGTCTCACATGGGAAAAAACCAAACTCATCTAAGTACCCAACCCCAAATTCTACACTGGTGTCATGGGCGTGGAGTTCCCTATGCCCACTGCCCTGAGGCAGCCATCGCTGCTTTTTCCTCCATGTGCACACTCCCTGGTTCCCTGTTCTCTGTCCTCCGAGGCTGGCTCCAGCCCATGGCCATCCATTCTTCCACTCAGAGCTGTGTGCTCTTTAGTTCCTTGGTTCCACAAAGGGATTCTTTGTGGGGGCTGGAGCATCAGGAACATTCTTGTCTGTTAAACAGGACTAGACAGTGGACGCTCCTGTGATGAGAGGAGGCTCAGAGATGGCTTTCTGATCTTGGCTAGTAGTAATTAATATTAATAATCGTAACTGGTATTATGAGATGTGTCAATTGAGCTGTGCGTTTGTGGCATGACCTCAGTAAATCCCAGAGCCTCTCGACCTTGACAATGGTTGAGAGCCTGGCTCTGGTGAGGGTGTTCACTCTGCCCAGTGGTTAAAGCCAGGGCTCTGAAATCAAGCAGACCTGGGTCCAGTGAAGCTCTGGACCTTAGAAACCATACCCAGCCTCTCTAGGCCTGGGCTCCTTGTCTGTAAGATGGGCAAGAGAGGGTCCCTGTGATGAGCAAATGGTGTCAATCCCTTTGAGTGCCTAGTACAGTGCCTCCTGGCATAGGTGAGCCAGGGGAAAATGGAGAAATGCCAGCTAGTACAATTAGAGTCTCCAGTGTGCCATGTCTAAGTGCACTTGTTCCTGCAAAAGGAGCTGGAGGGCTGGTGAGTGTCCTGATACCTGTCTTTTGGCCCTTATCTTAGGTGAATGAGGCAACTGGTCGGCCAGGAGGATGCTTTGTGTTTGTGTTTACTTTCTCCCAATGTGTGGGAATGGCTCAAAGTTTCTATCACTGCATTTAGAGTTTCTTCTTCTTTTCAGAAAGGGAATGTTTGGACTGAAGCTGAAGAAAAAGAAGAAAAATAAAGCAGAGAAAGGGCTAATCTTTGCCAACAAGGCTGCTCAAGGTGAGATGTGGGGTGGCATGCTGCTGACTGCCACCCTGGGCCCCTCCTTAGCTGAGGATGTGGTTCTCTGTTCACGGGAGTGAGGGGAAATGTACCCTCTGTTGGCTTCAGGTTCTTTCCTGTCACAAGTGTGAGCCCAAGGAAAATCACCCTAAGGACCAAGTCATAGCCAAACAGGTTGGGTAGGTGCCTCCCGGGCCCTGAAAGGGTTCCCATGAAGAGGCAGCCACAGGGTTCAAGCTCCATTTCTGTTCTAATTTGCCCTGTGACCCCGAATAAGTTATTCAGTGGTTCTGAATCTAAGTGGACATCATGTGTGTTGCCATGATGACCTCACAATGCCCTGGGGAGGATCAAGGGAGATTTTAAAATTAAGAGTGAGGATCACGGAGTCTCTGGGGAGGGTTTATATACATGTCTCATTTAACCTCCTCTTTCCACCACTTTTATAAATGACGTTACAGCAAATCAAATGTGAGAAAGTCTAGATAAAGAATTTATAAAATGTAAAGCCATTGTTAAAAAATCATTAAAAATTTTAAGATTGCTAAAATAGAGCTTAAACCATGTTCCATGAGGTCCTTCTGAGCACGAGGCCCTGTCTGGCTGTGCAGACCACGTGTCCACAAACCTGCCCCTGAGCAAGGTGGGATTGGACCAGAGCACGGTGGCTGTGCACTAGAAATCCAGGCTGCCTGACTTTCTGTCCTTTCAATGAATGAGCTATTTCCTTCCTCCAATGAGTGAAGCTTTCAGTTATAGTGTGAACTAAGCCTGCAGAGGACAAGCCTGGCTTTGGGTAGACACTCAGAGTTGCTGGAGTCACATTGAATCAGTGGCATCTAACTGACAGGCATCTAACTGGGCTGTTTGTCTGGAGACTCCTGCTGAGTGGTCTTCACAACAGCCAGTTTAAAGCTGGCTTTCTGGACCATTCTTAGACCAAAATGGTGCAGTGGGGGTGGTTAACCTTCACCTTTCTCCTTGGGGAAAAGGGTACTTCACTGCTGTCCACAGCAGATATCCTGTGGCATTTTGCCCTGCCTAACTCCATTCTTGGCCCTCAGATAAACTTATTCTCGCAGAGGTGAGTGTGATCCTGGTTCACACCGAGATGATGTCAGTAATGAGTAATAATGAGTAATAACGAGTAAGAGTTACCTTTGGATGGGGGGCGCATTACATTTTCAGATGGAGCGAGGCTTAATGCCTAATAGGAGTACTTGTCTGTTCAATCAAATTGATGACCTCAGTGGGTGGACGGAAAAGGCTTTGGGGTCCTTCCTGTTGTCCTTGAATGTAGGTCTTGAGACACAGGACTGAATAAGACATCGTTTCTTCCCTCAAGGACCCTGTGAAAAATAGTATGTGACATATCCAATAAGTCTCTGCTGCTGTTACTCAACATACATCATTTATGGCCCTGAATAGTAAACTTTATAGTCCTTATTTTATAATAGAGGTTCAGAGAGAGTGAGTGACTTGCCCTGAGTCACACAGCTGGTAAATGGACACACTTTCATGGAAGCCTGGGCGTTCCTGCTCCAGTCAGAAGCCCTCACTGTCAAGCTGGTGAAGATTAGAGCGGACAATCAGAGGCATTTCTGAGGAGCTGGCTGCTGTGGCTCCTTCTAATTAGAGTCTTCAGCCCACAAAGCAAACAGAGCAAAGAGGGATGGGCCCCTCCTACAAAGAAAATATCATCCAACCCGCTGGGAGAGGCCAGCCTGGAGGAGCCTCCCAAAGTCAGGTGACAGACATACGTAGGCTCTGCAATCATGATGCAGTTTTTTTTCCTTAAGACCATCCATATAGCTCTGCTTTTTTTTTTTCTTGGAAGAGAGGGGGACTGAAAGTTTAGGAAAAATTAAGGCATGTGCTTGGCTTTTCTGCCAATAAAATATTGTTTCATTGTGAGCGAGAGAGTCTTCTGGTCACCTGGCACCCCCACAGTGCCTGCCATGATAGGAGGCCCAGGATGGAGACTTGATCACTACCATGTTGCAGTTTAACAGGATTCTTTGCCTTTGTTTGCACCTCTAGATGGTCAGAGTGAAGCAGAAGAGCCACAGGAGGGACCTTCTCATGGGGAAGGACCAGGAGGAGACTTGATTCAGGAGGATACTGGCCTCGCTCCTTGTTTCTTAGCTCGTCCACAGAGAAGGTACAACATCACTGCAGATGGTCGATACACTCACTGAGTGCATTCTATGAGCCCAGCTCTGGGAGAGCAGGAACTAAGACCTGGCCCTACCTACATGGAGTCAAAGGTGTAAGGCAGGAACACAGAGTTCTGTGTACACTCAGTTTTCTCTCCGAGTGCTAGATGCTTGATACTACTCTGCCTTCAGCAGGTCACAATTCTGGCTCTACCAGATTGAGGTTTAAATGTCCCAAGTTAAGATGCTCATGCCCCTCCCGCCCCAGGATTCAGAAATGACAGCCAGAGCAGAAGATGGACTCAGGAGCTGTCCCTTACTTCTTCTTTAATTCCTTATGACACTAGTTGTCACAACCTCATGTTTGTTCCAAATGAGAAGGTGGTTCTTATATTATCAACAGCTGGCCTTCTGCATGCTGTGTTAGTCACTGATGTGTAATAAGCTAGTCTCCAAATCAGTGACCTTTGTTATAGCTCTTGAGTCTATGAGCCAGGTGGATAGGTTTATGGGTACCAGTGAGTATTGTCAGATGCGTCACTCACTTGCCTATGGTCATTTGGCAGCCCTTACTTGGATGATTTTAGTTTGGGGATGGCTGGTGGTAGGTTGGTCTAGTTTTGCCTCATGTGAGATCACTGTGCACTCCATCCTATGGTATCAGACCTTCCAGCAATGGTGGCAATGGCAGAATTCAAAGAGAGGGGAAGTACACAAGGTTTCTTGAGGCCTACCCTTGAACTTGGCAAAAGTCACTTCTGCTGTATGGTGTTGGCCAGTGCAAGTTATAAGGTCAGTCCATGTCAGAGTGGGAGGAGACTACAAGGTGTGGGGACAAGCCAGTAGTTGGGCTTTCAGTTTGACTGTGTCAATTTCTTACTCATGGTAATTCATCAGGTCCTTCCCTTCTGCATTGTTCCTATCAATAAAGCAAATTTGTGCCTCCCTGTGTGATAGATCCTGAGCTGTAGATTCTGAGCTGTGACAGCATGGTGGTGTATGTGGAAGGGCAGCAGAGGAGAGTGGGAGGCAGGTGGAAATAAGAGAAGGTGATCGCTCAGAGACACTTAAAAGAAGACATGAAATTTCTGTGTACACACTCCCTGTCATGTCCTATTCTGCCTACCAACCACCTTGACAACCACTACCCCCACAGCTCTGACTAGGAACTTCAATTATTCTTTAATATCTTTCAAGGCATCTCTGGTCATTTGCTTTACCAGGATGATAGCACTGAATGGAGGAAGACAGGAGAAAGAGAAGTAAGGAGTAGCAGCCTTTTCTTTCCTTCTCAGTCAGAGCTTTCTCCAACAATTGAAATTCTGTCCACCCACCATTGCTCAATTGACATCTGACCTCTGTACTTGAGTGTTTGTTGCTCACTGAGCCATTAGGAACTTTTCTCCAATTACATCTCTTCTTCATGGCACTTATATACTGGTTCTTTCTTTATTCGCCTTCATCCTTTCTCCCTGGATAGGTTGTTAGCGCCAAGATGATGGTTTATTCATCTTTGGTTTTTCTCTTCGTTAAGCCTAGCACTAGGCGTCACATAATGAATAATCAGCATGAATTTGCCATTTTCTTGGTGAGCACATAAACTGTACATACTTTTTCTTATGTTTGTTACCTCTTTTAGCCCTCAGAATAACCCTATGTGATAAGAATTGTTATTTTCACATTCAGATAGGGGAACAAATACTCTAAGGTAAGTCTGACTCCAGATCCTTGAGATTTTACACTGTTCTCTACTGGACCCAATCATAGTCAGCAGAAATAGAATGGAGTCAAATGCAAGATGGTATGGTTAGCATCAAGAGAACAAAATTCAACCAGAACTTAAACTCAGTTCAGTCCCCACCCATTGCTGCCTCTGTGACAAGGATCCTTTGTCTCTTTCCACTCTTATCCAATCTCTAAGTGCCCAGGTGTTGTACATCTGTTTTCAATTACCTGTGACAGTCGAGATAAATGAAATCCCCTGGAATGTGGAATCTCAGCAACATGGCATCTTGCTCATTCCTTTCAATTTTCTCCTTTGCCAATCTTTTCAAAAGCAATCACAAAACTCAGAATTATTTCATCTACTAGAAATGGTGAGGCAGTCCTGTGTCTAGGATCAGGAAGGGGGTTGAGATATCTTTATTTTGATCCAGTTCTGCCTCTGACTTTCTGAGGCATCTCATTTTCTGGTTCTATGAAGTCAGATATAAATAGTACAGACAATCATACTTACGATAAGTATTAACATTTATTCTTGCTCGGCACCAGGTTAAATCTTTACATACATTTTATCATTTAGTTCTAGCAATCACCTAATGTGGTATGTTCTATTATTAGCCCAAATTTTAGGATGGGGAAACTGAGCCTTAGAGAGGCTAAGTCACTTATCCATTTGTATTTATCTCCAGAGATGTAGAGAGTATTTGTGATACAAGGTAAATGAAAACACTTAGAAATATATGGGAAAATATTATCATGGCTTATGGATCTAAAGTATGTTTTTACTTGATGAAACAAATCAATTAAACTTTCTTTTAATAGATCAAAACTTTTGACTAAGATCAATGATGGGGAGGTCAAATCCCAAAACTATCAAGTAAGTAATTGGTTCTTCCTGCCCAGCCTCCCCTACTTCTCCCTATGTGAATGAACAATGAGCCTAGGATGGCGTGGTGGCACTGCTTTGTGTTGTAGATTGCCATAACCATCATTGAGGCCCGACAGCTGGTAGGTGAGAACATTGACCCAGTTGTGACCATCGAGATCGGGGACGAGAAGAAGCAAAGCACGGTTAAGGAAGGAACCAACAGCCCATTTTACAATGAGGTAAGTCATGGAGACCACCAGTATCCTCCATACCAGCAGTCTGTTCACTGCCTTCTCATGGGATCCTTCAGTCATACAGAAAACTGTGCCCCTCTGCTCCATCCCAGTCCCCACTCTGAGTTCATGGCAAACTCACTGGGATTACAAACATAGCCCCATAAAGTTTTCAACAAAAAGATGATGGGAAGAGAGGCTAGAATGCTTCCTGATTTTAAGTCACTGCTACATTTTCAATAGACCCATTTTATTTTCTATAAGCTCCTTGTCATCTGTGACAAGCTTTGCATTTATATTCAGTAAACATTAAATGTTATTAGTGAGAAGACAGACATTCTGTTTCATGGCAGAGGCATTAGAAATTTGATGCTTGATTTCAAAATAAGAATACTTTATTGGAAAGCAAAGTGGTTGTATTTTTCTAAACTGTGGAGAAATTATAAAGGAAAACCTCAAAGAGGGAAGCTTCTAAATATTATACATACTAAATTCTCTCTTTAAAAGAAAAAATATATGTGTAAACTCAGGTCTCATGCTTGCTAGGCAAGAACTCTATCACTTGAGCCCTGCCCACAGCCCTGAAATAAGTAAATAAATAAAGTAAAAAATCATGACAGAACATAAAATGATATATAGTAAAAAGATTTCATTTCCTTTTGATCTTTGGAACCTAATCCCCTAACCTCATCCCTGAAGGCATCCATTTTCACAGGTTCTTGAAGGGGTGTGGTCTCCCAGAGATATTCCAACCATGTGTAGGTATACAAGCAAATATTGTACCCAAAGGTAGCACTCTGCACACTGTTATGGGCCTTATTCTTTTCATAAAATAATGTGCCTTGAGCTTAGCACCTAGCTGGACAGTCACTTTTTCTCCATGCTGAAGAATTTCCCATTCCCTTGATGTGCCATAACTTCCTGAGAGAATCAGTCTCTCATCCAGGGATATTAAGTTTTTAAGCCTTTGGCTACTACTTACAATAATATTTATGTGGCATAACCAGGGCCGAGGATATGTGAATTAAAATTCTGATATCAAGAAATTGCCTTTCAAAGAGATTACCATTTATACTCCAACTAATGGTGCACAAGAGTGCTGGTTTTTCTGCAGGTGCTTTGACACTGTGAATTATCAAAAATGCTGCAAACTCTTATTATCCTAATGGGAGTGGTAATTAAAAAGAAAGCCAGGGAGAGCATGGATGACATCAATGGAAAATACCCAAATCCCCTTGGAGCTGTTAAGTCCTTTCTTCTTTATCATTCCTGCCTCTGAGCCTTGAAAATGTCAGTGGTTCTCTCCTTCCTGCTCCACTCCCTCACTCCAAAAACATCTTTTGCATGAATGTGATATGAGATAACAAGTATGAAAATGTCTTAAAACTGCAAAACCCTATAGATTTGTTAATTATTATAATTATGCATACAAGTCCTGGATCTAAACGACATTAAGTTGGGCACAAGTGTGTAGGGTATTGGAAAGTGTATAGCAAACCAAATAAAAACATAGAAGGTGAACTCAGGACATTATAAGCAAAACAAAGAAAGCTTTTTAAAAAAAATTTTATTGTTTTATTATTCATATGTGTATACAAGGCTTGGGTCTTTTTTAAAAAAAATTTTATTGTTTTATTATTCATATGTGTATACAAGGCTTGGGTCATTTCTCCCCCCTGCCCCCACTCCCTCCCTTACCACCCACCCTTCCCCCTCCCTCTTCTCCCCACGCCATCAATACCCAGCAGAAACTATTTTGCCCTTATCTCTAATTTTGTTGAAGAGAGATATCAGCAAAAATAGGAAGGAACAAGTGTTCCTGGTTGAGATAAGGATAGCTATACAGGGAGTGTACCTTCTAGGTTAATTCTTTTTTTTTTTCTTTTATTATTCATATGTGCATACAAGGCTTGGGTCATTTCTCCCCCCTCCCCACCCCTCCCTTACCATCCCACTCCACCCCCTCCCTCTCCCCTCCACCCCTCAATACCCAGCAGAAACTTATTTTGCCCTATTTCTAATTTTGTGTAGAGAGAGTATAAGCAATAATAGAAAGGAACAAGGGTTTTTGCTGGTTGAGATAAGGATAGCTATACAGGGCATTGACTCACATTGATTTCCTGCGTGTGGGTGTTACCTTCTAGGTTAATTCTTTTGATCTAACCTTTTCTCTAGTTCCTGGTCCCCTTTTCCATTGGCCTCAGTTTGCTTTTAAGGTATCTGCTTTAGTTTCTCTGCGTTGAGGGCAAACAAATCTCTAGCTAATTTTTTAGGTGTCTTACCTATCCTCACCCCTACCTTGTGTGCTCTCACTTTTAGCATGTGCTCAAGTCCAATCCGCCTTGTGTGTTTGCCCTGATCTAATGTCCACAATATCAGGGAGACATACGATTTTTTGGTCTTTTGGGCCAGGCTAACCTCACTCAGAAGATGTTCTCCAATTCCATCCATTTACCCTGTGAATGATAACATTTCGTTCTTCTTCATGGCTGCATAAAATTCCATTGTGTATAGATACCACATTTTCTTGATCCATTCGTCAGTGGTGGGGCATCTTGGCTGTTTCCATAACTCAGCTATTGTGAATGTGCTGCAATACACATGGGTGTGCAGGTGCCTCTGGAGTAACCTGTGTCACAGTCTTTTGGGTATATCCCAAGAGTGTATTGCTGGATCAAAATGTAGATCGATGTCCAGCTTTTTAAGTAGCCTCCAAATTTTTTTCCAGAGTGGTTGTACTAGTTTACATTCCCACCAACAGTGTAAGAGGGTTCCTTTTTCCCCACATCCTCGCCAACACCTGTTGGTGGTGGTGTTGCTAATGATGGCTATTCTAACAGGGGTGAGGTGGAATCTTAGTGTGGTTTTAATTTGCATTTCCTTTATTGCTAGAGATGGTGAGCATTTTTTCATGTGTTTTTTTGGCCATTTGAATTTCTTCTTTTGAGAAAGTTCTGTTTAGTTCACTTGCCCATTTCTTTATTGGTTCATTAGTTTTGGGAGAATTTATTTTTTTAAGTTCCCTGTATATTCTGGTTATCAGCTCTTTGTCTGATGTGTAGCTGGTAAATATTTTCTCCCACTCTGTGGGTGTTCTCTTCAGTTTAGAGACCATTTCTTTTGATGAGCAGAAGCTTTTTAGTTTTATGAAGTCCCTTTTATCTATGCTATCTCTTAGTTGCTGTGCTGCTGGGGTTCCATTGAGAAAGTTCTTACCTATACCTACTAATTCCAGAGTATTTCCTACTCTTTCCGGTACCAACTTTAGAGTTTGTGGTCTGATACTAAGATCCTTGATCCATTTTGAATTAATATTGGTACAAAGAAAGCTTTTGACTATAACTTTGAAACCCAAAGGTTATCAGGTGTTGAGGAACTAGTAGTGGCTGGGGGATATTTCCTATCTAGAAAATGTGTTTAGGTCCAGCAGTCTAGGGAACCTGCCTGAGACACTTTAGTCTCTAACATATGAAACTCAACACAAAGCAATGCACATTGGACCTGACTTATCAGCCCAAGGAACCCACCACTCTCACTTACTCAGTCTTATCAGACAATGAGAAATTTCATGTAAGGGAATTTTCCATATATGTTATGAGCCCTAGAGCCTTCAAAAGTTTGAACAAATATATGTAAGCATATGTGAATAAGCAATGTATTTGAAAAATTTCCTGAAATGTGATATTTTCTTAAGCAGAAGACACTGAACGAGGTATTATCTTTCGTAGATATCTGAGGCCCACCATTTTACTGTCGTATATGATAATGTATTTTGGTTTTCCTGTCTTGCCCTTGGAAAGAAAGCTGTCAGTGTCAGTTTTCCCTTTTCTACTTCTATGTCCATCCCTAACATTCATTCTACTGCCCTGCAGTGCAGAACAACAACAGTGTCCCTGTCCTACTGTCCCTACCCCAGTCAATTCCCCAAACACACAACCAACCCCACATGGATTCCACCCAGTCTTCCATGTCACAGGATCTCACAGTCTCATGTGGGAACAACTTGACTCAGAACTACTTGTCTAGTCTCTTGTGTGACAAGTTCAGGAGAACTAAGGTTTTAGTCCCAGCCCCAGAAGGAACCAGCAAGATGAACCTGGGCAACATCTCGTGTGTTCTTTAGCCTTCCTGTCTGTAAAATATGGGGACCCTCATCTATATAACTTTTTTCAACTTTGCAATTCACCAATGTCCATAATTTCTTTTTATTCTGTTATTGCTCAATCTTTGTAACTTCACAGGAGTGTCTGCAACTGAAAAATACTGAGAAAATTAGATTTTAATTAAGTTCACTACAACTTAAATCCACACTATGATACCATTTTCCACCCATCATTATAAGCAAAACAAAGAAAAGAACTAACAATATCAAGGTTGCCAGTGACATAGAGAAATTGCGATTTTCCTATGCTTTTGGTGGGAATATAAAATGGCTTAGCCACCTTTTGGAAAGAAATTTTAATACTATCTATTAAAAATTTATATGCCCATAGAATCCAACAGTTCCACTTCGATATCTATTTTAGAGGAATACTCTCGGATATCGTATGCAAGAATTCAGCTAGTGGCCTTCTTTTTTTTACATTTAAAAAGAAATTGAAAAAAACCTAAGTGACCTTTAGTAGGGGCTGGCTAGTCAATCACTGGTATATTTATGCCATTGAGGGCTCTGCAACAGTTGGTCAGAACAATGCAGATCTAAATCCACCCCGGGAACAGGGTTCTTAGATGTAAGCCTGGATCAACGGCCAGAGTAAACTTTCTGTTTTTCAGTACTTTGTCTTTGATTTCATTGGGCCTCAAGTGCATCTTTTTGACAAGATCATCAAAATCTCAGTAAGTATACCATTGGTGGTGGTGGTCATGGGGGAGGTGGGAGAGATTCTAGGCTTTGGGGACTCTGTAGACTGCTCAGTGTATTTAGAGATGAGTAGATTCAAGAGGGTTGGTGTGGGTTGGTGAGCTTGAAACCAATAGGCTAGACCAGCACAGAGGAATTTGGAAAGGAGAACCATCTCAGAGGGGTGTAGGCTTCTTGGAAGCAAGTTGTAAACTACACTACAGCTATTATTAATTGTAGGCACGTAGAACATATATTTCAAATGATATCTTGATGGATTGCCACTTTTGGTTGACTTTTTTTCTATCAAGCAAATGTTAGTGTTTTTCTCTTGAGATGATATCCACATTAATGATTAATAATTACAGCCTTTCCCTCTTAGTTGGTGATAAATAAAGAAATAGGAACAAGAACCAGGAAGGCACCAAATATGTCAGTCTCATCAGCAGTGATGTTGGACCAGGGACTGTGATTTAGAGCAAGTGGTTGCCACTGGGATTCTCAAAAGGCTACCTCTGAGTGTGGACTTCAAGACTGGCCCAGGGGACATTGGGTCTGCTGCACAGATTTTTCCTCAGCTCCACCAGGGAGGGGAGTTGCTGTCCCCACAGACCAGTTCTGAAGAGCAGAAACAGAGAGAGCTGCCAGGGCCAGCCAGGTGTACATCCGTGCTCACCTACCATGTAGAGCATAGAATTAGAGAGGAAATGTGCCTTTGCTGGAGCCATCTGGGCCTAAAGAGAAAGAGGAGGTTAAGTGGGACCAGTATCAACTGCACACTACTCAGCAAAGGGACAGAGACCAGTGGATGACAGAGGACATTCTGTCTCACCAGTTTCAGAAATGGCCACTTCTCCCTTGAGGTTGGTGTGCCTGAGAGTAATGGTGGTGGTATGGAGGAGGGGTTTGAAGTGTCAACAAGTGAGCACTCTCTTCCAAAGAGCTCTACAAGGACTGAACCCCTACTGTTTGTCAGTGAAAGGGTGTAGAGAATAAGAGAACGTCCTCCTCAATAGCCACACCGCCTCTAATCAAAATTGTGAGGATGAACCAACCCATCATGGAAGTGTCCTTCCGGGTCTTTCTTTTCCCTACCTGTCTTTACTGCTCACTGAAATAGTACATAAATACACATATGATATGTCACAGCTGAATGTCAACAAAGTCGTGCGTTAAGGCCAGGTCCTAGTGGAGTTTTGATATTATCCTTCCCAGGAGCACTTGAAGAATGTGACTCTTGAGCAATGAAAAGTCATCAAGAGCCAAACATTCTCAGTGTTTGAGTTTCAGGCATGATGACGAATGGTGCAAAAGATATTTTGAGACCTGGGACCGTGCCCAGGATTTTGCTTCATAGCTCCAGCAGCCACCTGTTTGTGAGAGTGGCTCTGTAGCTGCTTCTAAGAGACTGTCTAGGTCATAGATGAAGTTCATCACTAGGTTTTCACGTTGTATCATAGGCAAGGCCATGATTACATGTGGGAGGCCTAGATTTTTAGATGCAAGACTGGAGCTAGTATTGTTTTGTTTGTGGTACTGGGTTTTGAACTCAGGGCCTCACTTTTGCTAGGGAGGCACTCTACCACTCCGCCAGTCCTAGTATTGTTTACCTGTTGCTCCTCTACCTTGGAAGAAGGGAATGCTTTGTCGTCCCTAAATGACTCACAGTGAGAGAGACAAAAGATTTCAAAAGGAAAATTCCCCCTGGGAGTTAAGTTGTGGTGCTTGCCTATGATCCCAGCTACTTGGGACGTGGAGGTAGGAGGATCACAGCCTGAAGCTAGCCCAGCAAAAGTGCGAGAACTTACCTGAAAAACAAACTAAACGTGAAAGGATGTGTGTGTGTGTGTGTGAGAGAGAGAGACAGAGAGAGAAAGAGAGAGAGAGCCACCTGTTTGTGAGAGTCGCTCTGTACCTGCTTCTAAGAGACCGTCTAGGTCATAGATAAAGTTCATCACTAGGTTTTTACATTGTATCACAGGCCAGGTCATGATTGTATGTGGGAGGTCTAGATTTTTAGAGAGAGAGAGAGAGAGAGACTTAAGTGGTAGAGTGCCTGTCTAGCAAGTACAAAGCCCTGAGTTCAAACCTCAGTATTGGAAAAAAAAATACAACTTTGCTGCTAGTTCATAAACTGAAAGCCAGTGTGCTCAAAGGAATTTAGCTTTGGAGGAGGGGAAGAGGGCTGTAAGCAGATGCTGTAAGGACAGCCAGGCTTTAACATGCCCGCGTGGTGCCAGAGACCATCTTCCTTTAACAGAGTCCCTAGGGACACTGTGCTAGATGTCTAAGAAGCCAGGTCATCTCATGCTTGACTGCACAAAGGTTGCCTGGCACTCAACCACTAGGTGGTGGTCTTGAGGAGGCCGCCTGTGTTATTGGAACATTCCTTTGGAGCTCTTGAATTTTGTCTTGCCCACAGACCCTTTGTCTTCGCAAGGGAACTTGAGACAGGCTTCCGATCTTTCTCAGGCCTTTGGGGAACCACATTAGCAACTGCAAGCATGGCTGGTTATAGAGAGAGGGTTTTGTGTGAGGCCTTAAATAGTTCCTCTACTCAAGCCAGGCCAGGCTGTCATCACTTCCCCTCTGTTCTCTAATACTGTTGGAATATTCGGGCCAGGGAGAGTGTGGAGAGAGAAATGGGAAGGGCTGTCATCAACTGAGGGCGGTTGGATTTATTGTTTTTGCTGCCTGTGCCAAAAGGAGCTATTTAGAAGCTGCAAAAGCTTCCCATTCATCCATCACTCAGTCAGTCATTAATTCACTGAATGTTTTTTGAGCATCTATTATGAACAAGGCCACGTGGTGAATAGAAGACAACAGGAAACTACCATGATTCAAGGAACTCCTAGGATTTTATAGTTAGAAGGAAGCTCAGAGACCATGTCTTCTAACTTCCAGCTGGCACAGGAATCCCTGTCCATCTGCTCCACATTACGGGGTTCTTAGGGCAATGATGATCCTTTCTGGTGATGGAGAGGTCACTATATCTGGAATCCCATTTCATTGCTGAGAAGTTTTGACTGTTATCAAAGCTATCTCTAAGCCTGGCACCGGTGACTCAAGCCTGTAATCCTGCCTACTCAGGATGCAGAGATCAGGAGGATCATGGTTCAAAGCCAGCCTGGGTAAATAGTTTGTGAGACCTATCTTGAAAATACCCAACATAAGGGCTGCTGGAGTAGCTCAGGTGGTAGAGTGTGATGCCCTGAGTGTAAACCCTAGTACCACCAAAAAACCAAAACAACTGTCCCTATATACAGCTGAAATCTCTTCTGTTACTTTGAGAGCCACACAGGAGTGGTTCAATATTTGAGGACATTTAAGTCACCATTACCCTTTTTCTCCACCACCCCCATTCTCTTTCTTGGGTTTCCTTTGTTCTCTAGCCACTTCTCATACAGTGTGACTTCTAGATGTAGCACCAGCTCTGCCCCCTCCTTTAGGACTTCCTCGTGGAGACATCAGCATTGAAATGTGCTTTGTAGATGGATGTGGTGGTGCACAGCTGTTGTCCTAGTTATTCATGCAGGAGGTGGAGGTAGGAGGATTGCAGTTCAAGGCCAGTTCAGGAAAAGTGTGAGACTCTATCTGAAAAATAAACTAAAAAGCAAAAGAACTGGGGGCGTGGCTCAAGTAGTAGAGCGCTTGCCTAGCATGTACAAGGCCCTGAGTTCAATCCCCAGTACTGAAATAAAAAGTAAATAAAATTTGCTGCTGTAACCAAGGCAGGTACTCTGCTGTCTTCTGATCAGACTAAATATTGACAATGACCACGTCTCTTGCTCTATTGTACATCACCAAAAATGTTTCAAGACAATCAGTGATGAATTCTCTGAGTAAGCTGTGAGCAAAGAGGTTTGAGGATTGAGGGAGAATGGACAGAGTTTCAGTGGGGCAGATCAGGGAGGGCTGCTTATAGGAGGTGACATTTGCTCTAGGATTTTAAGACAGGTTGGGTTTCAAGACAGGTTGGGTTTCAGCAGGCACAGGTGGGTATTGAAGGGTAGCTTGTAGTAGGGACTATTGGTGAGACAAAATTCAGGCAGTGAGTGTCAGGTATCCTTCAATAGAGAATTAGCTGAAACCCTGCTGGGGGAAGAGGTACAGGTTAGACACTTCTAGAGATTCTTTAAAACACAGTGGTTTGATAACCAAATTCCATTCTGGACTGGACAAGGTCAAAGCCAGACAAGGGTCAAAGCCTAGAAGCCTTTTTGATGTATAATGAACCCATTTCACAGACAAATTTCCCACTACTCTATTTTTCCTCAGGTCTTCCACCACAAGCTGATAGGGAGCATACTGATTGGCTCTTTCAAGATAGATCTGGGGACTGTGTACAATCAACCTGGTAAGAAAGTGCTGCCTCCCAATCTCGCAGTCTTACTCTTCTTGGGTTTACAGCACCAAGGAAGAGGTTATCTCATTCATTCCCTCATCAAATTATCCATTCATTCAGTGACACTGAGCAACAGTTACGTGAAGTTGAATGAGACACGACTCTTGCTCTCAAGTTTTACAATAGTGATAAAATTATCTTGTCTTTCTACTTCCTTCTCATACAAATTCTCTGTAATTTAGTACTGTAAGATATAATCAGGACAGGCAGAACAGAATAGATGCTAAGAACATGAACTCTGGAGTCACATGGCTGAAATACAAATTCCACTCTGTGTAAATTCCTAGCTCTGCAACTTCAGATAAAAGATGTTACTTCTCTGTGCCTCAGTTTTCTTATCTGGAGAAATGAGGATAAATGAATACCTCCTGGTAGGGTTCTTAGAGGATTAAGTTAATAAATAAAGTGCTTAGTCAGGCCTCCCACATAATAGAACTATGGCATTTCATATCAGGACTGCTATAGAAATTATCATCCCCAACTTATAGGAAAGTAAAACTCAGAGGCTAGGTAATTTTGTTCAAGGTGAAGAACTAATAGGTAACAGAGCCAGGATCAAAAACAGAAGTTCTCACGAAAGGCCCCTATTCTTCAGCAGTGATGCCAACTCACCTGACCTTTGGGGTCTGGCAGTGGAACATGACCAAGAGCAGAAGCCTGATACAATGCATCAGGGAGCTATGGAGTCCGTGGGAACAGGAGACCTCTGATCCCTAGTAAAAGATAGGGACTACTTGACTCCTTAGTGTTTGCTATCATACAGAAGTGAGAACCTAGTATTACAGATCTAACAATATTTTAAAGATAAGTTGAAAGTCTAGACTTTATCAGCAATTTTGAGGTCCAAACAGTAGGATCTATGAGGTCCATTTATGGCCTCTGAGCAAGTAACACGTGACTTCTATGCTCAGTTGACGTCCCCGTCTGGTCAAAGCTAGAGTCTTGTCTAGATGATTCACTAGGTTGAAGGTTTCCCAAATATCTATGGTAAAATAACAAAGAAGTGGGTGGGAAGCAAAAGGGGAGGAGGGGAAGGAAAAGGAATAACTGAGAAGAGCTATGGCCTCAAGCAGCAGAGGGAGGAAAGTGTGGGAGCCTTGGGGTATGGGGGAGAATGGGGAGCCAGTGGGCTTACCTGTGGAGGATGTGAGCTGTCAAGGTGTTTTTGCAGGTCATCAGTTCTGTGACAAGTGGGCACTGCTTACAGACCCCAGCGACATCAGGACTGGTACTAAGGGATACCTGAAGTGTGACATCAGTGTGACCGGGAAAGGCGATGTCTTAAAGACCAACCCTAAAACTTCTGATGCTGAGGAGCAAATAGAAAAGTGAGACAGGTCCATCTAAGGCCATATAAAAGAAATGATATGTCCCAATTTTATGTCTCTTTTCCCTCCCTCCATCCCCTTCTTATTGGGTACCTGACAACTGTCAAATCCAAGTCTTGTTCACCTGGGATTCAGCTCTGTCAGACACTAGGATGTGTCTTCTCAAGGACATGGCTCTCTTTTGAGAGCTCAGCTTCCACGACAGGAAGTCTGGTTTCCTGTAACAGCCCATGGTAGATAAAGCTATTCCTGAGCTCGTCTGACTTACCTGGACAGAGCTGATTTTCCTTTGAAGTAATTATACTTTCAGCCAGTGGTTTGTAGCACAGGAAGACTTAATTGCACTTCTTTTAAGGTTCAAGGTGGGATCCAGGGTTGAGGCTACAATTCTAGAACCTGAATGTGTTCATTCTCCTCAATGTCATTTGCACTAGGAAAAACAACTCATTTTAGTGAAGAACTCTAGTCTTGTATATGGAGATCCTTCCATCTGCCTCCAAATTGCATCTACCTTTTCTCTCTATTCATGCAAGTGAGTGAGCTTTTTAAATTTTTATTTCTCTCCCCCACTCCCTCAGGAACCTTTTGATTCCACAAGGGTTCCCATCAGAAAGACCCTGGGCCAGATTCTATGTGAGACTCTACAAAGCAGAAGGGCTGCCCAAAATGAACTCCAGCATCATGGCGAACGTCACCAAAGCGTTTGTGGGTGACAATAAGGACCTCGTGGATCCCTTCGTGGAGGTCTCCTTTGCTGGGCAGATGGTGAGGAATCATGGTCACCAGTATTGATAGGCCTGAGCCAGAACCCTGTTCTGTATCCAGACGTTTTTAATCAAATGAAATTAAGTTAAAATCAAAAGTAAGAAGTTCCGGGTAAGAAAACTTGTTATAGAGGACAATGAGTCAGGTGGCAGGGGAGGACTGTCACTCTTTATTGGAGATACTAGAAAGTAGCTCTGGGAGGTTTTGGGTTTATGACCCAGGCAGACAGACATCCTTCCTCACATGTGGCTACTTCTTTGAGCAATGTTACCCAGGTTCTATAGAATTACTACCACCTCCCAGTCTTTCTCACATGTGCCAGGTAGTCCTTGTTCTTTGTACGCTGGACATCTTTGTTCCCTGCTCAGAAACAATTGGAAGTATCAGGCCCTGGAATGTTGTCAGAGCTTGATCCCAACTGATTGGACCTGGAAGCTTTGAACAACACTTGTTATCTCTGCCATCAAACTATGGACATACCCTGACTCCCTCCCTCTGGCAGGGGTGAATGCTGAAGCACTTTGACTTTGGGTGACCTTGGATGCCATATAGGACTTTGCCTTCATTTTATAATAAGGGCACTGAGGTCCCATTGGAGCAATAATTGGGCCAAGGTCATAGCCTTATAAAACAAGACTTCAGTGTCTAATGGTGTCTTGCATTCCTGGAGATGTGTGGAACAACTCCCATTGATCATATGGAGTGTTAGTTGTACCCAGACCCTGATGTGTCATTAGAACTTTCTAAGGACAGTGACTTGCCTTTGTCCCAAGTGCCTAGCATGATGTCTAGCACAGAGTAGGTCACCAGTAACATTCGCTGGGTGCAATTAATTTTCATTGGTGACAGGAGGAGACAGGTTCGTTATTTTTAGCAACTCGCTTTGTATCTCCAGCTGGTTTGAAGAATATTCTTTAGGTAGTCACTAACTTCCACAGCTTGCATCCTTCTGCTTGTGTGTTTTAGGGGAGAACCACGGTGCAAAAGAACTGTGCTGATCCTGTGTGGCACGAACAGGTGGTCTTTAAGGAAATGTTCCCTCCCTTGTGTCGGAGGGTGAAAATCCAGGTGTGGGATGAAGGTAGCATGAATGACGTAGCTCTGGCAACTCATTTCATTGACTTGAAGAAAATCTCCAATGAGCAGGATGGAGACAAAGGTAGAGTCTCACATACGCCACTTGGAAATGATGACTTTATGCCCGCCTAGTTAAAGCAGAGGGTTAGAGCAGGCATGTTAGAACTTTCCATGACTCTCTGAGGTCTGTGGCCTGGCTAACTTCAGGCAGTGGATGGAGCCAGGATCTGTATATGGGATATGGGAGGTTCAATCACTCTTCCCAATTGAAAAAATGAGTTTAGATTAGATCAGAGGTTATTGCCTGCTATATGTAAAATATGGCTCACGGGCTATGAATGAGTTTTGTATGTTTAAATGATTCCACCACCAAAAAAAATTATGTCCCTAACAATTGATAGGAACATGAGAGCATGAGGACACCATAGAAAGACCTCAATAAATATTTATTGTCTATTTCTTTATATTATTGAAGTGTTTACCACCTTATACAAAAAGCATACTCTCCTACTTACACAGCTTATCAGCTATCTGTGAACATTTTTCATTCACAACTTTTCAGAAACGTCTTGATGATGTTCAGGAAAATATATTATCAGTGTTATAAAAGTAGACAACAGGAATCATACAGTCTTTCTATCCTTTTAACACAATTTTCCCATTTCTTTAAGTCTATTCAAAGGAGGGATAAAATCTGAAGGATAGAATCCACTTTGTGGAAGTGGGAGTGGGAGACGGGAACATTAGGTGTTTATCATTATCAATGATATACACAGAAACATTAATTGGCAACAGTGGGGGAATGGTTAAGCAAATTATGATCCATTTATTCATTTGTAATAATAGCTAATATACTCGAGCACTTCCTAAGGCTTGCATGGAGCACAAAAGAGATATAATCTTTTTAATTCTGTCAGGTGAGACAGGTATTATTAGAATTTCCTCCAGATGAGGGAATGGAGGCATAGGAAGTTAAGAAAAACTCACCAAGTTCATACAGCTGAAACGAGCCAAAGCCAGGATTTGAACCCACCAATGTGCTGTACTTGCTGTACATTATGTTGTCAAGGAAATGCTCTCATAGACACTGTGCACTTTCTCCGATGCTACATGTTGAGGCGGGGAATCAGGAGTAAGTTAAAATCTCCAGGTCTTTTCAGTTCTTTGTTGAGAACATATCTCAGAGCATTCACGTCTCTTCATCTGGACTGCCCTGCTTTATTCTGAGCTGCGGGGCCTTCAGTTTTGAGAATGAAGTGGTCCCCAAACCATCTTCCCACATTCATTCTTAAAACCCTTCACATAGCACCTAGAGAGTTCTTAAGAGATGTGATTATATCACAACCTTGCTTAATCCCCTTAAAATATTCCCATAGATTTTAGGATACAAACTAAAATTCTTCTCAGGACCCCTAAGTTCCCTCCACATCCCCAAACATTTGTCACACAGCTCAGTCTCTATTCCAAGTCCCTTTCCAACTGGTAACAACACACTGTTTCACCCCCCCCCCGCCCCGCCTTTCTCAGCCTGCCTATCTCCACTCCACATTACATTGTTCTTGAGTACAAGATGTATCTCCTGCATGGTGTTATAATGTAAATATTTATTCATTTGGTGTTCATGGGCTCTATGGCTTGTGTCTGGCATGGTGCCTGGCTCATGTTAGGAGTCCATAAACATTTGCCAAACAAATGAAGGCCTTTATAATATCGTTACAAATGTGAGCAAGTAGAATCATAGGTGGAAAAAATGACTAGAAGGAAATTTCACAAAATCTTGTCTAGGATATCCTAGAAATATTTTCTTTTGTTCTTTCTGTACATTCTATATTTTTTAAATGAATGCATGCAATTTTCATAAAGCAAACACATGGTAAACTGAAAACTCTAAGTACATAACTAATGCTGAGGTCTTCCCAGGATTTCTCCCTACCTTCGGACCTGCCTGGATTAACCTGTACGGCTCCCCCAGGAATCACAGTCTGATGGATGACTACCAGGAACTGAATGAAGGCTTTGGGGAAGGTGTATCTTTCAGGGGCAGAATCCTGGTAGAAATTGCTGTGGAAATCCTCTCAGCAGGGGCCCAGGAGTCTAAATTTTCCAAGGCCCTGAAGGAGTTGAAGTTGTCTTCCAAGGACAAAGACTCTAAGTCATCCAAAGGCTCAAGTAAGGACAAGGCTGACAAAACCAACGATGGGAAACCACAGCAGGCTTCAGACAAAATGAACTCCACCGAGGTGGAGGTGGAATCTTTTGATGTGCCTCCAGAGGTAGGTGTGAGCACTGCTTCTTTCTACCTGACCTCAGCGGGGCCCGGAACAAAGACAGCACCTGCAAGGGGCTCCTGAAGGCATTTGCCTGTCTCATTCTCCCGTAATACTGTGTTGATCCAGTCCTGTGTTTCTGAGATGGGTCCTCTGTTCTTTCTTGACACAGCACAGCCATCTCCAAACTATAGAGGTACCTAATTTGTTTAGCTGTATCAGCCTGGAGTATGCTCTGATGTGATAATACAGGAGGAAGAAGAGTAGGTGACAAGCTGTGATATAAGAACTTGAGAAACCTTGCTGCTCATCAGTGAGGAAAGCACAACTCAGGAAATCCTAGATCAGAACTCACCATAAAGCACATGAGTGTATTTCCAGCCCACTTCTATATTGTGAGCAAGACCTTGGGACTCCAAGATGCATAGTGACTGTGAACATCCTCTCAGTGCTTGGCTTAGCAGTACGATTTGTAGTTAAGCAAGTGAGAGGGGATAGAGTCCAGCTCTGGGCCTGGCTGTTCTGCCCCTGGGAATGTTTTCTCATGCCAACAGGCAGGGATAAGAGGGATGATCTTCCAGAGCCATCCATCCCTGAGGAGTTGAGGCAGACTGCAGGGTTGCAGAATGAGAGTCATCTCTTTCTTAGAAGAAGCCACTTATTTTTACTGTTGAGATCTAATAAATCTTAAAAAAAAATACTGTTTAGGGGGAGATGGGAGCACAGAAGTGGAAACCTTGGGCTTGGGCCTAATCATGGCCATGATGCCAACACCATTCTGGGGTTTCTATTTGCTCATTAGCAAAATGGCATAGTTAACAGTCGCTCTGTCATAGGCTTCATCCGGGGCTAATGAGAAAAATGCATGTGAGTTGGTCAACAGAGTTTTGGGCACATGCACAGTAAGCTTGCAATGCATTTGTTCTTACTGTGATTTGCTCCTTCCACCCGGGGTACAGCTGTTCAGTTTTGCACCTATTTGAGGAGACTTTATGTATTTTTAGGGACATCTCCAGCTCTCCCCTCTGAATTCACATACATAAATATTCTCTGGAAATGTGTACTGTTAGCTTGTTGTGGTTAGAACAGGAATTGTCTTTATGGGATCATGTGTGTATGTGTGCGTGTTTAGAAAATATGCCAATGCTGGCAACTTGACTTTGGACTTCAGCAGAAGTTAGGGATAGCTTAACGGCTACTTAGGCTGATAGTCCTTACATTCCCATCCTTCTGCTGACATTTCCTGCTCTGGGATGAGGTTGGCCATTCTTTTCTAAATAAGGATCACCAAGTGAAAAGAGGCTAGGAGAAGATTTTCTTAATCAAAGTCAATATAATTCAGATAGTTGGCTGAGGGCGCCTGAGGAAGTAAACACTAGCAGAGAGCAAGGGAGTCTGGGAATTTGTGTGGGCTTGAGTGTACTCCTGTCTGCAGGGCCAGGGGCCATCTGATTGCTGTAGGTCAGGCAGTAAAGAGGGAAATAGTCAGGCATCATTTGCTTCTATTTCACTTCCACCGTCTCTGTCTTGGTTTCTTGTTGGTGGTCACTTTCTTGTTATGTTTATTAGCTATCTATCTAACTGCATAACAAGTAATCCCAACACTTAGCAACTTTAAACAACAAATGCTTATTTTCTCTGTGGGTAAGGAATTTGAGGATAGTTTAGTTTGGTTGTTCTGGCCCAGGCCTTCTCTTGAAGAAACTTCTGGAGAAAATCTGTCAAGATCTTGGCAGAGACTGTAGTCTTCTGAAGGTGTCACTGGGGCTGTAGAATCTTCTCCCAAGATGGCTCCTCCACACAGGAGGTCTTGGCTCCATGTTGGCTATTGGCAAGAGGCCTCAGTTCCTTATTACATGGACCCCTCCCACAGGCTGCAGAGTGTCCTCATGACATGATAGCTGGCCTTCTCCAGAGCAGATGGCCCAGGAGGGAGTAAAGTTGACACTGTCTTTGTGACCAAGCCATAAAAATCACACACTGACATTTCTGTTGTGTTTGACTTATTAGAAACAAATCATTTAGTTCAGCCCACACACAAAGGGAAGGGTATTAGGCTTTGCTTTTCCATGGGGAGGACTAGCTAAGAATCTGTGGACCTATTTTAAAACCACCACTCTGAGTTTTTATGTTCTCCAAAGCTAGAACAGCTCAGAGCTCACCCTCATCAATCCAGGGTCCTCAAGCTCCAATGTCACTAGCTATAGCCAGGTCCTCAGTGCACATCTGGACAATTGAGAGACCTCATGATGCTGGCTTTTTCAATTTACCCTCATCATCACTATCAAAGTTTTCCTTCCCTGTGCCAAACTCTCAGAACAGAGCCAACAAAACAAATGTGCTCATTTTCAAATTCTGTGAACACTTATTGAGTCAATTCTTGTTTAATCATTCTCAACATTGATAAGAACGAAATTTAGGCCTAATCCATGGAGTTTATGATCGAGACGGGGAGGAAGACATGCAAAATAAAGTATCAGCAAGTAGAAAGTGACAAGAGCATTAGAAAGTACAGATAAAGTGTCAGTATTTCCTGGAGTAAGTGAAGTATAGTGATTAAAATGTCAGGCCCCCAAGTAAGGGAGATGGATTTAAATTGTGGCAGTATGACACAGTGGTCACTGCTCAGCCTTTAGAGAAACATTGCTTCTTGTTTGACTCTTTGGGCATGTGCCTTACCCTCTTTAGGCTTATTTCTTATGACAACCCTTACTTCATAGCCTCGTGGTGAGAATTTAACGAATTAATACATGCAAAGTGCTCAGAACAGAGCCTGGTGCATAATAATTAATAAACACTCAGTAAATTCCAGTTTTGTTTAATAGCTTTGGGGCTTTCTTAATCTCTCACTGAACTGCAGTGACCTCATAGCTAAGTGGGTATGATAAAAACACTCCCTCCTCATATAGTTGTGAAAATTACAACAGGTACAAAATAAACTAGCTGAACACTGCTAGGTTTCATTTTTCAGATTAAGATATGCTTCCAGATGGGAAAGCCATTTGGCTTGGGTCTTGAAGATGTGTAGGATTAAGACATTAACTCAAGCCTGTTCAAATACTTACTGTGATTACTATTTATGGAGTTTCTATGCAAATGCTTTTGACTAGGTGTTCCAATAGATGTTATCCATTCTGCCTCCTCTCTTCCCATCGGCGCTACTATGATGCTTATGTCACAGGTCAGGAAAGTGACAGCCAGAGAGTGGGCATGACTTGCCTAAAGTTCTCTAGCTAGGAAGTTGCAGAGATGGGATTTGAAGGGCTTGGCTGACTGTGGCACCTGCCATCCCTCTTTCTGACTCCACAGTCTGGCTTCCTTTCTATTTCTTAGTGGTTTCTGTACTCCTCCCAGAGAATGAACTCAGGAAGGTGGGAAGGTGAGATAAAGGCTGGTTTATGAATGGTAGAGCATGACAAACTCCAGCATGGAGCTCCCACCCTGTCTGGTGTTCTCTGGTCAGAAGAAACACTTCCTGGGTTTGCCAACACCATGGGCGGCTCCTCTGTGGGAAAAGGGCTCACCTCTCACCCAGTGTTGTGAAGCCTTTTCTCAGAGACATGGTCCAGGATTCTTGATCTTTGGGCTCACAATTGATTTATTTCCTTAGATCAACCTCAGTGTGTGTGTGTGTGTGTGTGTGTGTGTGTGTGTGTAGTTTAATAAATCCAACACAAAACCATGAAGCCCAGACTACATGGCTCCAACTCACTTAGGCTACTTTCTCAGAAATGCAATGCGAGGTCACTGTGCCCCAGTGACATATATTCCACATTAATGAGAGTCATTTGCAATTACCTCATGATGATTTCTATCTTAATGACCTGTCATAGTCCTGTCTTTAAGACTACGGGGTCCTTGACAGAGCAGCCGTTGTGAAGACCAGGTCTTAGGCTTAACTGACTTTAACTTGCTGTGTGACCTTAAGAAGTTCTTTGTATCTCTGAGCTTTAGTTTGCTGAGGTAAAAGGTGGAGGTCGGAGTAGATGCACTCCACAGCCCTTTTCATTAGAAAAATACTTGTAATGCTGGGACCACTGTGTCACTCATAGCAGCAACCACTGCGCACATGGCATCCTGGATGCATATGATTGATTGATGTTTGTGTGTCTGCCCAATCTTCTGCCCTTTTTATCTGAGTTAACTCATTATTTTGTGAAGTCAACTTTGACCTTGGGGCCATACCTAGGCATCAGGTTGGCACGTTAGAGTTCAAAGCCTATTGGGTCTGTGGTTGGAACCCTCCAGAAATTGGGCAATCTCAAGCCTCTTTTCCCTCAGTCTCCCTAACTGTAAAATGGGAACGGTCCAGATTTGACCTCTTAAAGTTGTTAGGATGAACAAACAATAAACATAATGTATATGAGCACCCTGTGTGAGCCATAAAATTATGCTCGCGGGTAGGAGTTTCATGCTGTGACTCTTGACTTTCTGTTTCTAAAAGCCTGATCAGTGGAGGGCCGTCCCTAGCCCGTGTTTCACAAACAGGATCTTAGAACTATTCACATACCATGCTCAGTCTTTGATATGAAAGGAGGCTTTCCATATATTAAGGCAGCTGCTCTGAAGGTTGGTGTGTATCACTCTAGACAATTGGCTGAATTTGGATTGCAATTTGTTGGTTGTGATTCCTGTCTGATAAGTGGGGAAACATGGCATCTCAGGCTGGAACAGAGTTCAAATGCCTGTAAATTATGCTGGACCAAGTCAGCATCACGAACTTAGCTTCCTGGAGAGAGAAAAATGCCAGTTCTCTTGATTTTTTTTTCTTTCCATAGATTATACCAGAAAAATATGAGGAATATTTACTCTTTGGAGCATTTTTTGAAGCTACCATGATTGACCGGAAGATTGGCGATAAACCCATCAGCTTCGAAGTGTCTATCGGTAAGTGCAGGCAGCTTAGCACATACCTATTTCTTGGATGAATTAATCAGAGCCCTGTATGAAGGTGATTGTACTTTGGAGGATATTTGCATCTCAAAAAAGAAATGAAGAATTTCTTGTCTACCCTATTGTCAACATATAAAGGATAGATTTATTGTCCCACTTTTAAAAAGTGGGTAACAATATAGGTTTGGATTCAGAGATACTCAGGTTACTAATCCTGGTTCCATTATCCCGCATCCCCTTAATTTTCTCGAGTCTTTGGCTTTTTATCTACAGTGTAGGAATAATAATGACTCTGCACAGAGTTGTTGCAGGGTTTAATGAGTTAACATGTGCAAAGCACCACACATCCAGTCAATACTATTATTATAATCCCTAGCAATCTTACTGGCTGTTGTGCAGCTGAGACAAGGAAGAGCATTGCATCAGAGAAGGGCTTGGCTTACATTGAGGCAGCTCTCTCGAAATGGGGCAGAAGGAGATGGAGATGGGATCCAGGCCTTTTAGCCGTTCAGCTGGAGGTCCATGTGTGTATATCCACAGGCTAGAGGTACCCTCTGGGAAAAAGACTGGGAGGATTAGCTCTGAGGAGCGAGGCTCGGAGTGCAGACTGAGACAGACCCAAGAGCTAGCTCCAGGCACCTAAGGGCTAGAGAAGAGAAAGGAGGTCAGTAATGTGGGGCTCCAGGATGGGATCAGGACACATGTGGGATGATGGGGATCTGTCCAAGAAAGAACTTGCCAAGGGCCAAGAAGATCTCTTACTGGACTGGGTTCTGCAGAGGCAGTGAACTCGGTACGCAGATGTGTCCCCACCTCTGTACTCCTGCTTCTCAACACCCTGTTCTCTAATCTTAACCTCCATCTTTCTGCCTTCCACCATGACATCTTTCTGTTGACTCCTGGGACTACCCAGGCCATTCTTCTGTGTTCTGTCCTCTTCACTCCCTCTCTGTCCATTTCATACTACATGGTCCCACCCTTCACCCACTCTCTTCCCAGTTGTTCACTGTCTTTTCTGTTATTCTGTTAAAAACTAGAAACCTTTGATCCACCTATTTGTCCTCCTTCTCTTCTCTCTTGCTCCGGTTTCATGATCAATTTACCACAAATCCACTGATTTCAACCACAGTGGATCCCCAGAGCACTAGATAACCGTAGTAGTTCACACAGCTGCTGAATTTTAGAAAGAAAAGTTAAGCAAGGCCTGCCAACTGTAAGATCACCTTCTCTTTCTAGGAAGCCATTGTGCCTCTTCAGGCCCTAAACAAAGATGGGGGTAAAGGAGAAGGGAAGGAATTGAAAAGAGGCTCTTGAGGACATCACGATCATTGACTCGCCAAATATGTATCAAGACTCTGAGTGCCGTGACCAGTAGTGGGCAGTGGAGGCACAAAAATTAAAACTACAGCCATTCCATCTTCAATGTTGACAAAGATGTCTATCACTCTATCAGACAAGATGATAGAGTGATAGAAGTAGCATGTGGTGTTCAGGACCTGTTTAGGTCAGGTTCCCAGAAACAAAGCCTGAGAGGACTCTTGTACAGTGAGATTTTGGTGGCATCCACTCAGGAGAAAAATGGGAAAGAAGCAGCACAGGCAGATCTCCTAGGACAGGGAAACCAGTTGCAGCCCTAGACTTGACCCCTCCCCGCCTTGAAGCAAGGCGTGGCTCTGTGGCTTTTACATCCACAGTGAGTGGCTTTCAGCATAGGTAATCTTTCAGGAGAGGCCGTCTCCATCAGTAGAAGGCACTATCCAGGGCAAGTGTCTACTAGGAGCTGCTGGCAGCTATTTTGGGATCTGGGGACTGGGTGCTCCTTCCCAGTAAGGGCATCTGGGTGAGGCACCAACAGCATCTACTACAGAACTACAGAGCAGTGGCTCAGAGCCTGATGTAGACGGGAGGAAGAGGCCAGGAAAGGAGGCAATCAGGAGAGGAGGATTTTGAAAGGCTTCCCAAGTTAAGAAGCTCTGTCATCACAAGCTTATGAACCCAGACCTTTCTTTATTTAAACAAAATAGAACACCTCTATAATATGGCTGGCTCTGGGTCTCCTTCCAAAAGTGGTAAATGTTCACCTTAGTTTTTTTAAGCATTTGAAATCAGATTATAAAATGAAGAGCTCAATGGCACTAATATGCATATAGGGGATATCTATTCTTATAAAACATACTTTTAGTACACAAACTGCCCTAGTTGTCCCCACAGGATATTCCCTTTCTCTTCCTTCCCTCTACTTCCTTTCGATTCTCTTCCCTTCCATTCTCTTCCTCTCCCTTCCCTTCCCACCCCTTCTCTTCCCTTTCTTTCCCTTCCACACTTACTGTTTAAAACATGATTTTTGTCTTTGGGGACTTGGACAAGAACTCTTCTCTTAGAGAAGAGACAGTTTTGAAAAGGCATTCATGATATTGTGTTGAGTGAAAAAGATTATAAAATGACATATCTATAACTATCCTTTAGTGACATCTCTATGAAAAATTTTGGCAGGATAAATTAATTTTAGAATTTCTAGTAACTCTTCTTCTTTCCTTAATGTGAGTTCTAATTTGTAACTTATGAAGGTTTTACGAAAGAGGAAATAAGATGGATGGAGACGATGGCTCATTGCCACGATCCAGCTTAGTTTTTGTTCTCACCATTCATTCTTTCCACTTTCATCCTGACATCTTAATTCCTTGTCATGGGAAGACGTGAACGTGGATCTTTTATGCCAAGCTTACTGTTCCCGCTTACTGACACCCAGCCCCTTTCCCCTTGCACTGCCTGTGCAGGTAATTTTGGAAACCTGATTGATGGAGGGTCCCATCATGGGAGTAAGAAGAAGTCAGCTGAGTCAGCTGAAGAAGAGGGCCTTCCTCTGCTGCATGAAGGAGAAGGGGATGTGGCCCATGATATAGCCATTTCCACGGCCTCCACCACTCACCCAGAGAAGCCTCTGGTGACAGATGGGAACAGGTAGGAGATGCAGTAGGCAAGAACAGCCGAGGTTTCTGATGGTGTGATTTTGCCTGATAGTGAGATTGTTCCACTCCATAAAAATAAAACATAAATTAAAAAAAATCTCAGTTTGCTGAGGTAAAAGGTGGAGGTCAGAGTAGATGCACTCCACAGCCCTTTTCAATAGAAAAACACTTGTGATGCTGGGACCACTGTGTCACTCTCAGCAGCAACCACTGTGCACATGGCATCCTGGATGCATATGATTGATTGATGTTTGTGTGTCTGCCCAATCTTCTGCCCTTTTTATCTGAGTTAACTCATTATTTTGTGAAGTCAACTTTGACCTTGGGGCCATACCTAGGCATCAGGTTGGCACATGTTAGAGTTCAAAGCCTATTGGGTCTGTGGTTGGAACCCTCCAGAAATTGGGCAATCTCAAGCCTCTTTTCCCTCAGTCTCCCTAACTGTAAAATGGGAACGGTCCAGATTTGACCTCTTAAAGTTGTTAGGATGAACAAACAATAAACATAATGTATATGAGCACCCTGTGTGAGCCATAAAATTATGCTCGCGGGTAGGAGTTTCATGCTGTGACTCTTGACTTTCTGTTTCTAAAAGCCTGATCAGTGGAGGGCCGTCCCTAGCCCGTGTTTCACAAACAGGATCTTAGAACTATTCACATACCATGCTCAGTCTTTGATATGAAAGGAGGCTTTCCATATATTAAGGCAGCTGCTCTGAAGGTTGGTGTGTATCACTCTAGACAATTGGCTGAGTTTGGATTGCAATTTGTTGGTTGTGATTCCTGTCTGATAAGTGGGGAAACATGGCATCTCAGGCTGGAACAGAGTTCAAATGCCTGTAAATTATGCTGGACCACTACATTTTCTAAACCCTATTCTTCTCATGGAACACCACTACTTTCTGTCTACACTGCAGTTCACCTAAGAAACCACCAGTCTTTGTAGAACCAAAGAGCCCTGAGCTCCATCAGCTTGAAATGATCCAAACCAGAGAAACCTTGGGCAAAGTACAGTAGTGAGTGAGAATTTATTTAGTTGCAGAATCTTTAGTGCTATAATTTAAAAGGAGATAAAATCAAGAGGGAAGTTTGGTTTCTAAACTTTTTGTTGTCCTTGTGCTGTAATGACAACCTCAGTTTCTGCCAAGAACCTATTTGCTTTTTTTTTTTGAATGGATACCTGCTGGCTTGTTTCCTATAGAGCAGGCCAGGGGGCTCCTTTGCCAATTCTTTGTCTACTTCAGAAGAAATTGGAGCTGGAGAGCCAAAAAAGAACAGCCATTCCTTTGTTCAGGCTGCAGTTCTCTTCAGCTTTTTTTGGAATGGAAACAAAGCTTGTTCTCTCTGCCTCTGTCTGTCTCTTTCTCTGTCTCTCCCCACCCCCACTACCATAGATGTATTGTTTGAAATACTGCAGATTGTCAGAGCCACCTGTCCTGCCATACCCATTCTAAGTGTTTGTTTTGGCCTTTCTTCCATAGTTTTCTTTACAGTCCCAGTTGTCTGTGAGAATATTACAAAGGAGTTGGGGAAAACCTAGTCAAGAAAATACCTGTCATTAGGCAGGGAACTTCTAAACTTTTTACCACTTCTCTACCATCTTATCTGCCTCTATACCTATTCATTTTTCCTCAGGAATCAAAGCTACACAGTAATTTCTTTCTTTTCTGTCTTCCATCTCACCTTGTTAACTGTCTCTTTCTCATTAGTATTTTGAAGGTATTTCCCTGGCACCCTTAAAGATTCCATGTGGCTCTATTAGTCACTTTGCTATTCCTCTTGTCCCTTCTTGTCAAGCAAGTTACCTACATTATTAAACCAATGCCAGGTAATAATAAATATTGTGTGGATGGATAGGTGGATGAATGGGTGCATGGATGGATGGATAGGTGGATAGATGAATGGATGGATGGATAGTTGGTTGGAAGGATGGTTGGTTGGATGGATGGATGGGTGGGTGGATGAATAGCTAGGTGGATGGGTGGATGGGTGGGTGGGTGGGTGGGTGGATGGATGGATGGATGGATGGGTGGGTGGGTGGATGGGGATGGGTGGGTGGATGGATGGATGGATGGATGGATGGGTGGGTGGGTGGATGGATGGATGGATGGGTGGGTGGATGAATAGCTAGATGGATGGATGGATGGGTGGGTGGGTGGATGGATGGATGGATGGATGGGTGGGTGGGTGGACGGATGGATGGTTGGTTGGATGGATGGATGGGTGGGTGGATGAATAGCTAGATGGATGGGTGGATGGGTGGGTGGGTGGATGGATGGATGGATGGATGGATGGGTGGGTGGACGGATGGATGGATGGACAGATGGATGGATGGATGGATGGATGCATGGATGCATGATAGATGCAAGGATTATGCCAAACCATAGAATGGTGAAGTTTAGTTTGGGACATATGCCTTCACTCTCAATAATATTATTACCTTACATTTCTCTAGCAATTTCAGTTTACAAAATACATTATCATCTGTTATCTCAGTTGATCCTTATACATGCGAAGAATATAGACATTTAAAAATAAATTTTCCTCCCACAGTTTAAAACCTTTTAAAAGAACTCTTACCTGATAAATCCTGCTCTCTGGTGATCATTTCTAAGCTTTGCTGTTCATTTGATGGTAGATATTAATACTGCATTATAATCACATAACTCCTCGTGTTCATGGTTCCCCAATTAAAGACTAGGGAGGTGTTAATACTTTGATAGTTTGCCCTTACCCTACTAGAACCTTATAAAACATGAACATGTGGCTGGAATTGCCTAAAAAAACACCAATTACCAATGTACTTTTACAGGAATTACAACTATTTGCCATTTGAGGCCAAGAAGCCATGTGTCTCCTTCATCAGCTCTTGGGGAGACCAGACCTTCAGACTGCACTGGTCCAACATGCTGGAGAAAATGGCAGACCTCCTGGTGAGTAATTTGCATAGGTGCTGGGTTTGCAGTTTAGGCAACTGGGAGCAAAAGGAATTTTTTTATCCATCCAGTAGACAGTCTCAATCTCAGTTTAAATACAAGTGAAGTGAAGCAGCTGCATTTTGCGGCTCCTACTGTCTGGATCCAGAGGAATGAGTACATTTTACAAATCCCTGGACTGTAAGTCTAACTATTTATCTGCTTACTGTCACAAAATGGGCTAATTCCTTAATCTCTAAAAGGCAGAGTTGAAGACATTCTCATAAAATCGATATGTCCTGGTTAAAACTAATCCTTTTCTCCTATGCTCACATTATTACTTCCACTCCACACATCTCATAGGGAGAAAGCATGTTCTCCTCACTGTCCACACACCTCACCAGATAACCCTTGTCTAAGCCCTCCCATCCATTAGAACCTAAACTAAGGAAAGAACACGTTTCCTTTATAATCCCTAATCTTAATTGTGTAAAACAAAGTATTGTCTTTGGCTGTGGGATTCCAGGCAGTAGTGAGGTTTGGTCTGGGGTCACACCACGTTGTGGGGAGGGGGCACAGATCCCCTTTATAAGGCTGGTCTTGCTTCTCCCTCAGACAGAATAGATAATTTATCTCTGGGAATCTTGACAAAAACAAATCACTACTAGACCCTAGAGGTCTAGTAGCCTTTAGCACTCATTTCTAATTCTTTTCCAGCATCTCTTCAGTCATGGCTAACATAATTGAAGCTCAAACCCCCTGAGTGTTTTAGGCAGTACTATAATTATAATTAAAATTATAACTATTTACAGATGAAGAAACCAAGCATAAAAGCAAGTGCTACAGCTGGATTGAAACCAGGTAGTCTGAACCAGAGCCCAAATCCTTAACCACTCCACAGTGTTGCCTATTCTTCTAGTGACAGCAGAAAAAGGGGATCGTATGTCCTCAGGCACTAGACTGTGGCAATGGTAGAAAATACAGCTTTTGTGAATTCCAGCAAAGCAGTGGCAGCATGCACATTTCCCATTGGGGTCGTTTCCTCCAAGCTGCTGAATGGAATCCTAGAATTTAGACCCCAAAGGAAAAGTGCGATTATTAAGTATATAAATGTATGTCATTGCCACATGCAACCTGCCCTGTTCCCTGGCCAAAAACTGATACACTCAGAAAAACGATAGCCCTTTTACTTCCGAGAGTTTTCAACATCATTACATTAGTGTATAAAAATTGACTTGAAATTGCTTTTGGAGTTTTTGATAATCATATGCAATTTACTCTACATTATTCTACATTTCCCATAGTATTGTTTTCTCACAGGGTGGAGTCTAAGTGTACCAATTTAGGGAGTGGATCCGTGAAAGAAACAATGATTGAACAATATAGGAGAAGATACGTGTTCAGACTAATTCTGCCTACGAAAAGGAAAGCTCAGAGCTGGAATACAGTTGCATTTCTAGTTCATGAGAATCAGGGAACTCTTCCTTCATTTCCAAAACAACAGTGGCATCAACAATAATAAAAATAGCTAAATATTGGTTCTAGGATGTAACAATCAATACCTCTACTACAGCTCTCACTCCTGCCCCTTATTCCTCCACCCCTGTGATTTGTTTTCAGGAAGAAGGTATAGAAGAAGTGAAAGAATTGCTCAAGATTTCAGAAGAGGCACCAGAAGAGAAGATGAAGTTGGCACTCAGTGACTTTGTCAGTCAAAGCAGGTAGCTACCACGTGGGAGCTGAGCTCATCTGGAATCAGGTTTTAATGACCTTGAGAAACCAGTCAGCTTGATGTGCCTTCAGAGGGGCACTTTATAGTGTTATATCTCTCTTTATTTTGTTCAGTAATTTAGCTAGTGCTTGTGGGCTAACTATTGTTTCCTAGCACAAACCACAAACCAAAGGCTGAAACTTAAAGGAAAGATAGACCTATTGCAAAGATTCTTTATGAAACAAGGAAAATGCTTGTCACATTAGTGCCTAACATGGTGCTTTGCATTTGCTGGATACTCAGCAATGATTTGACAATACCAAACACTAAACTGCTGAATTGAAATTTCACATTAGTAACTACCAATTAAAGACTCTTATTTGAGGTGGTAGAAAATATAATAAGAGATCAAAAATAGAGAATAGTTAAAGAATACTGAGTAACAAATTACCCCCAAACACAGTGGTTTAAAACAGTATTTATCATCTCAGTTTCTGTGTGTCGGGAATCCAGGGGTGGCTCAGCTGAGTTCTCAAGGCATTGACTGAGATTGAAGTAGTCTGTGGGCCCAGATGGGAAGGACTGACCACAAAGACCACTCACATGACCATTTACAAAATTCAAATCTTCATGGGTTGTTGGACTGAGAACTCATTTTCTTTCTGGCTGTTGGTGGGAAGCCATCCTCAATTCCTTGCCATGTGGGCCTTTCCAGGCTGCCACTTATGACATGGAGCTTGCTTCATCAGTGACTGTGCAAGAAGAGTCAGATAGGACAAGTCAGAAAGATGGACATTTTAGTATATCATGACCTAAACTGGAAGCATTGTCCCATCACTCTTGACATTGTCTATTAGAAGCAATTCATAGATGCAGCCCACATCACAAGCGATGGGATCACACATGGCATGAGTTGTAGAAGGAATAACTCATTGAAGCCATCTTAGAGGCTGCTAACCCTATGTGGAAATAACTTGAACCAACTCTTGAAATTAATTAGGTCAAGACTTGAGAATTTACCATAATGGAATTATCAGAAAAGTGGAGATTAATTTGATAAAAGACAAAAACCAGTAGACAGGCAGTAGCTAAATCTTGTGTTCTACGTTATAAATGTTGTCTTCCCAATCTCTCAAAATTGGTTCAAAAGAACCAATTTTCTTTTAAAAAAGAAAGCAAAGAAATCAATGTGAAGTGTTAGCTATCTTTATTTCTTTTTCATTTTTCATTATAAAAGCAATATATATTAAGTGCTACTTCTGCTGAGAGCTAAGTGCCACCTGCAATTTCATTTAAAAGCTTCATAATCTCAGTTTTAGGAACCATTTGTGAGTAGATTAATAGCTCAGTAACTTTTCAGTATTAGGGGATTACATGAGGGTGACAATTAAATGTTCCCTTTTCTCTTCAAGTTTCCAGTCAACTGAGAAAATATTTATGAGGTTCAATGATCAAAATGTTAGTTTTATATTTGGTAAGTCTGAATTTGAGAAAGCAGCTGGACTTGTGGTCAAATTGGTCTTCCTGTTCCTCTTCCCTTATTTATGGTCAAGCTGCTGAACTTCTGGGGCACTCCTCTCCCCCAGCAAAGACCAGTCACTTTTGTCACATTGAAGTGATGAGGCTGTCCACTGCCAGCAGGCAGGCTCAGACCGAAATATGGAGAACAAATGGAGCATGTGCCATGTCACTTACTCTGAATTTGATGAGGAAACATATTATCTCTCTCCCTGGGGAGAAGGGGATCATAAGTGTTCAAATGTCTACCTGGGCTTACCTATTCTGGAGAGTAAAATGGAATTTTTGTGCCTCTAAAAAAAGCAGGAATGGAGCAACAAAACTCCCACCTCAAAATATAATTCTTTCTGTTCTTTCTTCAGATGAACAGAAAATGTAACTTTACTAGTAGTTCCAAAGAGAATTTCTGGTAAGGCTTCACATTGCCAACAGGCAGAGCCCTGGTGTGATGCTCTCATTGGGAGGTGTGGTAGGCTTAGACTCCTCTTTTGTTTCCTTTATATGTGACTTTTTTAATCACAGAAAAACTACATGCCTATCAAATTTGTGTGTGTGTGTGTGTGTGTGTGTGTTCTCAGTTTTTTCTCCAATTTTACTCTCCAGAGAGAAGAGATTAATTTGCTCTCCTGGGCTTTTTCATTGTGCATTTGTGAACACACATCCTCATATAAAAATACTTTATTTCATCATAAATGATCTTACACATTTGTTCAGCAGGTTGCTTTTTCATTCAGTAATACAAAGGCATCTTTGTACAGTTGCACATAATAGACGTTTTCAATATTCCATCACGTGAATGTGTCATAAGACATTTAATCGGTCCCTAATGATTTAAGTTGTTCCCATTTATGTTGCTACTATGAATAACGCTACAGTAAATATTATTGTGTAAACATATTCCTCCAAAATCATTCAGTTATTTGTAAGAGTAAAAATTCTAGTGTAATTTTTGAGTCAAATGATATATACGTATAAATGTTGATAGGTACTGTCAAATAGTGTCTGACACATTGTAACAATTTATATTCATGCAATCACACACATTCTTCTGTCCTCTCCCATACCTTCACTGATATTAAATATTATTTATTTTACAGATGAAATGGTATTGATTTTAATTTGCATTTAATTTATAACAAATGATAAATATCTTATTTCTTCAAGTTTTTCCATCATTTACATTTCTTCTTGAATTATATTCATAGCCTCTGCGATTTTCCTATTGAGCACATTCTATACTTCATGTCTAAACAGTGTTACTACTCAGTGAGGTGGAGACACATCTGAGTATTGAGTGTAAATACCTACTTTCCATGTAACTTTTCAGGAAATTTTGATGTGTTTTAAGTTTGAGAGATGAAGAAAAACTGTATTAGTTTGTGTGTTTTTGTTATGAACTTTGACAGCAACCACAATGAATGCATATTGAAAGAAAGTGGAAGAAACATTTATTCTCCAAACCAATGCAGGATCTGGGCATCACTTCCAATTCCCACATTGTCTCTTAAAACAGTTCATGCATCATTGTTTAATCCTAATTTAAAAATCTTGATTCTGTGACTCCATCATCTTTTCTTTGAATTGCAGAAAGTATATTTGCAAATCTCTGGAATCTTATAAATGGATTTGCACTGAGTAGGCTTCAAAATTGTTATTCTTCTCTTTTAGTGCCTTTATCTCTGAAGCAGAAAAAAAGCCCAAGATGTTGAACCAAACTACTTTAGATAAGAAACGACTTACACTCTGTTGGCAGGAGCTGGTATGTGAAAATCTATTTATACATTGAACAGAGTTAAAACATGTGCTTTAAAAAGAAACCTCATGAGTGAGGCGTGGGTCATAGGCCGAATAAGGATAAGGTGGCAAGGACATCATTCTGTGTGATGTAGAAACAAGGTGAGAAGGAATGTATGTTGAGTTGGAAAGGAGCTAGCATTTGTTGAAGGTTTACAGGTATGAGCTAGAAGCCCACCAGTCCTGCTTCCTGTTCTGTTGGGGGATGTCCCCCTTGCTTATTTTCTTGACATTTGTATTTTGTTAAAGGTTTTTGGCCCTTTATTTGTCTGCATGCCTCATAAACCAAGAACTCAAAATAAACAGCGGTTCCTCCCCTCCTTGACTTCCTCCATCAGGAATTGTCTAAAAGTTGTCAGCATTTCTTGACTGTCGTCTGATGCCCCTCTGTGTCCTGGACAACTGCATGGTGCTTATAGATTCTTACATATATCTATAAGCATCTATCTATCTAGATGTAAATATATAGTGTAAATATATGCATAGATAGATAGATAAATAGATAGATAGAGATATGGATATAGATGCTTGGTCTTGTTGAATAAGTAATGACTGAAAAATACCAGACCAAATTAGACCTTGAATTATCTCATCTCAAAACTTCAGTCCTAGCCATAGCGCCAAGAGACATTTTGCATGATGCCATGATAGTCCTGCAAAGAAAAATTATTCAGTGTTTGATTCCTCAGGAACATTTTAAAGATTTGAATGGGGCTCAGAAAGATTAAATGATTTTCTAAAGGTCATAGCTCATTAATTAAAGTCCGGAGACTAAAATCCAAGTGTCTTAACTCCTCATTTACCCTTCTTCTAGAACATTCCTTTCCTGTCCTCCCAAGTGTGTAAGAGGCTGGATTCCAGCACGTGTAACATCCCCCTGTCTGGTTCTTCCTCAGCTCATTGGCTGAGGTGCTGTCACTGCAGTGTCCCTTCACTCCATGTTCTCTGCAGACCTTTGTCTTCTTGTTGCATGGCAGTCCTGGGCTTGAACAAACCTACCACTTCACTATCTTTGTATGGCTCAAGTCCCTCTTCTCATCTCCAGATCGCTATATCCTGCCTCCTAATGGAAATCTCACCTGCCTGTCTCATTTTCCCTCACACTCATTGTCTCCTCCTGAGTCCACACCTATCTTACCTTGTTCTGCATCCTGTGTTGGCACTGCCAGCCATGCTTGTTGCTCCCACCAGAAGTCTATGTGTCAGTGTTAACTCTCTATCCTTCACCTTAAACAGCCAGTGTGACCCAGGTCCTGCTGATTCTGCCCCTTAAACACTCTAGAACTTACTCTACTTCTTCATCCCCAGAATCACAGTCTAAACTGAGTTCCTGAGCATTTCAGGCCTAGGCTTTGCAGTGAACTTCTGCCAATCCATCTTTCATATGACCACCAAAAGATTTCTACAAAAAATCTGATCAGATGAGTTGTGCTTTAAAAATCATTAAAGTCAATCATCCATAGGAAGAAGTCCAAATTCCTTTTGCTTGGTATACAGGACTGTTCACCATCTAGCATCCCAGCTGTGCCCTCCACTACTCCTTTCTCTTATGTTTGTGCCCCAACACTTTTGGACTCTTTCTGATAATGGATCTGCACATCTGATTTTTCCCTCGATCTGGGTAGTCTTTTGACTTCTTATGACATGATGAATTCTATTCACATTTTTGTTTGGTTTTGCCACTGTCTGGTTCCATGATGCTTTGCATATTTAATTATTTGCATGTATTGCTTTCACTTAACAAAACTATCAAAGTCTCAAGGAAAGGATGGATTAAGTCTGACTCTGGTTCCAGGCCTTAGCTTGTGCACATAGAGAGCAGGGGTTCAGTTCTTCTAGTCAACATTAACTGAAGGCACTCTGTGTACCAGGCCCTGGGCTAGGTGCTCACAACACACAGCTGAAAGTACTTGGTGCTTGTCTTAAGGGATTTTATAGATTGATCTATTCATTCCACAAATATCTGTTTAACACATGCTATATCCCAGGAATGTGCTAGGTGTCACTGCCATGTGACAGTGTCTCTCTCAGACACGTAACAGTATAAGATAAGAGCAAGGCAGAGGAGGCCCCATCCAAGTGACATTTACATTGTAAATTACATTGTAATGTTGTTTAGACAGGTAAATAACAAACACATAAAACTGATCACAGTTGTGATTATAAAGGGAATGTGAAAAGCCACAGTGAACAGGAAAGCATAGGGAAACAATACAATGATAGCATTTAAATTGAAGCCATCTGGGGTCTTGGAAGAGAATTTGAACAAGAAGAAGCTCCAAGTGCCCCGCCTTAGGACGGTCAAGGTTGGCGTGCTCTATAGCCTCCTGAGGACCATTGACAGTGGCCATTGACAGGGGACAGTGAGTGAGGAAAGGAAGGAGCATGCAGGGTCAACTCACACAGGACCTCAGGAGGCACTGCACATACACGTGGTCTGAAAGAATGAATCAAAACTAATACTTCCAAAGTTTCAATGAGCTCCCAGGCAGTGTTTCTCAGATAATGCCTTCTTGGCTGGAAGCCAGCCTCAACTTCCTCTCTCTTGCTCAGGAATGGAATTGCTCCAATTGCTCAGCCTTAAAATGGAATTAGTTGTACCCACTTTGTAAGCTTGTTAGTAAGAGCAAAGAAGGCTTGATATGGTGGTTAGAGGATTGCCTGGCATAAAGTAATAACTCAATAAATTTTATTATTAATTATCAGAAAGCCAAGGTTCAGGTCTTGTCTCACAAAGCCATGTGACCTTGGCAAGCCTTTGTTTCATCTCATCTTCATCTCAGGAGAGATGGTCTTCACTGCTTCATTGTTCCTCCGAAGTCTGTAGTAAGTGCATAGTATGCACAGTGCATTGAGTCTTCAGGTCTGTAAATGACGAACCCTGGGCCAGGAAACCCATCCCATGCCTCTGCTCAGAGAGGAGTGGATGCCCCCTTTGGGTACCAATTATACCTGTGTGTCAAAGGTGAGCAAGACAGAGCATCTGTTTCCAGCCAAGGAGTGTTAAAGTCTACTTGTAAGCAGTAGGCTTCCTTTTTGTTTTGGTAGTTATGTTAGTTCAGAAATGAGCATTTGAAACACAAATATAATGAGCCACTTGGAATGTAAGTCTGCGCTGCCTGTCTTGATTAGCTCAAAAACAAGCCCCATGAGGGGTTTATTGTGGCACTATACAAGTAGCTTCATGGCTCTCCTGCAACAGGGCAGTGTTTATCGCTTAGCTTCTAGAAAGATCTACAGTGACTCTTTGTTTTTTGGAGGATCTTGGGTTTGAACTCAGGGACTCACGCTTGATAGGTAGGTGCTCTACCACTTGAAGCACTCCGCCAGCCCAACACTGACTCTTGTTTTGCTTTAGGAGGCAATGTCCAAGGAAGTCACAGGGATCATTCAGCAGCAGAAGAAAAAGTTATCTCTGAATGAAATGATTCACGAAGCCCAAAACTTTGTGGAGAAAATCCGCTTTCTTGTTGATGAGGTAATCAATTGTACAGGTAAACCTCACAGGAAGAATTAGACTCCACCTAGGAAGGTCAGGAGAAGATATTTTTAAATTAATCAAAATGTGTATGGCATATATATATATATGTAAAGTTCAAGTATTCAGCAAAATAAAAGGCCTGGCTCATGATGTATAGAAACTTCTTAAGCTGAGTTTTGTTGGGGAAGGTTTGGGGGAGAAGTACAGATTTCTCTTCTGTGGTTCTCGAAAGTTGTAATTCTTGCCTCATATCAGTCATTCCCTTGATGTATACTAAGCAGTAAGGCAGGCAGTAGGTAGACATGGGAATTTTCATAAGAAAATCAGGCATTGAGTCATCAGGTCTGTGAATGATCAACCCTGGACTAGAAAACCCATCTCATGCCTCAGGTCTTGTATCAGAGAGGAGTGGATGCCCCCTTTGGGTACCAATTGTACCTGTGTGTCAAAGGTGAGCAAGACGGAACATCTGCTTCTAGCCAAGGAGTGTCAAAACCTACTTCAAAGCAGTAGGCTTCCTTTTTGTTTGGTAGTTATGTTAATTCAGAAATGTGCATTTGAAACAGAAATATAATGAGCTACTTGGAATGGAGGTCTGCACTTCCTGTCTTGATTAGCTCAACTTTAAAGCTTAATCTTCTGTGCAATTTAGTCAACTTTCTCCTGAATAACCTCCAAAAGTGAAATTAGAACACTTGGCAATTATATATATTAGGCTTAATATATATAATTAAATATATATAGGATATATATAAATATATATATAGGATATATATATATAATATATATATAAATCTGCAAAGTTCCTTTGCAGATTTGCTTTCTATAGAAAGTAAATTTATTTTTGTCTTTTCAGTTGAATTTTCTGGAAATGTTACCTGAATAACATTTACCTGAAGAAGTCTAATGCGTTAAAGCTAAGTCATTATTTCTGCATTAAAAAGGAATCTTATGAAAAGTTGTGCAAAAAAATGTTTGTTCTTTAGATGGAGAAGAGTAGGCCATCAAAGAAACCAAATCACAGGGCCAACTCATGTGTCCTCAAAACACAGGTGCAATGTGGACTCCCATGTAATTCACGGCCAAGGAAGCTGCACTTCCCTTGCTTGATTGCATAGATGTTTCACAGCACAGAACTTGTTTTGCAGAAGGACTCTTTCAGGATAGGAGAATCCTGGAAGTGTGCCATTAACCACGAGCCTATCTATCCACAGCCACAGCACACCATCCCTGATGTCTTCATCTGGATGCTTAGCAATAACAAGAGGGTGGCATACGCTCGCATCGCCTCCAAGGACCTGCTGTACTCCCCTGTGCAGGCACAGATGGGCAAGCACTGTGGGAAGATCAAAACTCACTTCCTCAAAGTAAGTCTGCACTGCTGTTGGTTAAAAGAAGGGACATTTTTGTCTTTGCTGGGTATCCATGTCTGTGATTATTCTCCAGTGCTTTCAGAGGTCTGAGGACAACTAGAAACCTCACCCCTCTTGATTCAAATGACAGTGCAGTAGGCACTGAATCTTCCAGTTTTCTAATTATTATGTCATCAGATACATATAAATTTCTGTCTTACTTTAGTGGCTGTATGTCAAGGTTGCTTTAAGTTTTACTTCTTTGATTTCTAGTAAGAATGAAAGTTGTTCTATGAAAAGTCTCACTGCCTTTTCTCTAGAGTAATTTGTCCCTGGCATCTTTTCACGTAAGTTAACCTATATTTTTAAATGAAGTCCATTAATATTGTATAATTAATATATGTTGATAGAAAAAAGAAAATTATGAGAGGAATAGAATTGTTAGCTCAAGATTCCTGGTGACTTTAAACTATAAAAAATATAATAATCTTATCAATTTGGGGCCTTGCATGTTTCAAAATAACTTGGTCCCCAAATGCCCTATGAATGGGTCCTCACAAACATAATTCCTGGGTATTTTCTTCTACTACAAAGAAATTTCTATCACAGCAAGTAAAAATGAGCAATGTGAGGATGAGCCACAAGAATGTGGGTCTTTTGATTAACTGTTCCCGACTCCTGCCAGTGTCTGGTGTGGCATCTTGCTGTAACATAATTATTCTTCTGCTGCCCCAGAGGGAGAGTAAGAAGGCTCAAAGTTATGCCAAATGAAGAACAGGTGAAGTGATGACAGTCTTACCTGGGAAGTGATTTGATAGCATGAAAGAGGTCTTCCAGTGTTTGTGGGGCTGCTATGCAGTTGGTGGGAGTGGAAAAGAGGGAAAGAAAAGAGGAGGAGATGAAAGAGGAAAATGAATTAAACTAGACCCCACAATAGACATTTCAGGGAAACAGTTCCTTATGGAAGTCCATATTGTGTTCCTCATCCTTTCACATGGACAGACATTGGACACCTGTTGATAACAATAGGCAGAGGGCAGCTAGGTTAGTAGCCTCCAAGTGCAGTCCAGTCTCGCCTGGCTACTATGGATGTGACTGTTAGATGCTGCAGACAGAAGGGCCCATGGAATTGAACCTGAGATCCAGTATAGGCCATGGCTTAAAGCATGGACTTTGATATCAGGTGAACCTGGCTTAGAATTTGTATAAGTTGGCAAAGGCTGTTGTAACAAAGTTTTGTGCACTCACTGGCTTAAACAACACAATTTTAGCATAATACCAATACTTACACGTCATTCTTCCTGTGTGTACCTGTCTCTTCACAGAACATCCTTTGTATAAGGACAACAGTCTTACTGGATTCAGGGCCCATCCTACTCTAGTACAATGTCATTTTAACTTAACTAGCTACATATGCAAGGACCTTATTATGAAATAAGGTAACAATCTAAGTACTGAGGATTAAGACTTCAAAAAATGAATTTTGGGGGAACAATTCAACCCATAGCAGAACTCCAGAGCCAATATTTACTGGTTGTATAATCTTGGGGAAGTTGCTTAACATTCTTCATCCATTTGAAGAATGTTTTTTTCCACTTTTAATTCATTAAGTGGAAATGACTGTGAGAATTAAGTGAGTGAATCCGAGCAAAGAACACACACTTGTGCCTCACGTAGAGTAATCACTTAAATACTGGTGTTAAAACAATCCACCATCCCAGAGAACATTGCTGTAACTGGATGTCCCCTCACAGAGCACGTCTATTGTTTACTTCTCTGCATGTTACTTTCTGTCAAGTATGTAAAATAATTTTAAAACTCACTCCTATAAAACTGTAACTGAAAACTAAATTTTTTCTACCCAAGTCATTCACCATAAATCTCAGAGATTTCCTTTTAACTTTCTCCATTCGAGGGATGTTGAGGCAAGAAACATTTGTCTTAAAAATAGCAAATCATTTCAAAGGCCATGTGCTAAAAATACCAGCAAACGGTATAAAGTTACTCTCTCCTAAATATTTTGATGTGTCCTGGCACTGCATAAAATTAGAACAAAGAACAGCTGTCAAATAAAGCCAGAGAACAGACATAGCTGAGAACAGAACTTTTGCCCTCTAGCACTCATCTTCTGTGTATTATTTTTATCAATATGCCTATAAACCTTGGCTTCCACCTTTAACTGTATTTTCCTGTTGCCGCTGGGATTGCTTTGGGTGATAGCTTTCTAAAAGTTCGCTGAATTCAGTTATAGCTACTTGATGAAACATCTTGATAAGATGATTCAGCAAAACTATTTTTGTTCCTGTTTTGATTGTCACCTCTAATTTTAACTCCCTTCTACCCACTGTGCCCCTCTATGCTTCGTTCTCTCCTACTGAATTGACAAGTCTGGAAAAGCAAAGGCGGTACCAGGGAGACTCAGTCTTCCGACATCTGCCACTCATTCTGGTTTACTAGCGGGGAATTTGGACGTGGAAAAAAAAGGCATAGAATTTAAGTCTCTAAAATCTGTAAGCCAGAGAGTCCTCAAAGTTTATCTACTCATACTTGACCTTCGAGTGGCTCTGTAAACATCCCACATGCACAGACATTTAGGAAGTTGCAGTTGTAACATTGGAAACTTTTGAATTTTGCAGTGCACATCAGCCAGTAGACAGGTACAGGAAGTCCTGTTCCAGGAAAACTTTGAATTGCTTAGTTTTGAAACTTCCCATTAATATTTTCAGACCTAAGATAAGCCAAATGTGAAGTCAAAGTCATGTGTAAGGTGGGGGCTACTGTATTTGATTTTTCCTTCTCTTTTCTTTTCTTACTTTTTTTTTTTTTGAGACAGGATCTTACTGTGTTGCCCAGGCTGAATTTGAATTCATAATCCTCCTGCCTCAGCTTCCAAGAACTGGGATTATAGGTGTGAACTACCACATCCAGACCCACTCCTACATTTGAACTTTAAGACTGGGTGAAAATACCCTCTGTCCCTCCTCTGCTCCCTTAGTTTTTCTCTCTTCCCATTGTAGTAAATTAACACAGCTGACCTCCTTGTCGACATGAGCTCTTGGAGGGAGGGCAAAGTGAGTCTCAGTTGCTGTGATGATGCCCTGGCCTCAGCCCCAGCAGCACTTGTGGTAGTTGCTTAATTGAGTTACTCCAAATCTACTTATGGCACCTGCAGAGCAAGACAGAAAGGCGAGCAGCCCTGCTCAACTTGGAGTTGGAGGCTTTCTGCAGAGGCCTTGGACCTTGTCAGAAGATTTTGTCCTCCTCTGTAGAAAGGAAGTGGTGTAGAAGAAAGGAGATATGACCTATAGGAAATTCTTAAAAATGCTATGAAGAGGCACTTAAAAGAGTCAACAGAGTCTTGAGTGGGAAGCGCCTTAAGTGCCGTTGGCTGCACTCAGAACTAAAGTCTTGCCAGCAGTCATATCCGGAGCCTGGGTCTCTGTAGATGGGGGCAGGAGTCCCTCAAACCTACAGACTGAGAAATACGGGCACCACACTATCCACTTGAATTGTGTCCTGGGGTACATGACCCCCCCATACATGTGCACACACATACAGGTATGCACTACACACACTGACACAAACATCAGAGGAAATCAATCTCTCTCTCTCAAGTCACACACACACACACACACACACACAGCACACCTGAGCCCATTCCAAGGGGAGGAAGCAGGGTAGCCAGGGAACCTCAGCTACACTGCATGAAGATGGGACAGAGAAACTGCAAAGTTCTGCCAGGCAGAAAGGGTGTGGGAAGGAGCAAAGCAGGCGAGGCCCCTCAGGCACATAAAGACCTGCCTTGGGAAGAAGCATGGAGCTCCTCCAGATGAAGCAAAGAGATGGAAACTCAGATGAGCCCCAGGACTTGGCAGTTTAGGAGGTGATTTCAACTCAGTGTGAGAAAGAGGCAGGCTATGGGGTTCAGAGTCAAGAGTCTAGACTTGGAATTATCTCTTCTGGTTTGAGTTTTGGCTCTGTCACCTAAAGACAGAGGGATCTTAGACAACTTATTTAATTTCTCTGAGCCTAAGTTTCCTCATCTATAAAACAGGGGCAATTAACACACCTAGTTCTTAGGTCTACCTGATCCCAGCACTTCAAAGTGCTCACCAAGTGCATGTTTAAGCCTCAGCCCCTCAAACCTGAATCTTCCTTTGGAGATGTGCACCTTAGCAATCAGGGCTGTTTCTCTCATTGTGATACACACAGCCCTTGAGGATGTCTCTCTGAACAAACTCCTGGTGTGACTCTAGGACAGATCTCTTTTCTCAGAGACAGATCTCTTTTCCCATGTGTGTTTCCTGCTAACTGGGCACCCTTCCTTGTAACCTCTCCTCAGCTTCCTGGGAAACGGCCAGCTGGTTGGTCAGTGCAGGCAAAAGTTGACGTGTACCTGTGGCTGGGCTCCACTAGATACTCCAGTGCCGTTTTGGACAACTTGCCTGTAGGCTATGAAGCAGAAATGCCCTCCAAAGTGACTGGCACTAATCACCCTCCATCCAGCCTGCTCTACCAAGGTATGGCACCCACCAGACAAAGTCAGCAGTTGTCTCTGGCAGGCTTCTGCACTGGCAGTGGAGGGCAGTATGGTATATCATTAGCACTGCAGCTACTTCCTTGACTTCTTTAATTCAGTTTCTGAGTGTCCTCCTTTACCTTCCAGTGTTTCATGTAGATGTATAAAGTAAAGACACTGAACACATCTGGAACAAACGTTTATGCCTTTCTGTTAGGGAAGAGAAAGCAATTTGAATTTCTTTATAGGTGGACTATGTAGGTTCAATTTGCATTTTAAGCAAAAGATATCTTTTAAAGAAGTATCCATAAGTCCTGGTACTGCTGTGACTTATGGCATTAAGGTTTCAATCTCTTACGTGTTCCAGTAGTGACCCAGTGTAGACCAGCATTGGTGTCTCTCTAGCTCAGATCTTGACTTGGCTGCTTATTGAAAGTCCACCTACATTACAGAATCCTTCCTTTCATGTTGTTACTTTTATGATTGTCATTATGTTTGCATTTTCATACAACTTTGAATTTTACTGTAAATATTAATGCCTTCCTGTAAATATGTTGCTTTGTTTCCAAAATACTTTAATTATCATGATTTTTTGCTGCTGAATTCAGACAAAGCAGATTGCAGTTTCTTCTTCATTTTTATTGAAGTTGAGTTTTGAGTTGAGCCAAAGTTGGAAACACTGGCAAACTGAACACACACCCAGGTTTCTACTCTGTTGCATGAGGCTCCTCTGATGTTGGTTGACTTTGATGCCTGTGGAATCCAAGCAGCTCAATTGTCAGAGAAGACAATGTTCTGGAGATGTGTGTCCAGTGGTTGAACTCATGGCATCTGTGCCCAAGGCATAAGAGCTTTGTCTTTGAGTGCCAAGCATTGTGCCCTCTAATTTACACATAAGCTCTCATTTATTTCTCACATTAACTCTGGGAGTTGTCTTCATTTTACAGATGGAGAGTATATATGCAAGGTATTCAGAAATTGCTCAAAATCATATACCTAATAGAGGATGGCACAAACCTGCTTTCTTTCCCTCGTTTCTATCCTACCCTTACAGAATTTCTGTCTTTGGGCAAATAACACCCACAACAAATTCTTCCTATGTCTACAGACACTATCTCCAGAGACCTAAGGACCCAGACATGTTTGCTATTCTAGCTACTAAGACTTTAGAGCAGAGGACAGATGTTTTCCACTGCTTTCTGATCCTCCACTGCAAATTGTGTTCATGCAATGACCTAAGAAACCTTTTCTGCATTGTGTTGACATTGATGGCCTTGGTTGCCTTCCATGCCTGCTGGAGAATTTTATGCTCCAGAGAGTATCCATTCAGCAAATAATTAATTTGCACTTATAGATGGAAAGCATGGTAGAAAAAATGTTGGGGGTGTAGAGATGAGTGGTGATTCTGACCCTCAAGTGGAGCAATCAGACATGTATCTAATTACAATGAGAGGAAGTAAGCCATGGCACAGGAGACAGACCACCAAAGTGTGAGGAGGGCTGGCTAGTTTGTCCAAGAAACAGACAGAGCTGGTAAGACTCAAGGTTTCAAAGAAAAAAGGAACCCAAACTTAGACTATGTAAATGGTGCCCCCTAGAGTAGTGGCAGAATGCTGTTTGTGTGACTGCAATTGGGAACTCTGCTGAAATTCCAGGGTTAGTCGTTTCAGGGGCAGCTGGTGGACATTCTAAAGGGATGAGTCACTTCCAAGTTCATACCTAACTGAGAAATCTCCAAACTATTCAGTATGCCAAGGAACGTGTGAGCTGTCTCCTGACATGCTCCTATCAGAAAATCCTTGTGACATTGTTGGGCCTTCCATTGTTTGCTATTGTCATTTGAAGGGCCTCTTTATCAGCAGGGTCCAGACCATACACATTAGCGTTTGTTGGTGTCTGTGGAGAGGGGAGAGACTGTAGAACTGAACAAGGAGAACCTTGCACTTGGACTTACTGAGGACTGTACAGAGCTCAAGTTCCAAATCCTTTGCAGGACTAGAGTGGGGATTGACAAGGTTGCTACATTCTCAGGTAACCATGTGCCATTCCCTGGTAACCAGACAATGGCATGGAGTGGAGGGACAGAAATGTGTGTACGTCTAATGAGAATCAAATAAGGAGTTGCCTTTGGTGACCCCCGCCTTTCTTTCCCCTCTCCCCCCTGCCAGTCAGCGTCTAAGTCCTGTGGCACTCACAGCTGCAAGGCCTCTCTCCTCTGTGTCCACCAATGTGCGGACCACCACCACTGTCTGGGATGCTGTACTCTAGTCAAACTAAACCACATCTTTGGCCCTGATTGGCCTGGTATTTCTATCTGGGTCTTGACTCACTGTGCTACAGCCACTTGGAGACATCCATCCTTGCCTATCAAATGCTACCAACCTTTAGGGATCTCCTCAAAGGGCAGTGCTACCTCCCCTAGAGTCTGCCTCTTTATATTTGAATGTGCTTTGGTGAGTGTGAATTGTTTTTTCATGCACACATTCTTATTTTATATGAACAGTTTTGTTGCATTTCTTATGATGTTTTACTTTTTTCAGTAAATATTAGACCTTTGTGATCCATCTATTTTGCAGTGTAGACTTATAACCTTTTGCTTCTAATTGCTTAACCAAATTCCCTGACATTTTTCCTGTCCACTCCCACAGTGATGGACGCTCAGGTTACTTCCAGCTGCTCACCACTAAGGTCATAGTGCAACCAGCAATGATAACAGCACACCAGCATCTTCATGCCACTTTGAAAGTTCTCATCTGCCAGGCACCATTCTCAACTGTTCAATCCCCTGCAATAATCTTATGGGGAGTTATTGTTACCCCCACTTTACAGACATGGAAATTAAGGCACAGAGAGGGTTAGTAACCATGTACAAGTCCCTATATGGACCTGCATGGTATTTGCCCATGAATGGTATTGGGTGTGTGTGGGAGAGGTGGGGAGAATACCCACAGGGTGTTTGTACCCTAAGTTTTTAACTAAGAAGAGCTATTTAAGTTGGTGTGCAAAGATGTTCATATACCATCCCCAAGTCAACACAAAGAGATGGATACACACCAAACCCAGTACCTTGGGAGAGAGAAGAATGGGAATGGGCAAGGAGGTAAAAAGAATGAGTGAATTCAAAAGCAAGAGGCTCCTTAGAAGAGCCAATGGTCATGAAGTTCCATGAGCAAAGGAACATGATTGACTCTACTTGAGGTATCCCTTCCCCCACGAGACACTGACACTCCACCCTGCAACCCTCTGTATGCTCACATCCTGTCCAACACATGTGCTCACTCTTGCCCGTTGCCACTGTGCCCTTTGCCTGTATCTCACAGAACACTCATCTTTGCCTTCCTGACACTGTCATTTGGGTTGTTTTATCCTCTGCTTCCTCGGGGGGCAGAGACTGTCTTAGTTATATTACAATCCTTAAGGACCAGGACTTTACCTTAGAGACCAAGACCAGCACTGTGCACAGGAGGCACTCAAAATGTCACTGGCTGGGAGAATGGATGAATGAACACATTTAATGTGTTTATTGAAGTAAAAGTTATTTATGAAGCTACCTCTTACAGACAGACAGACACACATACACACAATTAGAAACAGAATTATGAGGAGTAAAATATGGTATTTCAGAAAAAAGAAGTGGATTTTGAAATTAAATGGAAATAAAATCAGGTTCTGCACACTTGGGAAAGTATTTTAGCACTTTGGGGCCATTTTCCTCATCTATAAAATGTGGGGATATTTGTATGTGTTTCTTCAGGCTGTTGTGAAGACTAAGATACACAGTGTGACAAAGGCACCTAGGAAAACGCCTGGCTCCAAGGATATCCATACATAAAACCTCTTCCCTTTCTTCACGGCTTCCTTTCTGTCATAGAGGAAGACAGGAGTGGTGTCATCTTTGGTCTGTTGTGGATACACAGATGCACATCACACACAGATGTGCATCACACACAGGTGCACCATCACACCTGCTTCTCCTAAAGGCCTGCTAACACCCACCCTTCCCATGATTCCTCCACAGCCCGGCATATCTTCCAGCTGAGAGCACACATGTACCAAGCTCGGGGCCTCATCGCAGCTGACAGCAATGGACTTTCGGACCCCTTTGCCAAAGTCACATTCCTGTCCCAGTGCCAGACAACAAAGGTAACCAGGGAGCCAGCCTCCTCCTCCACAGCTGGCAGCTGACCCACAGCAGAGCCCAGGAAAGAAAGATCAGGGGACCATCACGTGTTCTGCATCTCTGAGTGCAGTGTTTCAGACTGAGAAGCAAGGGTGCACCAGGAAGGACTGAGCAGGGAAGGTCTGTTGTTCCTCTGTGAGCCATTGTCCTAAGGCAGAGGGAACAAGTCCTGAGGCAAAGGAAGGTTGGGAGGAACAGAGGATAGAGGAAGAGTAGCACAGCCTGCACAACTCGGGTGCTTGCTGAAGTGCCAGGCACAGTAGTGTGGTGAGGAATGTCAGACAGCCCTCCTGAGGCTTAGAGCCCATCATCCCTGGGGTATCTCATGGGGAGGGAAGTTGTAGTTTTGTAGTCAGAAAGTTCAGGACTTTGCACTCTTACTAGCTGGGAGGCTTTGCACATTTTAACACCTATGTGCTTCAAAATGCCCCTCCTACAGAGAATACCACTTGGAGATGGGCACGTGCCTCTTTCCTCTGTGCATCCCTCCTGTTCTATGCACTGAGTGATACATGGGAACAGGATCGTATTCAGCAAAACCCCAATAGGATGTCTTCTCACTGGGTCATATTCACCAAGGGTCTATTCTGTTCTCTGCTTTGCTGTTTGGAAAGAAATAAGTCCAACGAAGAATTGCCTGTGGTGGGGGGGAGTAAGACACAAGAACCCTGGGCTCACCTTCTAGTTCATCTACTCTCCAGCTGCATCTTTAGGCAAATAACACAACTCACTAAACCTCAGGTTTATCATCTTAAAATAGGGCTGTTGTGACGAAGAGAAAGTTAAGTTTATTAAATGATTGATAAATGGTGGCCATTATGTTAGCTGGTATCAAAAATGAGGGTAATGTTTTTCTCTAAGGCAAAGCCTATAACCCAGTTGATAGATTAAGCTGGATTTTGACTTATAATACACAGACAGAGGGGATGATGGGAGCCAGCATCACATCCACATAGCCAGCACCTGTTGAGTGCTGACCCAGTGTGGGCTCTACACGATGTGGAGATCAGACCCTGCTTCTGCTAATGAGCGATCCGGGGATGGATGTGGTCCTCTGGGCAGACGAGCTGGTTGTGTCCATGTGGAGAGAAGGGTTCATTCTTCCTGGGAGGGCAGTCAGGAAAGGCCTCAAAAGGAAGGTGACCCTATCCTCATTCAGTGACTAAGCATGAAGATAAGAAGGCGGCAGACTGTTTTCTCCTTCCTGCGTTTTGAGAGGTCGTACATACCACGATGCTTATGTGTGTAAATCCTGGAGCCCTGTTGCTCTGGTCCAAATCCAACCTCTCCCACTTATTGTCCCTGATGTTAAGCAAAATTCCTTTGTGCCTCAGTTTCTTTATCTGTAATAGGAATGACAGCAGTGTGTGTAACCCCAGAGCTTGAGGCACAAAGACAGTGAGTAGTTTATAACAGCTTCTATATGAGTGTTTGCTATTGTTGCCATGGAAACACTCAAAGCAAGGGAGCTCTCAAAGTGTGGACCCTGGGGCCTCCTCCACCTGCCCAAGCATGGTGCAGATCCAGCCCTCCAGGTTTCCCTGGGCTAGACGAAGGAACTGAGCAATCTCACTGGGTTGCTACATAATTATTTTCCTATTTTGCATCTCCACACAGTATCTTCTTTTGATTTAGATCCATTTCTCAAAGGAACAGATGGATTTTGTTTATCAAATAATTATTTGAAAAGGGAAATAGGTTCTGTTAAGCCCTGGATTTTATTCCATAATTTTGAATTTTGCCCCTAAGTTTTGTTAATAATAGCAGCTGTCACTTACTAAAAGCTGCCCATGTGCCAGGCATGATAACAAACATGATTTATGCATTGTTTGCTACCACTCATTGTGGTCAGAGGAGGATGTTACTATGTTCCCATTCCGTGGATGAGGAAAGTAAGGCTCAGAGACTACACAGCTAGAAGACAGTGGAGCCCAGATGGAAACCCAGGTTTGTCCAGTTTCAAGACCACCTTGCTTAGACACTCTGTTTCCGTTTTGATAAGAAAGTGTTTTCATGTTGTGCTGCCTCAGAGGAGCTGGCCAGTGGCAGGCAGGCCTCTTTCTTCCACTCTTTGTGATGGGGGCAAGCTGAGCACAGAGCCCTGCAGGAGTGGCTAAGCCCTTGTGCTCTCCCAGTAGCCCTTATATGAACTGGCTACCTGTTGTACAAGAGAACTAGCCTCTAAAGGCCTGGTCCTGAAAATCAGACCCTTGCAAAGTGACTTGAAAGTCCAGAATATTTCAGAGGGAGTCCAGTGAATGCAGACGTGGCTAGGGATATGGGACTTGGAAATCTTATGACTGAAGGATAGGAAACAAAGAAAGGTACTGCAGAGAGAGACTTTGGGGACAGATGGGGAGAGAGGCCAGGTGGTTAAGAAAGTGTTTTAGAAGGAAAGAGATGGAGGAGCTTAGAGAGTGGGCATCATAGAACCTGAGGTATCCAATAATCAGACTTGTACTTAGTCCTCTGAACATGGATGGTTAGGCAAGATTACCCAAGCATATCAAGGCTGCCATTTGACACACATTTGGCAATTTTTTCCCCCTGCGTGCTGGGATCAAACCCAGCACCTTGCAGATGCTAGGCAAATGCTCTACCATTGAGCTACCCCCCATCTCTAAATCTTTACTCCTTTATAAACAACTATGGACTGGATGGAGTATGTATGGGAGAGGGGTAACAAGCATCTATTGAGCATCTTCTGTGTGCAGGGCACAATGGTCATAACAACCCCTTGAGGTAGGTGCTAACCTTATTTAAATGAGAGAAACTAAGGTTTTACCACCTGCTCAAGTTGAACACAAGTTGGGTAATAAAACAAGGATTCTGCACAGGGTTATCTGATTCTAAAGCTGTATTTTGTCCATGATGTATGACTCCCTCTTTGGCGTGTTAGGTACGTGTTACCATGATCTCCCAAACAATGATTTAACCCAGTTAAATGTGTAACTCCTTAAGGAAGCCCTTAATGATGCTAGTAATCATGGGTACCTTGGCAGAGGAGCAGGAGAATGCATTTTTGTTTGGGTAAGCCTTTTAGTACCTCTGAAAGGCGACCCTGTGGCCTCTTACATATGGGAGCATCTCTGAGGAAGGTCAATGCCAGTTCATGTACCCACACAAATAGTTACTGATCACCTGCAATGCACAGGGTGCTATCCTAGTACCTAACACTGTGCCTGGCACACTGTAGGTCCTGAATAAGTAAGAAATAAATGAATGAATGAATTATGGCCTCAGGAATTCTACCAAATGGCATTTACAGCTTATGCCAAGAAATACATCAAAAGTAGTAAAGATGCTGTGAAGATCATACACAGCGTGGGTACCACACTGTCCAGTGCAGAGATCACATGCCTACTTTCAAAAGCATCATAAAAACACTTTGTACTCAGTCCCTGACCAAGGGTAACTTTGCATTTCAATTTCATAACTCCTGTTCACTGCTTGATTGAAGCCATTCTTTTCCTATCAGAAAAGTTATGCTTAAAACCACATTGTTTCTGAGGCACAAAATAGTCTAAAGTCAACAGCAAGAAAAGAAGGAAACTGCATAAACACACAATATTTTTATGACTCTCATAAAGAGCAATAAAAATTTTCTTCCATGACTGCAGTGCAAATGATTTTATGCCATAACTGGAGACAGCGCTATGTAAAACTCTGAGGTGATGGTTTTAAGTGGGCTGTAGAGCCTGGCAGTTGGTCCAGGCCAAGTCTTTATCCCAGCCCTCCCAGAGCCAGCAGTGGCAGGTAAGGGTGATTCAGAGATGCTGTGGAAATTTCCTCATTCACTTGTGAACTCACCCATTTGACTGAGCAGCCTGGAGGAGAGAGTTGTGACCATGGACTCTCTCAACACTGGCCTCACATATTAATGGAGCAACTTCTGCCCAGACATCAAACACACTCACCCTGAAAACAACCCCAGCCTTTAGCTCTCTGGAACTGGCCTGTTTCGAAACTTGCAACTAAACAGAAGAGAAGTCAAGCCAACATATACTCTCTGTTCTGAAGACATCTGGGTGGCCTGGCAGAGGGAAATAAGCCAGTTCTAGGTGAAACACTCATGGTTCTGGACCAATTATGCAAGTTATTGTCCTTCCTGGGTGCAGCCAGCTACTAATGTCACAGTTTGTTACCATAGCAAGCCCCACGAAAGAGAGATGTCATGCAAAATGGGGTGAGGGTTGTTTTAAAGATCCTGCCCTATTCAAAGCAGTCACTAAAGAGCCACAAAGCTATAGAATTTAAGAAAAATGAGATTTTCAATCTTAACTTTAGGATATTTAAAAACAAAATTTTATTTGCTCATAAGTGAAGAGTCACTAGACCACCTGTCCTCAGTTTTACTATTATGTCCAAAAATGGATATAATAGTAGCATTGACTTGGTGAGTTGGTGAGGTTAGCAGCCTGGGCTTTGGTGCCAGGTGATCCTGATGAAATCCTAATTCTAGAAGAAATAGTTATGTGTCTTCACTGTGTGAATACCAGTATTTTGGTCGTGATCTTATGCTATAGTTTTACAAGATGTTACCACTGGGAGAAACTGGGTGAAGGGTACATGAGATCTTTGTGTTGCTTCTTAAACTGTTTGATATGATTCTGTAATCATATCAAAATAAAAGGATTGATTAAAGTTTTTAAAAAATCCTAATTCTACCATCCTGCTGGCTCTGGACAGGTAAGCCTCAGTTTCCTGATCTTTAAAATGTGTGCCAATAACAATATTCCAAATTATTGTGAGGTCTGAATGAGACAGAACGTGTACACTGCAGTAGGTAGCACACAGTAGGGCTCAATAAAGAGCAGTTAAAGCTATCATCACAGCACTACTACTGTGAAGAGAGAGTTGAAATTATCTATGCAAATAGGGTATTTAAACATTGATCTGCTCATAAACTTATTAGGAATGAAAACTCTTCCCACGCAAGGAATCTTTGCATCTGCAGCGTCTAACACACAGTAGCTGCTCAGTGCACGTTGTTACTTGATTGTTGAATGAATAAGTCATGGTGGTGAGGGGCTTCCCTTGCCTTGCCCTCCACGTGGTTTGGTTGAACGATCCTTGGAGCCCCCTACAACTCATTTTTGGTCCTGTCTTCCAGATCATTTCCCAGACTCTGTCTCCAACCTGGAACCAGATGCTACTGTTCAATGAGTTGGTGCTGCATGGAGATGAGAAGGAGTTGCTGGAGTCCCCACCCCTGGTGGTGGTGGAGCTCTATGACAGTGATGCTGTGGTAAGTGTCTCCTGGCCCACACTGATTCTACCCCCTAACACATGCACTCTGCACTAACTGACTGTATTTTAAAGTAAATAAAGTCCTGCCACTCTGAGTGGTCATGACCCCAGATGTGCCTAAGGGCAGACTGACCTCAGCAAATGCTGATCCACAGAGCCAGGCAAGCTGGGGACAATCAATGGTTTTACTCAAGGGTTTGTTCCTTTGATTTCCCTTTAAATTGCAATTAAAATCAGGATCTAATTAGTGAAATTTAGTTGACACACACTTCTTTGGGAATGTGATACTTGTATAAAGCAACCTACAGCTATTGCCAATCCCTGGCTCATCTCCTGTTATTGCTGTTTAATAAAAATGTCCAGCCTTTTTGAAATGAGATTTTTACCGATCTCACTCAGCTGGAAGGAAAAGGATGGGTACTGTCACTGATGCAGCCTTTGAAACCAAGTCAGTCTTACTTGGTGAATGCTTCCAAGCCCTGCAACTGTGCATGCATCACTACCCGCCCCCCTGCCCCATGAACCTAACCTCTTCCTCTCCAGAGATGTTTGTGTTTTGAAACCGTGGGTAACTCAAAAGCTTACTGGGTGATTTATCTTACTAAGACAAGTGTTCTTCTTTTATCAATTAAGAAGTCTAAAATGAAAGGCAAAGGTTTATTTCTTTTATTTGATGTCTCTACCTCTGCAGGAGGTTGCAGAAATTCAGATGTATAAAGTCAAGCAGTTGTCCTGAGAAACTTTTCTAAAGCATCCTCACCAACTCAGAGCACTCCTGACAGCCCTGGGGTGGGCCAAGGTCAAGGTGGAAATAGGATGTAAGAATCACAAAATGGGATCAAGGACTTTGGGGAGCATGCTTCTTAGAAGTAAAAAACAGGCACAGAAGATCAAATACCTTCTTTAAGGTCACAGTGAGTTAGAGGCAGGACATGAACCCACTGTGCCCACTCTTTCCTGCATATTTGGTGGTCTCCCCTGTACACACGCATGCTGGTTCTCCATGTCACTCCTTCCCTCTGGTCTCTCTCCCACCTCTGGAAATATAAAATATAAATATAAATATAAATTTATGAAAGATGGTTTCTCTGTTCAGTATGTAGTATAGATTTTCTGAAGGAAGTACTTATTTTCTGAAAATAAATACCTTTTCGATTTTGTGCTAACAACACACTCCTGGCCCAAATATTTATTTTCTATTTCAAAGGCAGCCAAACATGTTTGAGAGTTTCTGCTACCTCTGCTTGCTGACTGCAGTATTTACAACCGTGGCCTTGGTGTTTCCAGTTTCTGTTCTGCATCTCCACTCAGTGATGGCCTTTCCTGGTTTGATCCTAAGTCAAACCTTCATGGAGAATCTGGCTTACATTCTCAAATCTGAAAGGAAAAGGCAATGTGGAAGAGAAAAGCAGGATGAAAGTTTGCACTTTCCTCCTGGAGAAATACATGGAGACCTGCAAGAGATTTTGCTTACACCGTGTAGTTGAACGGGGCCTAAAATATGACAATCAGATTTTTAGAACTGGACTCATGTTTCCAGTCTAGAACTTTCTCTCATTTTCCAGTGCCTTGTACCCTCATAACAGTTTGTAGTTCTATATGGCAAATTGGTTTCTTGGGTTTATGCTCACTCTTTTATTTCCAGAGCTAATTTGAATTAACCATTCCTAGCAGGGAGAATGAACAAGGTAATTGTTGGGCAGATTGCTTACTTAATATCCAGCTGTCCTCACTCTGCCCATCCCCAGGACAGGTCTGACACAGCTAATGGGCCCCAGCATGCCTCTTTGTTTTCAAGTGTGGCAGAACTAAAACTCTATTCCCACCTCCCTCCACAGTGGCCATGCAAGTGCTTGTTCATGTTTCCAAAGACGATGAAGCAGTGTGGCTGCTAAAACCCAGCCTAAACCAAAAGAGAATTTGGGTACTGTCTTGGACTGCAAAGGTCATATTCAACAGCTGTCACTCAGCAAATACACACTGAATGCCCACCTTGGGCCAGGAGGGTGAAGCAGTGAATGAAGTAGGCAGTCCTGGAACTTGCATTCCCACAGTTCCTCAGATAGATAGCAAAGTAGAGAGGTTGCTGTAGCTCCCTGCTGCTCCTGGAGGGATGTGGACAGGAAGTGGTACCATCAAAGAGTTCTTTCTTTTAATTAGCATATATCAATTGTGTAAAATAATGGATCTCATTATGATATTTTCATACATGTGTGCATTGTACTTCAGTCATATCCACGCTGCTATCACCCTCTCATGTCCCACTCCTCCCTCCTGCTGATAATCCCCCCAAAAGAGATTTCCCTTCTGTTTTTTTCTTTTTAAAATTTCACATATAACAGAAAACATGTGGTATTTTTCTTTCTGAGTCTGGCCTATTTCACTTAACATGATAATCTCCACTTCCATCCATTTTCCTGCACACAACGTAGTTTTGTTATTCTTTTTGGATGAATCATACTCCATTGTGTATGTACACCACAGTTTCTTTATCAGTTCATCTATCTATTCATGGGTGCCTAGGCTGATTCCATAACTTGGCTATTGTGAATAGTGCTGCAGTAAACATAAGTGTGTGGGTATGGCTTTTATAAGCTGACTTCGATTTATTCTCGAATATACCCAGAAGTAGTATGGCTGGATCATAGTAGCTCTATTTTTAGTTTTTTTAAGGAAACTCCATACTGATTTTCATAGTGACTTCACTGATTTACATTCCCACCAACAGTGTATAAATGTTTCTTTTCCCCTGCATCTTCTCCAGCATTTGTTGTTTGTTTCTTGATGTTAGTCATTTTGACTGGGATGAGATGGGATCTCAGGGTGACTTGATTCATGTTTCCTTTATAGATAAACATTTTTTCATGTATTTATTGGCTATTTCTACTTCTTGAAAACTGTTCCATTCACTTGCCCATTTATTGATTGGATTATTTATTCTTTTGGTATTTAATTTTTTTAGTTAAACACCAAGGAAATTCATATTCTTATTTACTGAACTATTGGAGTCTTATTCAGAAAGTCATTGTCTACAAATTTTTAGGTCTCACATTGAGATGTTTGATGCATTTTGCATTAATTTTTGTGCAAGGTGAGAGATAGGGGTCTAGTTTCAGTCTTCTACATGTGGATATCCATTTTCCCCAACATCTTTTGTTGAAGAGACTGGTTTTTTTTTTATAACATATGTTTTTGGAACCTTTGTCGAGAATCAGGTGGCTGCAGATGAGTGTTTACTTCTGGATCCTTTGTTCTATTTCATTGGTCTTCTTGTCTATGTGCCAGTATCATGCTGTTTTTGTTGCTATGGCTCAGTAGTATAATTTGAAAACTGGTATTGTGATACCCCCAGCATTATTCTTTTTGCTCAGGATTGCTTTGGCTATTTAGGATCTTTTGTAATTCCATATGAATTTTAATTTTTTTTCTATTTCTGTGAAGAATGACATTGGAATTTGATAGGAATTTCACTGAATCTGGTGATACTACTTTTGGTAATTTAACCATTTGCACAATATCAGTTCTGCCAATCCATGAACATGGGAGGTCTTTCCATCTTACAGTGTCTTCTGCAACTTCTTTCTTCACTGTTCTATAGTTTTCATTATAGAGGTCTTTCACCTCCTTCTGATGAATTTGCCTTCATAAGGCAAATTAGTTGGCATTTTTATCTTACAGCTTTTAATGTTCTTTTCTTTGTTCTATATTCTTGGCATTTTAACTATAACGTCTTATAGAGAAGTTCTTTTCTGATCTTGTCTAAATGCATTTGTACTTGGATGTCCATATCTTTCCCTAAATTTTGGGAAATTTCTGCTCTAATTTCATTGAATAGGTTTTTCTATGCTTTTAGTTTATATCTCAGCTCCTTCTTTTACCTCATGGATTCTTAGGTTTGGTCTCTTGATCATGGCTACAGTTCTTGAAATTGTAGTCATTCTTGCTTATTTATTTCCCTTACTGCTTTATGACTGTCAGGTTTCCTTCATCTTGTTTTCAGGTCCTGTTATTTTCTCTTCTGCTTTCTCTGTGTTTTTATTTATTGAGTTTTTCATTTCCAACATTTCTGTATTATTTTCAGAATTTCTATTTCCTTGCTGACTTTCTCATCCAGGTGTTGAATTGACTTTCTTATTTCATTCATCTGTTTGTTTGAACCCTCTTTGAAGTATCTGATCATTTTTTAAAGTAGACTTTTGAATTCTTTGTTTGGCACTTAACCCTTTCAATATCTTTGGATTTAGCTATTGAGGAGTTACAAACTTTTGAGGAGTCACATTGCCTTGCTTTTCCATATTTTTTGTGTTTCTACTTTGCAATTTGCACATCTAATGTGATAGATATTTCTTTCATTTATTTAATGGTGGTCTTTTTATTGGGAAGCCTTGATGATCCTCACTATCACTTAGAGGAGAGAAAGCAGACAGCAGTAACAAAAAACAAACCAGATATTTAAATGCTCTAAAAAGCAATTGGAAAAATCACCTATACCCCTCCAAATAAGGTTGGAAAAGAAAGAAACTAGAATAATTACAGGATAAAATGGGAGTTTAAAAATGATTAAAGGTATTAATATTAATAAAAAGAGGGAGGATTGGGAAAGGAAAAAGAGAGAACCAAGATAGGAAAGAGAGGAAAAAATATATGGGATGAAGGTATGAGTGAGGGAGGACACAATGAAATACAAAGAATAACAAAGTACACAGAAAGACAAAACAAGTTTTAAAGAAAACCACCAGTTGATATTTCTTCCTTCCTGTCTTTTACAGTTTACTTTGTGTGAGGGGCAGCCATTTTTCTCTCTGAAGTCTAAACAATTTAGTGCAGAAAGGCCCATTGAGTCTTCCCTGCTGAGTTAAATGCCTGTGCAGGAGCCCTCCTCACACTGCTCCCACCAGCTCCCCTGGTCAGATGCCTCCTGGCAACAGAGACATTGTGTTGGGTTTGGTGTGGGAAACTCCTGAGCAGCTTTTGCTTTCTACCAATCTCTCCAGATCTCTGAAAGTGTACCAAGCAGTCACGCTAAAGTAGTCTGTGTTAGTGGGGCAAAGAATGAGGCTTTGACTGATTCTGTGTGCCTTGTGACCTTTTTTTTTTTTTTTTGTTCCGTTTTGACAGTACTAGAGTAGCTAAGCAGGTGCTCTACCACTTGAACCATGCTTGGTGCCATAGCCTCAGTTCTTTGTCTTAAAACCCTCTCTTGTATTCACACACAGCTGGTCTCTTTCCTGCCCCTGAAATGTGGCTTGCGTGTCCTTCTCAAGGAAGTATGTGTCTATGAATCTGAGTTCAAGTCATAACCAGTTTCCTGGGTTTACACTGATTCTTGGGGTGATCACTAACTTAGCCAGTGGAGGGAGGGTGGCTGATAGGTTTGACTACAGGACTTTTCCTAAGATGATTTTTTTTTCCCATGGCACCAGTGAGCAAGCTTAGAAGTGCAGGTGCCTCTTCTCAGTTCTGCTTGTTTCATGGCATGCACATCTCCCATCTGAAACTGCATCTTTGCAGAGTGCTAGCTTGTGTACCTGTGAAGCTTGCCAAAGCTTTCCTTTTTCCCATACAATAGTTCTTAAGGAAATCTAAGGTCCATATGTACAAAAATATTTTAATTTCCTCTTACAAAAAAATTCATTTCTTTTGTGCCCTAGGGGAAGCCAGAATATTTGGGTGCCACGGTGGCTGCTCCAGTTGTGACACTAGCAGACCAGACCTATGAACCCCCCAGGCTGTGCTATCACCCCATCTTCTGTGGGAACCTCTCTGGAGGGGACCTCCTTGCAGTGTTTGAGCTGCTGCAGGTAAGGTTTCCAGAAATGGTGTCTGTTCTGGATGTCTGTCTACTCTATCTGGCCAGAGAAGTGGCCTGCTTGGAAGTGTCAGCTGTGTGTGATTCCTCCCTGCTATCTGGTGCCTGAAGATCCTCTCCTGGCTTTCCACTCACTGAGATGTCAGGGAATCAGGTGCTCTTTGACTTTGGGGCAGACCAGTCCTTCTGTCTAAGTCCATTCAAGTTGCTGTAACAGAAGTCCATAGATTGGATGACTTTTCTCTTTCTAGGGATAAGGGAGGTGGCATGTAAGAAATTAGGTGACACAGGCTATTCCTAGTGTCCCTGAACAAGTCAGAGTCCCAGGATGAATAATCATTATAAGTTTGGTCATCAAAATTTGAACTTCAAAAACATTCCTGAGCCCCATTCAGACCATGAAAAGATACAAAAGAGGAAGACAGCAATCGTCTGTGAGGTACTTACTGTGTGCCCAGTGTTGTGGGTGCTGCCTCATATACCTTTCATCACAATAGGCCTCCCTCAAACCTGCTGTGCTAGGTGTTATGATTTCCATTTTAGAGAGAGTAAACTGAGGACTAATAGACTTGACTGACTTATCTCCTTATGCAGTCAGTTGGTAGCTGAACTGAGAGTTGAACTTGGACCCATAAACCTTTGTACTCCTTACACTATAACATAGTTTCCCTGATCCTTCTCATTAAGACCTAGCAGAATTATGAATGCATATCTGTAAAGATCATGTCAGAGAGTAGATGCAGGATATTGGGAGGGAAGCTGAGCCCTGAAGTATTGATGTTCAGTAGAGAACCAAACAGAGCAGGGCATGGACAGGACAGAGAAAAGAAGGGAGAAGTTGGGCCTATATCTTCCCCTGACCTTCCACTCACTGAGATGTTAGGAAAGCAGGTGTGATTTGCCTTTGGGTTAGTCCAGTCCTTCTCTCTTATTCCATTCAGGATGTTTTAACAGAATTCCAAGGACTGGATGGCTTAAACAATAAATATTTATTTCTCATAATTCTGGAAGCTGGAATTCTAAGATCAAGGCACTAGCAGATCTGGTGTCTACTGAGAGCCCACTTTCTGGCTCACAGACTGCTGTCTTCTTGTTATATCCTTGTATGACTGAGAGACAAATGAGAGATCAATGAAAAATAAATTTCTTAGCTCTCCTATTATAAGGGGAGTTATCACATTCATGAGGGTTCTTCCCTCAGGGCCTAGTCACTTCCCAAAAGGCCTCATCTCCAATATCACTGCATGGTGGGACTAGAATTTCAACATACGAATTTAACATTCAATCTATAGGACTGAATGTCTATAGGAAAACCTGATTTTTAGAAACTCCAATTAAAAACAAAACAGAATGAAAACTCATTAGATGGCCAGCATTCCTAACACATCCAGCTGTAGTAAGAGTAAAGGCGCTAAGATTGGGCTCCAAGGGTATGGATCTCAGTTTTACCGCTTATAAGTGTGTGACCTTAGGTGAGCTGCTTAATCTTTCTATTTTTCTGCAAAAGGATGATAATCTACCCAAGTACTTGGCAAGGACTAATTACAGCCAATGAAGCCAGGCACTGGTGGCTCATGCCTGTCATCCTAGCTACTTGGGAGGCTGAGATCAAGAGGGTAACAATTCCAGGCAAGCTAGGACAAAAAGAGCAAGATCCCAACTCAGCAAAAAAAGCTGGGTGTAGTGGTGGGTGTCTGTCAGCTAAAGCAGGAAGCATAAAATAGAAGGATCATGGTGCAGGCCAGCCTGGGCAAAAAGCAAAACCCAGAGCAAAAAGTGTGAGGCATGGCTCAAGCGATACCGCACCTGCCTAGCAAGTGCAAAGTTCTGAGTTCAAATTCCAATACCACTATACACACACATATTCAACAAATACTAGCTACTTTATTAATAATAATATTATTATTCCATAGAGTATTAAAGCAAGATTTTTGGTTGCACTTATTTATTTTAGAAACTGAACTGGATAGAAAGGTAATGGATCATTTACCATGGCAGTTGAAAGGCTAGACTCCAGGGAGACAGACCATCATCAGAGCAGAGAGGTTAAAGAGTGTTAACAACGAAAGGGTCAGCTTTAGGGATAGAAACACTTGTATTCAAACCCAAACTCTGCTCCCACTTGCAGCCTGGAAGGTGCACTGAGCTACAGGGATGAGTCTTACGCCCATCCTACCCAAGACTTTGACTTGTGATCTAGTTTTGGTCCCACTTAAAGAAGCATTTCTATGGACAGAGAAAGAGTGAACTTTCTGTTAGGGTAACAGTCTAGGAGAGCTCTTGGAGGGATGGGGATATAAGCATTGACTCTACCTACATAATGGTTGTGGCCTAGGAAGGAGACAAAGTAGGACTAGAAAAATCTTGTCTTACAAATATTAGATTCTAGGATTTTAGGATGATAAGCCAAGTGGATTCCAGTAGAATCAGCTGTAGCAGATAGATGTGTGGCACAGAAACATGAAGGCAACTAGGAACCAGCTGGTCCAGCCTTTCCTTTTCAATGAGTGTTTTAGATCAAACCCAGGTAGAGCACTCTACAACACTGAATCCAGATGCAGGGAACTTTCCCTGTTGATCTCTCTACTTCTAGAGCAAAACCTACTTTGATGTTCATCTGTTTATCATGCCTCTCTCAAGTCACAACTTCCCTTAGCACAGGCTTCAGACTTGGTGGCTCCAGAAAAGATCGATATTACCTATGGGAACATGTCCCAAATTCTGCTTCTTGGAGCAGTGGTCCCTCCAAATACGTGAAAAAAGAAAAAAGCTAGGAATCATTTCACAATTATACATTTTAACAGCATCATTTTGCTTTTAAAATTCTTTACCACTTATGGCAAGTGGTAATTCTTAAAAACAAAACTGTACCCAATAAAAATGGTTCCTGGAGAATGGTAGAGGTGGTGCAGGTGGTGGAGGAATGGCTGACATGGGAAAACTTGATCTAGTCCAACACTCACCAAGGAAGCTGAGGTTCAAGGTTAGCTGAACTGGGGTCAGACACCTGCTCTTCTTAACATGCAGCTGCCTTCATGAGTGCTCTCTGGACCTGAGTTCCCCATCTGTCAATCAATCCATGAATAAGATGCTGGATGGGGTTGGTCCCTAAAGGCCCTTGAGGGCTCTGCTCTCTGGGTCCCATGGTCCCACCTCCTTTCTTCCTCCCTCAGTGCTGAGCTGGGTGCATTGGTCAGAGACCCCACTGCTTCCTGACAGCTGACCTAATAGCAGAAACATTGTAGGAGGCAAGAAGCTTAAGAGTCACAATTAGTTAGGGTTTCATTAGGGGTTCTTCTCATTTGATCACTTGTTCAAAAAAGTGATTTGATCATCAGCATGACTGTCTTAGCATGCAGTTCTCAAACATGCTGAAGAGAGAGGGACTGCAAATGACTTACTTTGTCACCAGCTGCTCTCAGTTTGCATCTATGGATGGCTTCCTGTCTTCAGCACCGAAACACTTCCGACACATAAGACTTTAGTGGGTTGGTTCTTCTATGCACAAGATCAAATCCCTGATTTCCATTTCCCTCCCCACTCCCGGCTAGCTGCCCCTCTGTCCTCCCAAGTCTAGTCCGAAGCCTGCTGTTTCCAGATACTCTGGCTGGGGAAGTCAGAGGGAGCCTTAATTCTGCACAGGGTGTCTCTGTCTGTAGCCCAACCCGTCCTGTGAGTAGATGGTTCCTTGCTCCGTTCCCATCCTCTCTGTTCCCCTGGGCTCTTTCAGTTCTTATTTGAGTGTTACACCATCTCTTTTTTGGTCTGCTGACCTATCATCTTCCTGTTCACTCCATCCTTCACATTCTCTCTAGAACATAAGTTGGCCATAACACCTCCTCTTCAGAAATCCTCAGTCGCTCCCCGTTTCTGACCTCTAAGAACATTTTCCAGTCTTTGTTTTTTTTTCTTTTTTTTGAAACATCAATCCCTCCAAATTGAAAAGAAAGTTTGAGAAATACTTTAAGTTGTATTTCTCTTGGGCATTTGAAATGCTTGTTACCATTGTAAAGGCTCTGAGAAGTCGTGTAATGAAGTGCTTTACATTTTTTCTTATTCAAAAGCCAATTGTTTCTAAATGTGTTTGACCACAAAACTTTTTTGTTTCATAATAACTGTTTATATTCCATGAGGAGAACATCTGGACTCTAGGAGAGTGTCAAATTTCCATGACCTGGCTTTTAAATTCTCTCAAACATTGTCTTAAAGCCACTTTTTCAGCCTCCCGTCTGTCTGAGCCTATTACCCACTCCATACACCACAGGCTTGTTGTGCCAGACCACTCTGATTTTCCTGATCTCACGGAGAAGTCACACTGCTAATCTGTTTGAAGTGTTTCCCCACTCTGCCCACCCCAACCACTGCAGCCCCATTTACTTGTCTATGAAAATCATCAACGTTCAGAGCAAGAGAGAGAGGGCTGTTCCCAGAAGTCTTCTCACTTCGCCCCAACCGAATTAAATGTTCTGTGCTCTTCCCTCCTACACCTTGCCTCTTTCTGTGTACTTAAAGGGAGCTGTTCACAGGCAGTTGACACACTCCTCTTCTTCTCAGTGTAGTACGTGCGTTTCTTGAGGGCAAAGACTGCTTCACATTCACCCACACATTCGTTTATTAAGTGCGTACTATGTGCCAGATGAGTTCCCGTAGGATCTTCCTAAGTGAACAAAACGTGATCTCCCTGTCCTCATGGAACTTACATTCTAGTGGTGGCAGGGAACAGGAGACAAACATGCAAATTATAACAGCAATATTCAAATGATGTAGCTTGTCCCAGTGTGGCGAGTGCTGTGGAGAGAAGGGAAAGTGGTGTGACATGCAGTGGACATGTGTGGGCTGGGGCTGGGACAGGGGGGACATTTTAGGCATCCATGGAAGCATCCCTAAGAAAGAGATGGCCTAGACTGACAACTGAGTATTTCAAAATAGCTCATCGGGAGGATTTGGAATGTTTCCAACACAAAAACAAAATGACAAATGTCACAGGTGATAGATATGCCAGTTATCCTGTCTGATTATTATGCATTGTGTGTGTAAGCATCGCATTCTACCCTGTACATATGTAAAATTATTATGTGCCAATTTAAAACATAAAAAAAGAACAAAGAGCACGTCTGGAAGCTGCTTCTCCACCCCCGCTGTTTTGTGGCTTTACATTTGATGCCAGGAGAGCAATTCGCTTTCCCAGTGTTTGCAGGTGGCGTTGCTCACCTTATCATGCCAGGCCACACTGGGTGCTCATCCTCTTCATGCTAGCTTCGTTATCTGGTTCATTCTGCAGCTTCATTGCCTGCAGCCTAGTTGGCGTTTGCAATGTCTGCTCTCCTTTTTCTGAGTTTTCTTCTATTTAGCTAAACCATTTCTGCTGTTGCCAGTCAGAATATGTCTGCAAAAAAAGAGGCAATGTTTGTGCTTTGCAGGTTTTGATGAGCAATTAAGCTTTTTGCCGCATATGGAGCTAATGTGACAGTTGGCCAATAAGTGTTTATCAAGAACTCACTGTATACAGGACACTGCTCGAGGGGCTGGGAGAAGGGAGTGAAGTAAACAAAGACTTCCTCTTAGCTAAGTCCTCAAGATTCTTCAGGCAGACAAACAGCTTCATGGAGAAGAACCATCCACTCCAAAGCAATTCAGTGTTCAGCAGAGCATCTGATTCCCAAGAGATGGAAGTGTCATCGGCCCAATTTCTGAGGCTCAGAGAGGGAAAGTGACTTGTGCAAGATCACACAGCAGAGCTTGGTTCCTAGACATGCTCTTCTAATTTCCACCTTGAGCCTCTACAGAGGACTTGCTGCGTTCCCAGGGTGTAAAGGATGGGAGAAAGGCCACTGAGGCTGGGGCTGAATCAAGAAGGGATTCTTGAAGGATATGTGTGGTGAGCTCATGAAATCACTGCAGAGTAGCTTACACATGGGGAAGACCCTGTTCTTAGTGTGACTCTCTAAGCCCTCTGTGGATAATTTCAGCAAAGCATGATTGTCTCTTGCAGGTTCACTAATTTCAAGAGCACAAGAAATGGCGTTTTCCTCCTGGTTCTGCCTTCAACAACTTCATTCTCTGTTTCACTGATTAAGACATAGTCTCTGTTTCACTGATTAAGACATAGTCTCTAAGTCAAGCATGGTGGCTACTCAGGAGGTATAAATTGACAGGATTTCGGTTTAAGGTTAGCTAAGACAAAAAAGTAATCCAGATTCCCATCTCAACAAAAAAATACTGGGTATAGTGGCATATGCCTGTCACCCCAGCTACGAGAGAAGTATAAGTAGAAAAATCATGGTTCAGGCCACCCAGACAAAAACCATGAGCTCCATCTCAAAGATAACCAAAGCGAAAACGGAAAAATGGACCAAGAGGTACAGCACCTGCCTAGTGAGTGGAAAGCTCTGACCTCAGTCCCCAGTTCTGCCAAAACACAAAGCAAAACAAAAAAAAGGTAGCCTCTGAGCCAGGCATTGTGGTACCTCCCTGCTACTCAGGAGGCAGAGGTATAAGAATCATGGTCTAAGGCCAGCACAAGCAAAGGCACAAGACCCTGTCTGAAAAATAACTAAGACAAAAGAACTAGGGATGTGGTTCAGGTGGTAGACAGACTGCCTGGCAAGCACGAGGCCCTGAGTTCAAACCCCAGGACGGCTACCTAAAACAAATTAGCTTCTATTTCACTAACTAAGGATCTCCTTTTGCAGTAGTACATTCTTGCTTTTCTGGATGTCTTGCCAGTTTGGAAGTAGTGGGATAGTTAAAACTGAATGGTTCAGAATCTGATCACAGCTCCATCTCCATCTGCTGCTGTAGTTACTGTCATTTTACCAAGCTGTGAAGATCTATCTATTTGTCTCTTGCTTTCTACCTTCTAAGCTGTGAACTTACTGAAAGTTATGTCTTACCAATCTTAGGGCAAACCCGAGGTGCTCACTGAGTTCTGGTCACACCGCAAACTATTGCATGTCATCAATTAATGAGTAAATGAAGGAGACCAGCCACACGGGCCTTGTTGCATTTTTAAGTTGACTTAACTGTAGTGTCTTGTGCTGCTTGTGTAGCTCTGTCACTCTTCCTTGCTTCTCTCCAGCCTGCTCACCAGCACCTGTTTTGTGCTACAGGTCCCTTCCTCTGGGCTGCAGGGGCTCCCTCCTATTGATCCACCAGATGTCACACAGATCTACCCGGTTCCTGCCAACATTCGGCCAGTGCTGAGTAAATACCGCGTGGAGGTATGGCTGGGAAGGTAGCTGGAAGGACAGTGGCCTGCTTTGCCAGAGGGTGGGTGGCTGACCCAGGGAAGACCCCATCCAGCTGCACTTGACTGGAAGGAGCCCTGCAGCAGCTGCACAGTTGGGGCCTGGCAGACCATACTGGGGCTGTCAGGGCACATCTGGCTTTTCCACCACCACTGGGGCATGCACACGAGTCCTCCCCAGTCTGCAGGTGACAACTCTGCCTGTCCTCTCCCCAGGTTCTCTTCTGGGGAGTCCGAGAAATGAAGAAGGTGCAGCTACTCTCGGTGGACCGGCCACAGGTACTCATCGAGTGTGGGGGACGAGGTGTGAAGTCCTGTGTGATCCAGAGCTACAAGAACAACCCCAATTTCAGCGTGCAAGCAGACATCTTTGACGTGGTGAGCCCCACCCACTCACCCCACTTTCACGGAGGGCCCGGCTCCTCCTTCCACTTGGCTTGAGGAGATGCTCTGGGGTTTTAGGTGTTCACTGTCTACAAGGAAGAACAGTTCAGTCATGAACGGCCACAACTTCAGAATGAGCTCAACCACGTGTTTATTATTGTTGTTATTAAGGGGTTTTGGGTGTAGAATCAAAACAGCTTGGAAAACTTTTGCTCAGAACAGTGGTTCCCAAAGCATGGCCCCCAACTCCTCCACATCAGCCTTCCCGGGGGACATTCAAAATGCTCACTGTCAGGCCCTGACCAGGACTGTTGAATCAGAGACTGTTAAGAGTGAGCGCCGACCCCTCTGATCTAACAAGCTTTAGCTACATGCTCAAGTCTCGAGCCACAGGTCTAGAAGATATCCTATTGAAATTTATTTCAATGGCTAGATTTTAAAAACTATTTGTGCTTAGAATGTCAGTGGTATTCATGTACACTTATGCTTCTAAAGTGATGTCTTTTGACAATCGTGCTTTTATTTATTTCAATATGTCAACATACTTTTTTTTGTGTTTTAACTTGGAAGTATGAAGTAAAAGTTTGCATTGTCCAATCTAGTCAGCTCCATGTCACAAAGATTTCAAATTAGCAAAGACTGTGCACAGTGTTGACAAACCATTTACATAGGCTTCACTGAGCCTCGTGGGCCACCAGGGGAGACAAGTGCACAGGGCACTGTCCCCTTACTTTCATCCATGCTAAATGACTTGACTTGCCTGGTGCAGTGCCTCATGCTTGTAATCCCATCTACTTGGGAGGCAGAGATAGGAGGATCTCAGTGCCGGGCTGGCCTGTTGAAAAGCACAAAACCCTATTTAAATAATAACTAAAGCATAAAAGGGCAGGGGGCATGGCTGAAGTGGTAGAACATCTGCCTAGCAATGGTGAGATCCTGAGTTCAAACCGCAGTTCTACACATACACAGAAGTCTTGATTTTCATCGGTTTTATATATTGAGTATGGGTAAATGGTCATTTGAGATGAGCCTTCTGCTAGCTGATAAAGACAAAATAAGAGGGTTGATGACACTGCCACAGAGAACACAGAAGTGGAGAGTTTTTGCAATTTAAACCTGGAATGAATTATGAGTAAGACCTCCCTGGGATTTTTAGTCCCTGTTCCCTGACTTAGGAAGGCAATGGTCCAGAGTTTTGGTGAGCCACAGAGCTGGCCTGAGGGACAGAATAGCAAGGTAGGAACAAAGGAGGGTTGATGCCCGCTAGCTTTGGGCTAACAGACAGGTCAGCAGGGTGAACAGCCAGGCCTGGCCAAGGCAGTAACTGCTTCACCTTACTTCTCCTGCAGGAGTTGCCTGAGAACGAGCTTCTGCACCCACCCCTGAGCATCTGTGTGGTGGACTGGAGAGCTTTTGGAAGGAGCACCCTGGTGGGCACCTACACCATCAACTGCTTGAAGCAGTTTTTGTGTAAATCCAGAGAGCCTCTTCCCCTGACCTCACAGATGGATGGAGCCCAAGTTGATCCAGGTAGGAAGGGCCTACCTGTACAGCATAGTAGATTCTGGAGCCATGACTATTGTCATGGTGCCCACAGGTACCTGCTCTGTGACTGGGCTCACTCAAGTGGCTGACTGGGCCTGTCTCATGAATTTGTTCCTCTACCTTCATTGACTGCTGAAGTCTTACTTTAGTACTTGTATTAGAATTGATTCCTTTAAGAAGACATCTTCAAATATGACTTTGGCTCCGTATTGCCTCTGCCATTTTTCTTGGCTTTATGCTTGATATGATTTTAGTTTGATTCACTTTGGATCTCAGGTGCTCAGAGTTGAGTTAATTGCACCTCTCATTTCCATACTGTATAATCATCATTGATCTATTTAAGGCTTCTCTGTCATTTCATGCACCACCTTCCAAGGCCGGTTTCCAGTCTGCACTCCAAGATCCCTCCCTATTGAAGATACTGCATTAGCAACCTTATAAAATTTATACATAGTCGATCTACAAAATGCTATATTCCTTTGGCTTCCCATTCTTTTTCACTCAGCACCATGTTTTAAGCTCCATCCATGTTGCTGTGTGCACGTGAGTCCATTACTATTACCTATTGCATCTACCATATTTTACTTTCCCTTTTCCTTTGTATTTGGACCCCCTCATCTGCCCACAGCTCCCCACTTCTATAAACAATGAGGTGATCAATAACCTTGTGTGTGTTCTCTGAGGGAAGATGCCATGTGGGAATTTCTCTGGAATGTATTCCCAGAAGTGAGATTGTTCAGGCATAGGCAATGTACCTATGTAATTTCATTGAATACAGACAGAGGGTGCTCCAGAGGACTACGCAACCATACACAAGCCTACAGTTCACTCAGTACTGCATCTGGAGTCCCATTTTCCTCCTCCTTACAGCACCTTCTACTGTCCAACTTTCTGAGTTTTTGTTTTGGCTTAGTTTGGACTTTGAGTTTTGTTATTCTGTAGCCATAAAGTAGTATCTCATTGTTATTGTAGCTTGAATTTCTCTGATTACTACTGGATGTATACATTCCTAATATCCTTGCTACCATCTTAACCTTTCCTTCCAAGCTTTCATTTGGCAGCAAAGGGGAGTGTTTTGATCCTTTTATGACATCAACAGCCTTGTTAAGAATCCCAGAAAGTCCAGTGACATACCTCTGCCCCTGCCAAGCAGGTGCATTTGTGTGCTCAGAGTCTTGTCTACACTGGGTAGGGGGTTCACAAACTTCTCTACACCTTTATATTCATGATCCCAATGCCCACAATTGATTAAAATTTCTCTGATAAATCACTAATGAATACAGTCATTCATTGATTGCCTATTATGCACTAGATGCCTTGTATCATCATCTCATTTATCCCTTGGTGAAATAAGTATTTTAATGTCATTTTATAAATGAGGAAAATGAGATTGAGAAATGTTAGCAATTTGCCATATCTGAATTCAGATCTGATTCCTAGTAGTAGAACCCTAAAATGACTGCCCTGTATGGCAGCCCTGCTCCCTGACCAAATATACCTTTATTTCAGCTGTTTCAGATTCACTAACAGTGTCTGAGTCTTCTGGACTCCCAAGCTCCTCCCAGGATCCCCCAGCAGATCACGTCTATGTGGATGTTGAACCGCCTCCCACAGTGGTACCTGACTCTGCCCAGGTTCAGCCAGCCATCTTAGGCGACATCCCTGACTCCTCCCCTATGCTGGCGCCTGAACACCAACCTGCTGCCCAGGAACCACCAAAAGATGGGAAAGTTAAGGTCAGAGTTAAGGTCAGAATGTACTTCCTCTTCATAGTCACAAGCTCACTGGAATTTGCATTGATTCTTTCACCAAGTAACTGTGTCACCTTGAGCCAGTACCATCACATTTCTGATTATCATTTCCTCATTTGTGAAACAAGGTTATTGATACTACTTCAAGTGTTGTTGCAGGATCAGAAAGTCAACGTGTATGAAATTAAAGTGCTAGTCAAATGTGACAATAATATTTAATTGAACAGAAATTCTTCTGAATTCATTAGCTTGGAAAGACAATACCTTCGTGATCCAGGACAATTACACAAATATTTAGAGTCTACTTTGTACAAATCCCATATAAGACCAAAAAAATGTGTCCTTTGGATTCTAAAGAGGATTGCGACTTCTCATACTCAGTTGAGATTCTGGAAGGAAAATGGAAAAGTATGCAAATAAAACACAGAATGAGGATATGGTTAATCATTCTAAGTCATAAATTTGAGCGCAAAAATCCAAGGCCACTTTAAGAAAGAAAGTCCTTGCTGGTGTGGTGGTGCATTCCTGTTATCCTAGCACTCAGGAGGCTGAGGCAGGAGGATCCAAGTTGGAGGCCAGCCTGGGCTACATACATAGTGAGACCCTGTCAAAATTAAAGTCCTAAAACTTCCCGCCTAGTAAATGGCAAAATCTGGAATAAAAGAGTAGACATTTGCTCAGGGTATTCCCATCCCAGCCATCCTCAGCAGCCACCTGCCAGCCCTCACCAGCTTCTCTCTATTGTCCCAGCATTGCACCTGTACTTTATGTTACACTTTTCTGTTTCAGTGTTTTTTTTGGCACCATTAAACAGTGAACAGAGGTCAGAGATGGTGTTTGACATCACATTTCACTATCCTCTGCACTTGATAGAGTGTACATAGTAGGTACTCAAGAGATGCTAGGGAGAGAGAAGGGATGATGAGTGTATGATTAGTCTTATATGGACAGCCTCCCATGTGACAACTGTCTTCTCCTTCAAATCCCTCCTTTCTGCCTACCACCCCAACACTTATGGTATGATATCATTTGTTTATACCTGCTAAAATCAGAAATGAAACTAAAGGGAAATTGTCTACATTGTATTACTTAATCCTCACAACTGTGAGGTAAGCAGGTATTATTGTCCTTTGTTGGGGGAATTGAGAATCACAATATTCGTATTAATGGTTTAATGATTGTAACCTAGGATATCCTAATATCCTTTCTGCTATACTCTCATAAGATCTGGTACCCATTTATTGCATGCCTACTTCCTCTATTGAACTCTAAGCTTCTCAAATTGGGATTGATTCAAATCCCCACGCATCCCTGATGTCAAACACAGTATCTCACATCTTCTTAATACATGTTTGCTTAAACAAATGAGTGAATAAGCAAATAAATTATTAAACTGTCATTAATTAAAGTGATAAAGACAGCTCCCACCACAGAACCAATGGACACTTCTGTCCACTTCTCAGTATTCTCTCTCAGTTAACCAGTTGGCCACTAACAGGAATGAAATGAAGCCCAACTCATAGCCCATCCCTCATCCCTTGGCAGGATTCCAGGAAACCTTCTCGGAGATCCACTAAGAGGAGAAAGAGGACCATAGCAGACGAATCTGCTGAAAATGTCATTGACTGGTGGTCTAAGTATTACAGTTCCCTGAAGAAAGCACAGAAGGTAGGATCTCTCCTGCCTAAGACAACCAAGGGACCCAAAAAGAACACATGGTACCTCTTCCCACTCCAAATCCCACATATCTCCTTTTAAATTCCACTGTACATAGACTGTAGTAAGGATGGTTCTTTTAACTGCAGAAGGGTAAGAAGCTTAGAAGAGCAAGGATTCTGAATTACAAAATCCCCACCTTCTGGCTGGAGTTGGTGCAAGATACAAACTCTGTTGTAAATTCTGGAGCTGTATTCAGTCCAGAATGGTATGGGAGGATTTGTCCTATCCCCAATGAGGCTCAAAGAGCTTCAGCTAGAAGTGGGTCTCCACAGGTGGATATATCAGCAAAAAGAGCTTCAAATTTATCTGGAGATACCTGGGTCACAGAGCCAAGGGTCTCCAGCAGGACCCTAGTGTGTATGGGGAATTATTAAAGTAAAGGCATTTTATTTATTAAAGTTTTAACAAATTGCAATGGTTGGAGCATTGCCAGAGCAAGAGCAAGGTCTCATGTTCGTGGAGCAAGGCGAGGATCAAGGCATAAAGAGAGCCATGAGGAGTGTCTTCAAATTAAGCAACAGCACAGTGGTTGACTTTGATAAGAATTATCAACCCCAAGTAAGAAAGGGAGGAAAATTAGTTGCATATTATCATATTTAGTTGAAGAAGGATTCTTCTGATTTTACAGTTTAGAAGGAATATAGTCTCATCTAGCACTATTCACAAATATTTAACTAGAGTAAATTAACAAACCAAGTGTTTGCCCCCTACCTCCATTCTCCCTCCTTTTGCTGTGATGGATGCTACCACTTCCTGTGAGTAGTCAGCCCCTTACCCTCCTCAACCCTGGTAGCTACCCAAATCTCCGACATGCCAGGTCCATAAAACTCATAATACGGACCAATGGGATGCTCCAGGGAAGTGTAAAACTGGTGGGAAGAGATTTTGCTTTCTGTGTGGCTGAGAAGAGGCTTCTCCCAGAGGATTATACTGTCCACAGCTCAGTGTCACTTTTCTTGGATGTACAGGCACCTCTTCTCCAGGGCAGCATATCCCACTGCACCTAGGACCCATGTCATCCTGGTGATTTCTTGGGAACTGTTTTAATACTCTTTTAAAATGGCACTCTAGCTGGGTGCCAGTGGCTCAAACCTGTAATCCTAGCTACTCAGGAAGAAAAGATCAGGAGGATAATGATTTGAGGCAATCCCAGGCAAAAAGTTTGTGAGACTCCATCTGCCTGGCAGTGCCTGTCATCCCAGCTACTTGGGAAGCTGAGATTGGGAGGATCACATTTCCAGGCCAGCCCAGGCAGAAAGCTTCTAAGATCCCACCTTAACAGAAAAAGCTGGGAATGGTGGCACAGGCCTGTCATCCTACCTATGTAGGATGCGTAAATTAGGAAAATCATGGACCAGGCTGACCTGAATATAAAGCGAGACCTTCTATCAAAAATAACCAAAGCAAAAAGGGGTGGAGTCCTGGTTCAAGAAGTAGAGCACTTACCTCAAAAGCACAAAGCCCTGTATGTGTATATGTACATATAAACACACATATATGTATGTATGTATGCATTTGTAAGTATTATGGCATCTCTACAAATGCAGCACATATAAATTTTTGTTGGGAAAACTGAATTAGAACTGTTAGGAGTTGGGATTAATAAATTAGGCATGACAGTGTCAATAATTTTGTTTCCCTCCTTTTCAAAGGCAAAGGAGGGCAACTCCAAGGAGAAAAAAGGCAATACAGGTAAGTAGCTATTCTGGGGACACTTGGCCATTGTAGTAAGAGAATTACGAGATGGAGGCTGTGCAGGTATCATAGAACTCAGCTCTATTTTCTGACTGAGGAAGCCACTTCAGGAAGATGATACCACTTTAAAAAGGTCCTGGAGATGTTTGAATTGGACCAAGCTCCCAGGTCTCTGACTCCAGTTTTAAGTGCTGGAATTGACATTTTGGCTTATGTCCTGCATTGGCAGTCTTAATGTAGGAACAGTGGTGTAAAAATGGGAGCATGCTGAGATCACAGGCCACAATCAACAAGATAAACTTTAATAAAGGGGAGTATAAAGATATGGATTTAGTTTCTAAAACTCAGTTTACATGGATTGGATAGATCTGATTTGGCAGAAACTCAGATGAAAGAAGCATGGGATTTGAACAACCACAAACTCAATTCAAGCCAATAGTGGGTCATGGCCTAAATACAACAGTAACACCAATCAACAAAGGCTGTTTCAGGTGACATTGACAGAAGTAGGAAAACCAAGGCAAGGCTCAATTCCTCAGGCCACTCCTAACTAGCACATTTCATTTCATATTTCTTCTGTGACCAACCCCATGGCATAGACAGTAGACAGAGGTACAAAGAGGTCAAGTAACTTGGCTAGCTTACGCAGCGAGAAAATAGCAAGTCCATCTCTGGCAGTTTTTCCCCAGGGCTTGCTGCTAAAAAATTACTAAATAATTTCACTAGCACAACCTTGTGTAAGACCCTTAATGTATTTGAGCCTCCTGTTAAACTATACGAATCTCAAGTCTCTGAGGACGTTTGAGAAGGAAGGAAATTAAATTTTGTGAGCCCCTCTAAATCCTGGGACTGTCCATTTCTAGTTGAGTGAATGGGCAAATCACTGAACCTCTCTGGGCCTGGTTCAGTGAGTCCTTCCATATAGCTGGCCAGGCCTGCGCATTGCCTAGCTCCAGGGAATCCACAGTCACTGTGTTTCTATGTGAGTGGCACAGACTTCGGGCTATGTGCAACAACCGTGCAGTGAAGGGTCACAATGCAGGACATGTGCCAGCACAAAGAGAGAGAGAGCTTGACTTTGCTCCTTCTCATTTCAACTGTCATGTGAAATCTAACCATTTCTGCTGAATATTCACAGAGACAAAACCAGATGACGTAGTGGTCGATATAGAAGATGGCCCAAAGAAGAAGAAGGACAAGATTCTCAAGAAGAAACTCAAAGATGATGGAAATGATGGGATCCCCAACCTGGCGGTCTTGAAGGTATGTAGGCACAGGAGTCTCCATCATGACCTTGGCACAGAGTATGGAGCTCAGCAGCAGAGACCTCTTAGTGCCTTTGGTCAGCCCCAGCAATACCTTTCTTTAAACTATCTTACTTTGTTATCATTATAATCACTGATGCAGAAAAACAAGCTCTAATAAGCATGAAAACCAAGACAAGAGAACTTGTTCATTTTCCATTGTCCACATCCCTGCATTGGAAGGGAGCATAACTTACATTGTTTAGCCTTGGATCTGGCAAAGTACTTTACAGTGTAGGAGTTCCCCTTGGCTCACCTCTTAGGGCTTGATGTCATCATGCAGACGTGTACACACACATAATAGCAGGAGTGTTTTTTTTAATTTTTATTTTATTCATATGTGCATACAATGTTTGGGTCATTTCTCCCCCCTTCCCCGCCCCCCCTTACTCCCCCTACCCCCTCACTACCTGGCAGAAACTATTCTGCCCTTATCTCTAATTTTGTTGAAGAGAGAGTATGAGCAGTAATAGGAAGGAACAAGGGTTTTTGCTAGTTGAGATAAGGATAGCTATACAGGGAGTTGACTCGCATTGCTTTCCTGTACGTGTGTGTTACCTTCTAAGTTAATTCTTCTCGAACTAACCTTTTCTCTAGTTCCTGGTCCCCTTCTCCTATTGGCCTCAGTTGCTTTAAAGTATCTGCTTTAGTTTCTCTGCATTGAGGGCAACAAATGCTATCTAGTTTTTTGGGTGTAATAGCAGGAGTTTTAATTCTAACTGAAGCCAGATCCATCAGACCAATCTCAACATTAGTCATAAAGCATTAACTAGAGGCATATATATGAATATGAAAATTATATATGTAGATAACCAATTTGGGTAAGTAATTTTGATAGGAAATTTGAATATGTAATTTAATTATATTACCACCCTAACACTCAATTCTATTTTGCATTTCTACTATATATATATGTATAATTTCCCACTTAGAAAAATTGTCTTTGTGCATTATAATAAAAACAAATATTCTATCACTTTATTATATATATTAAGAATTAATGAACTTTAGTGATTTGAATTTTCTCAAAGTATTATAAGTCTAAATCTAACAACTAATAATGTCAATTAACTATAAAATGGTTTTTCACATTTATACTTATATATTAAAAACACTTTTTTATTTAGTTATAGTTCTTGGAATTTAAAAGTTTATCCAAAAGGTTTTTATAAAATTCAGAGTAATAGTTAGTTCCAGAAAGGTTGAGCCAACCATGTTCTTTATCTTGCTAAAGATAAAGTGGCAGTAGCCTCTTACATTTTCCCCAGGGGGTGCATATTAAGTCCAGTTTGGGGGAATCTTGGCATTACCCACTAGATTGATCCTGAGCCTCTCTTCTTCTTAGCATAGTCTTCTCTCTTCTCCCTAAAGGTATATGATGGTGATCTCGAGAGTGAATTCAGCAATTTTGAAGACTGGGTGAAGACCTTTGAGCTCTTCAGAGGCAAATCTACAGAAGAAGATGCTCTGGATGGGAACCGCATCATAGGAAAATTCAAGGCAGGTGCCCCAAAATGCCATGATTGGCTCACCTGCCCATAAATATCAGCTGTGACTGAACTCCAGTAATGGGGTTGTGGTGTGGAATATGTGTAAGAAAAATCCTTAATCTCTTCTCAAGACTCTGTCTGGAGCCCCACAGATTCAGCTCCAGCTTTGGAGATACTTTGGGTTTGTGGCCGGTGGGTCAGAACTCAGTATGTGGAATATTAGGAAACTGAGTCACCACTTGAAAGGACTGAGCTTTTACTTTGCCTGCCCCACCCCTAGCACACTAAATATATGATCTATGCAAACCTACCAGTTACACAACTAAACTAAGTGAACAGCACAAACTGTGCTGGCAGACTCATGGTGTCAGTATCATAAAGTAGTAGCTAGCATTTGCTACCCACCTACCCCATGCTGGGCTTTCAATATGCTGTGTGTTCTCCAGAAATAGCCTGAGGATCTGGATTTAAATCCTAGTTACAATACTAACCAGCTGCATGGCCTGGAACAATGTACTTCACTTCCCTGAGCCTTGGTTGCTGCAGCTGAACGTAGGAATACTGTAGTCAGGATGGCATGGAATAGTAGGGAAACCTTGAACATACCATCCCCACACGCCACATCTGTTATTCGTCATGTTATGGTCCTGTGAAGAGGACAGACCTTGATCCACCAATATACCACGGAAAAGCACAGATGTAAGTAGATTGCCTGAGGATGTCCACTTGGCTAGGGTAGCATCAGTCCAGGTCCTACTGATTCTCAGGCTGTGCTAATTTTCCTAACCTTGGGCTCTCTGTGGTTCTTTGTGGGTCATACAGTCTTCTTGTGTCAATGGGTTGTACTTGTGGTTCCAGGGCTCCTTCTGCATCTACAAAAGCCCTGAGGATTCCATCTCTGAGGATGGCGGGCAGCTGAGAATCCAGCAAGGGATTCCACCCAACCACTCCATCCAAGTCCTGATCAGAGTGTACATTGTTGCGGTGAGCCATTCCTTTCACTGAGGGAGCATATTAGTCTGCTTGGGCTGCTGTAACAAAATACCACAGGCTTAAACAATAGAAATTTATTTCTTACATTTCTAGAGGCTATACATCAAGGTGTTGTGCAGGGTGGTTTCTAGTGGGGCCTCTGTTGTTGGCTTACAGATGGCTGCCTTCTTGTCTTCACATGGTCCTGCCTCTATGTCCATGCAGATGGAGGGAGAAAGTTCTGTAATCTCTTCCTTTTCTTCTAAAGACAGAGTGAGCCCTATCAGATTGCAGCCCCACCCTTATGACCTCATTTGACCTTAATCACCTGCCCAAAGCTATATCTGCAAATACTGTCGCGTTGGGTGTTAGGGATTCCACACACATATTTCAGGACACCCAGTTCAGACCATAATAAGGTATGGAGTTTGTTCTGTAACATGGATACTTCCTGACTTTTCTCTTGCTAAAATACTTCCAGGCATTCAGGACTTTTCTGGGTAGCTTTATCTACTGTCTGATTACCTACTAGCAGGAAAGGAAATCAAAGAAGACAGAAGTAGAAAGCTCACAGGCAAGGCAGTGAGAGGAAGAGTGAGAGAGAGCAGGGCAGCTGCTACTGTGAACTTCCCAACAGCTGTGCTCCTGCTCTATTGCAGCCAGAAGTTTCATTCTGAACATATTTCCAAGAAAAATGTTACCTTCTCTGGGCTGCCCCCATTCTAAAAATAAGGCCCAAAACTGTAATTATAAAACTTTACCTGTGGACTTTGATCACATGATAAAGCAAGAGCACACAAGGAAGGTATGAGGATAAGTAAGACACCCCAAAAACTAGATAGCATTTGTTGCCCTCAATGCAGAGAAACTAAAGCAGATACTTTAAAGCAACTGAGGCCAATAGGAGAAGGGAACCAGGAACTAGAGAAAAGGTTAGTTCGAGAAGAATTAACTTAGAAGGTAACACACATGTACAGGAAAGCAATGCGAGTCAACTCTCTGTGTAGCTATCCTTAATCTCAACTAGCAAAAACCCTTGTTCCTTCCTATTATTGCTTATACTCTCTCTTCAACAAAATTAGAGATAAGGGCAAAATAGTTTCTTTCAGTTAGTGAGGGGTAAGGGAGAGTAAGGGGGAGGGTAAGGAAGGGGGGAGAAATGACCCAAACATTGTATGCACATATGAATAAAATAAAAGTTAAAAAAAAATAAAATAAAAAGCCCAGAGGATAAAAAAAAAAAAACTTTGCCTAATTGTCAGGAAGTTAGGGGCGAAAATGACAATTGAAGCAATTGTATGAACACTCAGAGTTCATGGGGTTCTTTTATCACATATGGACCTTAGACTTGACTTTTGTAATTTGATTGTGGTAGTCTCATTTTATGTTAACTTTTCTTACATTGTGTACATTCTTTTTAGAAAGCATAAGTGAAGTATAAAATAAATTATGCCTTAATGCTAAGGGAGAACTAAATGTTTCCCATCATGCACTTCTCAGCTTCTTTCACTGCTGCAACCACCATGTGCCAGGGATATTATGGTGGAAAAACAGTTCCTGCTCTCAAGAAAGTCACAGTCTAGGTGTTAAGATTAAAAGTACTTACAAAGAACCATTTACAGTGCCAAGTGGTTCTTCAATGTCTAAATTAAACACCTGTCCCCACGATGGTTTAGACTATCCATTTCAAAATTTTATTCAAGAAGTTATTCGTGTCTTGGAAGATAATTAATATGCATTGCTCAGGAAATAGACCATATGTTCAGCTGAATTTGAGGTATGGCACTTCTAATTATTCATTTCCCTTTTCCAACTTCTGAGAGTCACAAAGCTTATTTGCACATTCAAGTCTCTAAGAATTTCGGAAGTAAAGAAATCCACTTAGCTGATGAATCTTTAATGCAATTTTCTAAACTTATTGCCTTTACTTCTTTTCCCCTACAGAAAAACCTACAGAACTAAGTCTCCATAGTGTACAGTTTGAGGAACCCGGAAATGGAGAGTATGAATAGTAGGAAGGGGAGGGAGAAATTTCCATGGGTTACAGAGATTGGAGAAAGATCTGTCTGCATGTTCATTTATTCATTCAGCAAATACTTCTGCATTCCTTTTCTGTGTCTGGTGTCCTCCAGGCAAAGGTCAAGGTTGCAAATCAGGTTCCTACCCAGAAAGTAGCGTGGAGGAGGGAGAGCTTGGGCTAAAGCTTGATGACAGGAGGTACTGGAACCAAAGAGTCAGAAGGTAGAAAAAAAAACTACATAAAAATTGCATAAAGGAAGAAATCAAATTTCCTCACCTCTTATTTTTCCTCTTACTTAACAAGGTACCTTGGACATTTTTCCAGATCAGCACATAAAAGTCTTCATTCTTTTTAGTAGCCATCGTGTTTTCTTGAATGAATGTAACATTCATTCATTTAAAAAATATTAAGAAGATCCTGTCTTCTTAACAAAGTAATGAACAAGAGCGACAGTGCCCTTGCTCTCATGGAGATTTATACTAGTTGAGAATGGCATGAGGACCAGGAAATATAAAAACAAAGGAACAGATAAATAGGAGGTATTAGTGTCAGTAACTGATGTGTGGAGAATTAAACTTGGGTAATATAACCAAAATGAAATGGAGAAGGGGATATTTTGGGTTGTGTTTCTCATCAGGTTAATTGGCATTTAGGTTGTTTACAAATTTTGGCTATTAAGAAATGCTCTAGGGAACACTTTGACCATATTATAGCTTGTGGCATTCTATCTGTAGGATAAAGTCTTAAATGTAAGATTGTTTAGCACTCAGTTTTCTCTGATGCTGAGTTGTTCCATCTTTTGGATACAGTATCTCACTGGCCCTCTACCATGGCCTTTCCTTACAAAGTATTTACTTTTGATAGCTTAAGGTCCACCCAGTCTGGAATCAGACTTCGTGATGATAAACACATCATCTTTCAGCTGGCCACTGCTGAATACAAGTCTAATGGGGCAAGGATTCAGAGACTGTTGGTGCTGGGAAGGGCCCTCAGGTCCATGCCACAGTTCTACAGATCAGTCTCAGGAGCAACTAGAACTAGGACCTGAACTTGTGTCTTCTACCTCCTGGTCCAGCATGTTCCTCATTTCTCCATGCCAAGAGCTGGTGTCCACTGGGGAGATGATACCTGAGACAGTTGAACTTGGGCAAAGCCAATCATTTTTGTTTTAATAGCAAAACAAGGATGCTAAAGCAGTGGTTCTTGATTTTGGCTGCACACTAAAACACCTAAAGAGCTTTCAGAAATCCCAAAGCCCAGGGCCCATTAAACCAGTGTCTGGAGGCAGGACCCCTGGTACCTGTTTATGAAAAGCACCTAGGTGATCCTGTGGAAAGCCCATGTTGAGACCACTGAACCCCAGGAATTTCCCTTTTCCTCCCCAGGCATTTAATCTCAGCCCAGCTGATCCAGATGGCAAATCAGATCCTTACATTGTGCTCAAACTTGGCAAAACAGAGATCAAAGACCGGGACAAATACATCCCTAAACAACTGAATCCCGTGTTTGGAAGGTCAGTGACCATCCATACAAGCTGAGTTTTATTGTCCTTTCTGCATTTTTTTTTGCTACTGTGTTTCTTGGAGGATTGGTGTGTGTGTGTGTGTGTATGTGTGTGTGGTGTAGGAGATCTGGGAAAACAGTGGTAGGAAGTTAAATGTTGACTTGTGTTTGATAACAGCCAATCAAATCTACATTCCTTGAGATAGGTAAAATGCTTTCCATTGCTCCTGAGGAATTTGGAATTTGGTTATACATGTTGGTCTTCATGTACGTAGTTTTCTAAAAGCCATTTTGAAGATTTTAAATTTAAGGGGCACCTAAAGGGTCATCAGATTCCACTGCTTTTGACCAAAGAGGACATTTCCTATTTCCAAACAAGGTAACCAAAGTCCTGAGAAGTTTAGTAATCTGTTCAAGTTCACACTGCTCAGAATTAGAGGAGGAGGTGGCAGATTCTTGGTCTTTTGCCTCCTACTAGAGAGATTTTTTTTTTCCAGTAAATCATTTTGCCACTTATTATTTAAGGTAACCCCTGAGATGAAAAGGTTAAGCCGTGTCCCCCAATTGTGTCTTGTTTTCCTGCAAAGTGTCAAAGCTCATTGCATTTGTATATATGTAGATGGACCAGGAACCTAGGAATTCTCTACTTCATGGAACCCTACCAGCCTCATTGACCTTTTAATAGTATTGTCACACACTGGTGTTGCCTGCCTGCGTTTGTGCACATAGCTGCCATGTTCTTTGGAATCGGGGAAACCTGGGTTTAACTCTGTCTTGTACAAGCTGTGTAACCTCATGTTGTTGATCTCACCTCTCTGATCCTAGTTTTCCTCATCTGTAAAGCAATAACAGTACCTTTCAGGCTCCTTTGGAAGACTATGTTAGGTATGTTGAACATACTTACCTCCCTTCTCCTTTTTCTTCACAATTTCAGCAATGGATACATCTCAAGTATATTTAATTTCTTTTTTCCTGAGTAAGTAGGACCACTGATGAACTCTACATCAGCCTCATTTAAATTCATTTATGCATTTATGTTTGCTCTGGACCCTCTGACATTTGATCAACACAGCCTTTTAGATTTTGTTGCTCCTGAGGAAATGAGGCAAAGAATGATCTTGCCTGTCTAGATTAATGTGAATGATTAAAGTGACAGTGCTCAGAACCTTATCCTTGCCTACCTGATCCAAAGGTGACCTTTCCACTACCTGCTGGTTTTTAACGTGAGCTGCTTTCTGCTGAGTATTTGGCAGTCGTTTTACTACTGCTCTCACCACAGCACCATGAATTGGACTGGTTTTATTTCACCATTAGATGGCCATGGTAATTCCCTTCTGCCCCTGGCTTTGCAAGGCTTCTTGCAGAAGCTCTCCGGGTGTGGATATTTGGTTGGATGTGTCTTTGTTACTCAGAGACAAAAAGTGCTGGCTCAGTCCCACAGTGTTCCAGCAGGGAGAGTTGCAGGTTCTGGGGCTTGGGATCTGGGGATCCCTCCTCATGACCTCAGTGCTGTGGGCCTCAGAGGATGTCACAGTTCCATCCCCTGAGGCCCTGAATCCTTGCCCTGCCCTACTTTCTCCTTCATAGCCTCTGACATGGATTTGATGTGTGCATCTATTCATAGGCCATTTCCCACTCCCACTGGAACGTGGTCTAGTCTAGTCAATTCCACATCCCCAGCAGCCAGGACAGAGTCTGCCACATAGCAAATGCTCAGTAAGTATTTGTGGAATGAATGAATAGGTGAACAGAGAAAACTTCAATCACTTGTCACTTGATGGGACCCTGTCACTCTGCATCTCCCTGAGGTTGTACACGTCCTTGGGGCTTGGGTTCCTCACAGCTCTCATGGTTTCCCAGAATGTCCTGCATCATCTCGATTGCCTTGAGAGCTAGCCATAAACAAAAATAATGAGATCTCAAGAAGCCAATCTGCGGGTTATTAGAGCAGTTCTCTGGCCACCTTGCCTATTCCTGTCTGCAGGCCTTCACCAGGCCTGCCCATGCCTGCACAATTTCACTCATTCCTCAGTTGTTCAGAATCCACCTTGTGCCAAGTGTCCTGCCAGTCTTTGTCTTCCCGGACTCTTGTGAATACTGAGCGAAAATCAAATAAGTGAGGGTTACAATGGAGTGTGACAAACTATATTACAAAGCAATAACAATAAAAACAGCACGGTACTGGCACAAAAACAGACATGAAGACCAGTGGAACAGAATAGAGGATCCAGATATGAAGCCACACAACTATGAGCAACTTATCTTTGACAAAGGAACTAAAAATATATGATGGAGAAATAGCAGCCTCTTCAACAAACACTGCTGGGAAAACTGGTTAGCAGTCTGCAAAAAACTGAAACTAGATCCATGTATATCACCCTATACCAAGATTAACTCAAAATGGATCAAGGATCTTAATATCAGACCCCAAACTCTTAAGTTGATACAAGAAAGAGTAGGAAATACTCTGGAGTTAGTAGGTATAGGTAAGAACTTTCTCAATGAAACCCCAGCAGCACAGCAACTAAGAGATAGCATAGATAAATGGGACCTCATAAAACTGAAAAGCTTCTGTTCATCAAAAGAAATGGTCTCTAAACTGAAGAGAACACCCACAGAGTGGGAGAAAATATTTGCCAACTATACATCAGACAAAGGACTGATAACCAGAATATACAGGGAACTTAAAAAACTAAATTCTCCCAAAACTAATGAACCAATAAAGAAATGGGCACGTGAACTAAACAGAACTTTCTCAAAAGAAGAAATTCAAATGGCCAGAAAACACATGAAAAAATGCTCACTATCTCTAGCAATAAAGGAAATGCAAATTAAAACCACGCTAAGATTCCACCTCACCCCTGTTAGAATAGCCATCATCAGCAACACCACCAACAACAGGTGTTGGCAAGGATGCGGGGAAAAGGAACCCTCTTACACTGTTGGTGGGAATGTAGACTAGTACAACCACTCTGGAAAAAAATTTGGAGGCTACTTAAAAAGCTGGACATCGATCTACCATTTGATCCAGCAATACCACTCTTGGGGATATACCCAAAAGACTGTTACTCCAGAGGCACCTGCACATCCATGGTTATTGCGGCACTATTCACAATAGCCAAGTTATGGAAACAGCCAAGATGCCCCACCACTGACGAATGGATTAAGAAAATGTGGTATCTATACACAATGGAATTTTATGCAGCCATGAAGAAGAACGAAATGTTATCATTCGCTGGTAAATGGATGGAATTGGAGAACATCATTCTGAGTGAGGTTAGCCTGGCTCAAAAAACCAAAAATCGTATGTTCTCCCTCATATGTGGACATTAGATCAAGGGCAAACACAAGGGGATTGGACTATGAGCACATGATAAAAGCGAGAGCACACAAGGGAGGGGTGAGGATAGGTAAGACACCTAAAAAACTAGCTAGCATTTGTTGCCCTTAATGCAGAGAAACTAAAGCAGATACCTTAAAGCAACTGAGGCCAATAGGAAAAGGGGAACAGGTACTAGAGAAAAGGTTATATCAAAAAGAATTAACCTAGAAGGTAACACCCATGCACAGGAAATCAATGTAAGTCAATGCCCTGTATAGCTATCCTTATCTCAACCAGCAAAAACCCTTGTTCCTTCCTATTATTGCTTATACTCTCTCTACAACAAAATTAGAGATAAGGGCAAAATAGTTTCTGCTGGGTATTGAGGGGGGGGGAGAGGGAGGGGTGGAGTGGGTGGTAAGGGAGGGGTGGGGCAGGGGGAGAAATGAACCAAGCCTTGTATGCACATATGAATAATAAAAGAAAAATGAAAAAAAAAAAAAAACAATGGAGTGTGACAAGCCCTGTGAAAACATGGGAGAGCTGAATTGAAGTTCCAGAGATCTGGAGCCATGGGAACTCCTATCTGCACTCATATTGACCTCAAAAGTGGAGCTTACACCTCTCTCTCAGATAGGTGTACTCATAATGACTAACCCATATGCTATATGGGCTCCCACCATCTTACTTAGCCACTTCTTGTCTGCCTTATCCACCTAGAAATTGTTCTACTCATCTGAAAGTCCTCAGCAACTGGCACATAGGGGATGCGTAATAAATGAGACAAATGAAGAGATGAAAGAAAGAAAGAAAGAAAGAATGAATGAATGAATGGAGGAGTAATGGGCCGTGTTTACTCTTAAGCTCAGAGGCTCTGCATGCTGTCACTACTCAGTTTTTGCTCATTTCATGACACATGATCTTTTCTCAAATCAACATGACATCTAATGAGAGTCATTGACACACAATCTGGTGGCAGCCTAGGCATTCCCTGGGTGACTAGGAGTCCATCCATGCTGGGCTGATTTGATAACTCTAAATGACAACTCCAGTTAAAATTCAGGTGAGGTTAATGTATGAACACAGCTTAAGGAGATGGACCGAAACAATCCAGTCCTCTGTCATGGTTGCCAGGGACAGTTAGCACTTATTAAATCCTTACTAAATGGCAGCCTTGGTGACAGCAAAGCTCAGAGATAGACACTGAGCTTCCTTGTGAGACACTTCCAGAATAACAATTATAGTTTAGAATCCAAAATTTGGAACCCAGGGAGGCAACGCTGTGACTTCAGCTGGAGCACACGTGGACTTGGTCCCTATGCAGTCACATCCCTGGCTGGCTAGAGCCTCCTTCATCAGGGACACCAGAGCTATAGAGCATCTGTGCTTTTTTTCTCTTTGGGCAGAGTTAATCGACTCCTGGCCATGCTATGATTACAGCCCCTGCCTCATGGTAAGGACAGTAGCTCAGATGGGCCTGTGGACATGGAGGGAAGTAAAGGGCCCACATTCTCCCTCCTCCTCTTTGTCCCTTGATCCTGGCCTAGGCAACCCACTCCCTGAGGGACCGAGTCTGCAACAGCTGGAGAGACACTAGCACGACCTCAACTTTATTTTTTGGAAGACATTTCTCTAAAGTGCAAGGTTTTACTCAAAGTTGAATTCTCAAGCATTTAATTCTCAGTAGAATTAAACTCAAGGTTTCCTTCTCAGTAGCATGGGTTATCCTCTATCCCAGGGACTCTGACTGCATTGCTCTTTCTTTCCACTCTGACTGGTGAGGGCACTAGGGCTTAGGATATTGGTTCATATCCCAGAATAGAGTGATTTATGATCTCACTCATGTTCTCTAGATTTCAGTTTCCTTATCTGTAAAGTGAAGGGATTGCATATGGTGGTTTCTGATATTCCTTATAGTACAAAGAAACACTGATTAGGTATATACTTTCTGCAGGCCAAGTGCAAGCTTCAGCAATGCAGGGCTCAGAACAGTAGGTCTCCATCCTCAAAGGGCTCAGAGTCTTATGTAGAGACAGCATTCTAGTTCTGCAATTATTTTGTAATTTTCCATCATCAACAGGGTTTTCTTTCTTTAAAAATCCAACTAGACAAGCCTGGCATGGAAGTTTATCTATACTCCCAGTCCTTGGGAGGCTGAGGCAGGGGATTGAGTTAGAGGCAAATCTGAGCTACACAATGAGTATGAGGCCAGCCTGGGCTATGTACTGTGACCCTGTCTCAAAACAAACAACTAAACAAACAAAATCCAGCTGGATCTAAAAAGAAATTAAAAATGACATGAGTGTCAAAGGGGGACTGTGTGGGGGACAACCAGAGGGAGAGAGAGGGTGAAAGTAGAGTATGATGGGGGCAAATATGATCAAAGTACATTATTTACATGTATAAAACAGAATAATAAAACCCATTAAAATGTATTAAAAGGAGGAGGGGAGGGGAAATAAGGAAAAAATGCACTGGCATTCCTCGATAAAGCCACAATGGAGGGGAAATGCAGTGTCCAAGGCACAAGTTGAATGCTTGTACGTGAAACATGTTCCGTGTAAGCACTAATGCATTCACCACCATACTGTATTAGAAAGAAGAGCTATTGATCCCTATCCTCACATGGGGGCAGTGAAAGAGATCAAATAATGTTCCCAGTTTTATAGCCAGGAAGTTACAGATTCAACACCAAGAATGGAAATCAGTCCCTAGTTTTAGATCCAAGTCCCTAGTTGAAGGCTGTAAGACTTGGTCTGTGAAAAGGGAGATTATTGGTTATTGAAAATTGGCAACAGAATTAGAAGTTGATTGTAACTCGATGAGAAATTAAACTAAACAAATATGTGTAAGGTATTAACTGAATTACTGAGCAGTGAATGGGTTTGTATGAACTGGCTGAAAGCAAAGCTAGAAAAATTTCCCTGTGTTGCCAACCATTGTTGATATCTGAAGCTTCTGCTTACACTCAGGTCATTTGAGATTCAGGCCACATTCCCAAAGGAGTCCCTGCTGTCCATCCTGATCTATGACCATGATATGATTGGGACAGATGACCTCATTGGTGAGACCAAGATCGACCTGGAGAATCGCTTTTACAGTAAACACAGAGCCATCTGTGGCTTGCAGAGTCAGTATGAAATGTAAGTTTTCTCTGGTGGAGACATTGTTGGGGTTCTGGGTCTGTAGCCTTTCAGGGCTCTGCCCATCTCTGGTCTGAGACTGGACCAGACTCAGCTTTAACATCTCAGATGGGTTCTGTAGCAACAGGCTGGTTTGAGAAGACTATTCTATGCCCTTCAGGGTTGTCGGGTCTGAAGAGGCAGCTCTGATTTAGACACAGAACAGGTTCTTCAAGAACCAAGAACTGAATTGTGATGTTCTTACTGAATCAGCTGTACTGGGTTATCAGGGTACCCTGGGGAGGAATGGCTGGAAGAAGAATGGTTAACATAATGCAAATGTCAGCACATCAGTGTAAATTCTATGACAAATGCTCAGGAGTGCTTACAGTGTCCTAGGAGCTTCACACGCACTGTGTCATTCACGTCTCTCAAGAACCCACTGAAGTGCGATCCTCATTGTACAAATGAAGGAGAAATGGACCCAATTCTCACTCTTCACAAAGAATTTGAACTCTACTTAATTTGAAAATGTAGACTTCTAGCTTTATGGCTTTTTAAGAAGTATGTTGTAGCTGACATCTTTTAAAAAAATTTCAGCTAGGAAAATACAAAAATATCCATCGGAGTTACATGGTGTAATTTCATAACTATTTTCCTGAAGATAAAATATATTTTTGTAAGAAATTTAGAAAATGCAATAAGTATAAAATAATATGCAAATTAAATTAACCCCAGAAATAATTTACATAAACATTTTTGTATATTACTTTTTAGTATTTTTTTCTATGAAATTTTTCCTCAAAGCTGGATTCATACTATCCATGCAATTTTGTAACCTGTTTATTGTACTTAACCTTATACCCTAAATATTTTATAATGTCATTTAATGTTCATTACAGCCATTACTTAATTGCTTCATAGTATTCTGTCATATGGATGTATTACAAAATGATATAGCCAACTTACCTTCCTGAATTTAATTTTCTTCTTTTTTTATTATAAATATTGCTTCCATGAGTACTCTTATACAAAGTCATTACACACCTTCTGATAAATTACTTGTTATTCATCCATTGAAGCGGATTACTCCATTAAAATAAAAACACATTTTAAGGACTTTTAATCTATATGCCCAGATGACCCTCCATAAGGGCCATGACAGTTTGCACACTCACTAACAAAGTCAGGAGTCTCTGCCTTCCATGGCATGGGGTTCGGAAAGTCGCTCCTTCAAGCCTGCTCTTCCCTGAGCCTAGATAGTGAATGTAGTTTAGGAACTCTGGTGAATTCCTAAGTCTACTGAGGTCCAAGTACCTGGGATGGTTCCATTCAGAGTGATTAGTTGTTCTCACTCTGCAATTAGGGACAGTAGTCCCAGTCCAATGTGACACAACCTTTAAGAAGAATTTCCTGATGGTAGATTTGCCAAGGAGCCAACAGTTTAGTTGAGGAAATTGAAACCTTTATTCATTGAAAAGTTTTCATATAAAAACACTTCTCAGGATGCTCACAGCACTGGGACCATGTAGGAAATTGCTGTGTAGCTCTCTTTTACAAGCCCATGTTCTGATTTATTTAAATACTTAAGCAAGTTAAATTCTGATGAACTTTGCATCCCAATGAGCAAAGACATCCAAGCTAATCTTGGTTATGGCTTTTAGAGAGCACTTTATTTCAAGTTAGTAATTTTTGACTAATCAGCTATTTTTTAAGGGAAGAAGGGGTTCGGGAAGGTTTAGAAACTCACCACTAGAAAAATCACTAACTAGAGAAATAATACACCAAGGCCTTCTGCTGGCCATGTGAATCTAGAAGATGATTTTTGTGGGGAAAGAGAAGGGAAGAAAGAAGCAGAGAAATTGAAAGGATGAACTAGGTTCTCCTCTTAGAGTAAGTAGCAACCAAATGGCCATTCTGCTGGGGACTTAACAAAACCTAAACAATAGTTACTTGCCAGGAAACCCACAGAGACAGAAAGCAGACCCAGGGCTGCCAACAGCTCCAGAGAGAAGATGAGAGAAGCCACTGCTTTACGGGTTAGGGTCTTCTTTTGTGGTGATGAAAATATTTTATAAGTAGATAGAGATAATAATTGAACATCATTGTGAATATATTAAATGACACCAAATTGGTCAACCTAAAAATAATTCATCCATTTTATATGAATTTCACTTCAATTTTTAAAAATAAAGATACACTATTTAAAAAAAAATTGAGGGCTGGAAGAGTGGCTCAAGTGGTAGAGCACCTTCCTAGGAAGCTCAAGTCTGAGTTCAAACTCCAGTATCACCACCAAATTTTTTTTGCCATATGAAATAATACTGGAAATAATTTCCATTCTACATTTTCCATGTGTGAAAGGACTTCAATATTGACCTGAAAAACTTTGTGATTTAGATGTGAGATTTGTAAACAAATAAATACAGAATATACTTAACATGGTTTTAAAAATAAGTCAAAACTTTCTGCAAAGGATTTTTATGTCAAGTTATTCACAGTACTGTCTTACACACAAGCTGTACATATACAAAGGTGTTTGACTAGAAAAGAGAGAAAACCAAAGCAAACCAAAAAAAAAAAAAAAACCACACACACACAAAAAACAAAACACTAGTCCAAAATATGCAGAAAGGCAAGCTAATCTGAAGAAACTACTTGGGTCCCATTTAGATGGACCCTTCAAGGGATGACCTCAAAGTGTGTTCTCCCAGGGGCAGCCAGGCCTCACCCCATCTGTCCTTCTCTTTTCAGAGAAGGATACAATGCCTGGAGGGACACTTCCAAACCCACAGAAATCCTCACCAAGCTTTGCAAAGACAACAAGCTGGATGGACCGTACTTTAGCCCTGGGAAAATACAGATAGGAAGCAAGGTCTTTTCTGGAAAAACAGTCTTCACTGAAGAGGACACTGGTAACTCCCTGCAAAGTGTTCTGCTGGGGCACCCTTTTGAAAAGCTTGGTATTTGTGGCTAGGGGGCAGTGGATCATCTAATTACAAAAGTGATGCATGCTCACAGTAGAAAATATGAAAAACCAAGTAGGATAATGAAAACCACTCACCATCCCTGAATTCACATAAATTTCCTTGCAGTCTCTCTGTGTGTATGTATGTTCAATTTTTAAAGGATTATAAATGTGCCATAGGTAATTTTGTACCCTGCCTTTTCTATTTCCAATAGTAGGGTGTGAGGGTTTTCCTTTGTTTTTTGAAATGCCACAGATAATACTCCCTTTTATGTCTGTGCCACTGAATCATATTTTATTTATTTTTTGTTGTGATAGTTAATGCTGCAACAAACTTCCTTGTCCATATTTTTGTGCATTTTTGATATTTCTTCAGTAGATTGTAGATGCAAAATTGTGTTAGGAGGTAGGTGATAACTTTAAAATGAAAAAATGTGTACACCCCTCATTACTCCTAAATGTTACACCAGTAATTACCCAATTTTAACATCAAGAAAAAGGTTCTTCACAGGAGCATCACAGGATGTACCATGAAAATCTCAGAGAAGCTTCCATATAAATTTAGGACGAGATAAAAGCTATCACTACTTTATTGACACAGAACAATTCTTGTACTGTCACATTCGAGCATTTACTGCTTTTATGCAAAGAGCCCAATTAAGGACATGGTAGGAGGGCATTTTGACACTATGTAGACTCACACTATTTTGATACCAAGACTTCTTTTTACCTTGTTATTTTGACTCCCACTGGAAGTTCTTGTATTCAGCTGCTGATATTTAACTACAGATGAACTTCTGTTGACATATATACTTGTTCACTATATACTTTTAAGCCAGTTTAGTTCTTTGGTCAATAGTCCACATTTTGTGATTAAATAATTACCATTTATTGCTCACTAAAAATCAGAAATTATGTTCCTAAATTCAATTCCTGATGGATTAAACTTTATGACAAAAATTTTGCTTATTAGTTGTTAAACCAAATCAATTTTTACTGATTACAATTATTGCCACCAGGAGATTTCTTCCATGGCCCCTTGTTAAGCCAAGTTCAATTTTTCCTATATCAAATTTAGCCATTTTAAACTTGTCAAGATTTTATTTTTTCAACAATTTTTGTCTTATTTTCTGAGCATTCTTTCTCCCCATGGTTTTTTTCAAATCATGAAATACCTCCTTTGATAGAATGAGGGATCACAAAACATTTCCTGTGCACAGGTATGAGTAGGAAGGGACACAAAGAACATCATAAACAAATATTGTACCCATGTCACCTTGCTTGGAGCAGCCCTGATTTCCAGGTCCTCATACTGTGATATTAGCAAACAGTTTTACATCTCCAAAAACATACCCTCTCTAGGACCTAGAATCCATTTTATGACTCATAGACCCTGCAGAATCTGATTTAGGGTGTGAATGGGAACCCCACCCCAGGACCTGACTTCTCTCTAAGTGTTCTTAGAGAGAGTTACATGTTTCTATGAAAATCAGTAAAACCGTCTCATTTCCCACTCTCTGCACTTTATCTCATTCTTCTTCCCACCACTTTACGTTCATCTCTTTCCATTTTCTGTTTCCTTTTTCTCTTTTGCTGTTTTTTCTCTCCCCCTGTTTCTCAGTATTTTTTAAATGAACCTGCAAGGGTGTGTTTCAAAATGCATTTGATAGTCTTCACTCAGTTCCCTGCAGGAACACACATCTGACCAGTTTCTTCCTTTGTCTTTCTTCCCCACAGAGGAGACCGTGGAGTCTTATGAGCACTTGGCTCTCAAGGTGTTACACTCTTGGGAGGATATCCCTGAGGTTGGGTGTAGGCTGGTTCCCGAACACATAGAAACGCGGCCACTGTACCACAAGGATAAGCCAGGAATGGAGCAGGTACTGGGCAAGTCAGGTGTGGCCTTCATAGGAATGTTTATCCTCAAGGAACGTGCCTTTGTCCCTAAAAGTTAACCTTGTGTGCTTTGGAGTAATGTCTTCCATCCAAGGATAATTTTGACCTTCTCCCTGGGACATTTAAGAATGTCTGAAAGCAGTTTGAGTTACTAGAAGTGGATGGTGGTACTACTGACCTCTAATTGGTGGGTGGCGCTAAATTAAACATCCTGCAATGCACAGGACAGCTCTACTTACTGTAACAAAAAATTACTAGCCCCAAATGTCAACAATGCCAGAGCCAGGAAACTCTGCCCTGGAGTCAGTGTTGGATTTTGTGCTTTTTACCATTTATAATTTAAATTACAAAACTATTTTGGTAGAACCCTGGCCTGTGAGAAACTTCAAACCCCACCTGACATGCAAGAATTCATGAGATAATATGTGTCAAAGTGCATAGCACTCTATCTTCCACATAGCAGGGACTCAATAAGGATTTGCTCGCCCTTCCCTTGCTCTAATTTGTGCTTCAAGTAATTCTTAAAGATGTAAGTTCTGTCTATGCATGTTATACATGTATAAGTGCACCAAGGTAACCTAACATCATGTCTAGTAAAGAGATCTTTTAAAGCACTGTCCATACTCCCCACTCTCCCCCTAAGCTAAAGGGGGTTCTTTTTTTGTCAACAAGGGTCGCTTGCAGATGTGGGTAGACATGTTTCCCAAGGACATGCCTCCACCTGGACCTCCTGTGGACATTTCGCCAAGGAAACCCAAAGGGTGAGTCTGCTGCACCTCACCACTAGGGAAGAAGTTGCTTGATCTGGTGTCTGGTAAATTGTCTGATAGTCAGATTTCACTTTCCATCTGGCCAGTGACAGCAGCTGGTGGGTGATGACAGTGGTGATGATGGTCCAAGTGGTGGCTTCTGAACTGCAGGATCCTCATGTGAAAAACGCTGGTTAATAATTGAAGGAGGATCTGCTCCAAGTCTTCTGTGCTCTGGAGCCTCCGAGATCTCCAGCTGGGCTCCTTGGTTCTGACGGAATCAAGACCTTGACTGTTTAGATTTATGAACTTGAGAAATGTGAGGAAGCTGGTACACCAAGAGCAATGCATTTTGACTCAGTTTTCAAGGCCATCTACCTAATGTTGCTTTCCTTGACCCCAGGTATGAGTTGAGAGTGACCATCTGGAACACTGAAGATGTCATATTAGAGGATGAGAATATCTTCACAGGCCAAAAATCTAGTGATATTTATGTTAAAGGGTGAGGTCATCAGCAAACTTCCCTCTCCCTCCTTCCGCCTCTGTGCCTTTTTACTCTCCCCACATCTCTACCTCATGGAGGCTACTGCACCCACATCCCCAGATAAGGCCTCTTTCTTTTGTCAAGTTCTTCTCCTATTTGTTCATTTGGCTAAGAATTATTACTTTATGAAAATATTTTTAGTGAGTAAATCTTATTACATAGACATCTTCCAGTTAAATGTTGGATTCCTAAGCTTTTAAGTGAAATTCAAACTAAAATCTACCTTTAACTAAAAATAGTAGAGCAATGTGGTGCTACTGATGAAAAATTGGTTTATCAGATTATGAGGCTAATGCAGAAGCTAAGATTTACATCTTCCTATTTGCTGTGCTACCAATAAAAAAGGTACCAATGTAGGAACCAGGGAATGAAGCATTTGCTATCTCTCTGTTAGATCTTGTCCCTGCTTCCTTTTAACCCCTAGTTAGGAAGGGGGAAGAGGATGTAGCAAGTCAGAAGAAAACTAGACTTAAATCTGTACCTTAGCCAAACTCTTCTCGGAAACAATAAACTCACGGTAGCCTTGTGCTGATAGGTCTTTGCCCCTCCCAAGCAAGAAGCATCCTGTGTTCTGAATGCACACATCCATTCATTTGGCAGTCAAAGCATGTCCACTCGAAGTTTTCATTTTCTCAGGATAAGACTATTGGAATGAGTTATTACAAAGAAGGAGTAATAGATGTAGCAAAATAATATTTTAAAAACAGACTTAAGATCCTCTGAAATTGCTTTCTGATCACCCATTCAGGAAAGATTAATGTGTCCTGCATATGGAATGATCTGAAAGAGTTCAGGCTAAGACTTCCAGAGCCCTAATCCATTAAAATGTGTGGAAATAGACATTTATATTCACTTTTTCCATTCCCTCCCCTCCCACTTGCTTCTCACCCAACTCAGTCTGGCTTCTTCCCCAGCACTCTCCCTAGGCTGGGCTCACTGAGGAGCAGCCCTCTCCACACTGCTGAATCTACCTGGTCCTGCTTGGGTGTTGGTGTGCTCATTAGACTTTACCTTATTGCCCTCTGAGGACTCTCTGCATAGCTGATCTCTCCTTTTGGCAACACACCCTCTGGTTCCCTCCCACACTACCCTTCTTAGTGGTTTGATTAGTGATTTGAAAGCTCGTGTTCTCCCATCTGACTGTTAAGTAGCCCACAGCATTGTTCTAGGCCCTCTTCTCATCTCACATTCCTTATCTCTCTGTTGTCTTCATGTTTATTTAGCTGAATAATTGGGTCCATATCCCAGGGTGGTACCACTCCTCTGTAATGAGAAGGATCTTGCTCTCCCCTTACCTGCCCTGGGGAAGAAGGATTTCAGAAAGCAAGTGCTTTGGGTTATCAATTAGTTTAAATGAAAATGCTTATTTTCTGAATTAATTCACCATGGATTAAGTACTAGGGAAACACATAGGAATGGTGGCTCACTTATGATGGGCGTGGAGGCGGAAGACTGGATAATACTGAAAAGAAAGAACAATGAACCAGGTGTTAGACTGCTTCAGTTTTATAGATATACTGGAGATGCAGAGGGATCAGATTACTTGATCTGTAGGTACACAGGTAGTGGGTAGAACCAGGACTGGAACCCAGGTGGCTACTGGCAGCCTTCCTAACACCATATCACACTGATCTAGGCCTGCCCAACTATCAGGGCCCAGAACCAGAGAAGAAGCCAATTCCATGCCTGACAGCAGAGAGAGAGACCTGACCAATGCAGGCCTGACAGCAGGTCTAAACCAGCCCAGTTTTAGAGGCCTCAAGGTAGTGAGTAATCTGTGTACAAGACATTCTGAGGCAGAGGTGACACCCCTAAGAAAGAAGTCTCTCAGCATAACAGGGTTCTGATTATACCTTTACTTCCTATTTCCTGAATTTTCCATCTTGATTTCCTGGGCTTCAGACCTACTCAAACAATTAAGGACATTTCCCCAGTCTGTTTCAGAATGAGTCTTTTCTCTGGTCCTTATTTCCTCTTTCAAATTAAAATGAGAATTTCTATCTGAATCCAACTGGATAATAATTGAAAAACTGAAACTAGTTAAATCACTCTTGATTATATTGATGTTTGTGTAATGTGTTCTGACTGTTGAAACTTTTTAATCTTTGTTCAGGTGGATAAAGGGTTTGGAAGATGACAAGCAGGAGACAGACGTGCATTACAACTCCCTGACAGGAGAGGGGAACTTCAACTGGCGCTTCCTGTTTCCATTTCAGTATCTTCCTGCTGAGAAGCAAATGGTTATCACTAAGAGGGAGAATATCTTTTCCTTAGAGAAGATGGAGTGTAAGACTCCAGCTGTATTGGTGCTCCAGGTTTGGGATTTTGAAAGGCTGTCCTCTGATGACTTCCTGGGTAAGCCAGTGACCTGGTCAAGCACATATCAAAGTGAAAGGTTCTGTCCCAGCTTTTGGAGAACTGAGTCTGAGTTTGTTACAAGGATAATAATTTCAGTGCTATTTATGACAGGAAAATTAGAAACAGCCAAACAGCCATTGCTAGGGAATTGGCTAAAGAAGCTCTAGTGTATCCATATGGTGGGCACTATGCATTCAAATGGACTTAAGCTTATCTTAGTTTTAAGACATAGTTAAATTTTGAGCTCATTACTGCTCTACTCTATGCCTGTTCTCCTTGTTTGTAGGATCGGGCTGGTGATATTTCATACTTCACAGGGTGCTGGAGCTGTAAATGTGACAATTCAATTAAAGAACAAACCAGACAGCTCCCCCACATAGTAAGAAATCAATTAGTGACAGCCTTTCAGTCATTAAAATACTGGAAAAGTTAATGAATTAGAAAATTATACAGGATGCATTAAGTGAAAAAGAGCGCTGGGAAAATCTCATTTCTGTAAAATGTGTGTGTGTGTGTGTGTGTGTGTGTGTGTGTGTGTAGAGAGAGAGAGAATGAGAGGAAGAGAGAGGTGGGGGCAGAGGGAAGAATAGGGCTAGAAATCATGGCCCACTTTTGGGGGATAGAATTATAGAAATTGTGGAAACATTTTTTATCCTCATTTTTTTTAACTGATGTACATGCTCTAAAATTTCCACAATTAACTAAGAATAGTTTACAATACTTATGGTAATATCTTACTCTGAAAACAAAGAAACATGGTACAGGACTCACTGAGCTTCCCCCTCTGTCCTGGGGAGTAGACACAAGGGCAGAAGGACTTGGTCTCTGACTGAAGGAGTTTAGTGGGCTTTAAGAGGGAGGTGAGGAGATGTGGGGATGGAGGACTCTTATGGGGAGATCATTCCTGAGGCAGGAGAAAACTGAGTGAGGCCCATCACCCCACACAGGGAGCTGAGATGTTGCTTGGCAGTGATGACACTCAAAAATGGAGTCTTAGGGCTGGAGGCATGGCTCCAGTAGTAGAGTGCTTGCCTAGCAGTGGAGAGGCCCTGAGTTCAATCCCCAATACCACAAAAAAAAAAAAAAAAGGTTAAAAACTGAAAGTTATGCATAGCAGCTTTGCCCTGTCTTCTGCTCACATGGTCAATTCTTTGATGTCACCATGCCTGTCTTGGTCATAGATATGCTCCCAATACCTAGCATGTGTTACCTTCATTGCAATACTGACTGAATGACCAATGAGTGAATGGGTGAGTCCAGGTGGTACATGAAAAGCCCTCCATAACTTGTAAGCACTTTCCCATAACTGTTTCGGGCATCTCTTCTCAGGCTCCCTGGAAATGAACCTCAATAGCTTCCCTCGAGCAGCCAAGTCTGCGAAAGCCTGTGATCTCTCCAAGTTTGAAAATGCAAATGAGGAGAACAAGATATCTATATTCCAGCAAAGGCGTGTGCGTGGCTGGTGGCCTTTTGCTAAAAGCAAAGAGCTCACAGTAAGTGACAATGGTAGGAGTGGGGTGGGGAGACAGTCAGGGGACATCATGGTCATTCTGTGAGTCATTTTGTGAACTTCAACTTAAGTGCTTTGAAGTGACGTAGAGCCTTTAGAGCAAAGGTTCCACTGAGAAGCAAGTTTTAAAGCTTTAGAAATGCATTAAGCCTTTTGTATTTCAGCCTACTTGATAGAACAGCTGTCTGTTTTGGGGTGGGTTTTCTTTGTTTTTTTTTTTAATATTTTGGCCTGAACTTATGCCCCGGCATTAATTTTTTTTAACATTGCTTGAAATTATGCATAAAATCCTGACTTATGTACACTTTCAGTATAACTACTTTATCCCTTTACCTTCAAGCATGAGACTCAATTTAAAAATTGATCCATTCTTTAAAAACTTCCTCAACAGGGAAATATCAGGAAGTCACTTCGCCCTTTCCCTGCATTGCCAGGTTGGTCCATGGGTGGCACACATTGTAGGAATTTCTGGCCTCTCACAAATATTGGGAAAAGTGTTTCTTCTTCTGTTTCTTTTAATCCCCTCATTGCTCCCCACCCCACCCCACCCCCGGAGGGGAGTAGGACTGACTTAAGAGATCAGGGAGGTTGTACAAAGACACTGAAGTTGATAGATGGGCTTTTATCTCTGCTGCTAGCTGCTGCCTGTGCCTAAGGGTCCAGTGGTGTACCTCAGTGGGCAAATGGTAGCTGCTGGTCTGACACCCATGGTGTCTAGTTTTATTATCTTCTAGTTTTTCTCTTTTTCCATACTCAATTTAGCCCCTATGATTGATGAGATTGGTGAAGGGATCCAGGCTCCAGACACACTCATTCTTCAGATTCCCTCAAGAACTTCCTGAAGGCTTACTACACGCCACCCTTTGGGATTAGTTGTCGCTCAGGGTATTTTCTAGATGAAAAAGAGAGTGATGTGTATGTCAGGTAGAGGAGCCACAAGGCACCGTGTGGAGGCACGAGGAAGCTCTATCAGCAGGCTCACCAGCCTGAGGTGCCAGTGGCCTCAGAGGATGGGAATGGGGAGGGCCAGTTTCAGAAATCCAGTTCTTGCCTTTTGACATAATTCTGGTTTCTGTCAATTAATAAGCAGTAATTATATACACATGATTACACATATGCATTGTATATTACATAGCACACTCACATACTCAGTCACCTATCACATTTGATAGCCCTTTAGAGTTTACCAAACATTTTCAGATGTCTTCTGTGACCTCATTTCATTCTTGCTGATTTTTCCCATGCCATTTTATTTATTTCTTCATTTCATCCAATAGATATTTTCTGAGTATCTATTTAATGATAGGTCCTGGGAATAAAATAGAATAATACAGACAAAAACTCCACTATTATGAAGCTTATAATCTAAAGTCAACAACACACACATTCACACACATTCACACACACACACACACACACACACACACACACACACACACTGGCATATGTAGCCACCCACCCCAAGACAGAAAACTTAAAACAAGGGCGGGACAGGAGGCAGAATGCTGAATTAGAGCATGTCCTACGCAGAGATTTCCATTGGACATCGTGGTTAGGAGGCCTTTCTGGGGCTGTGGCTATGAAACTAGGCTGAGACCCCAGGCATGAAAAGTAGTGAGCACTGGGGAAAACTTTGAGGGAGAGCATTTCCCACAGAGCAGATCCCACAGGCAAAGGCTCTGGGATGAGAGCAAGTCCCTTGCTCTGAAAAAACTAAAATATGAACGAAAAAACTTCCCAGACCCAGAGCATGGCAAGGGCGCTGTTGGTGAGGTGGTGAGGACAAGGAAGTTAGTCATGCAGGCCTGACGGCCAGGCTGGAGTTCACATTCTCTTCTCCAAGGGAAGCCACTGAGCGCCTCCAGCTGGGAGGTGAGGGGACCTGACTCACATGAATGCCACTGCTGTGTGGACAATGGGTGGGAGAGGATCAAAACTAGAGAAAGAGACAGAGAAGGCTCTGGATGATTAAAAAAAAAAAAAGATCTGACAAAGAAGCCCAGAGAGGAAGATCGTTAAGAAGGACCACTGAGTCACTGAGTCACGCACTCCTGAGTGGTGACACAGAAGTGACAGAGAAGGTAAGGTCATTGGATTCAGCAGCATTGTGGTTCTGTTCACGACAGCATTATTCATAATAGCCTAAAAGTGGAAACAGCCACCTGTCCATCAGCTGATGAATGGATAAATAAATAATGGTGTATTCACACAGTGGAATATTATTCAGCCATAGAAAGGAATGAAGTACTGACATACACCTCGAAAACATTGTGTCAAGTGAAATCTATTCACAAAAGCTCACATAATGTCTGATGCCACTTATATGAAATGACCAGAATAACAATTCATAAAAATACATTAGTGGTTGCCATAGGCTGGGGAGAAGGGAATGGGAGTGACTGGCCCCAGGCAATCAGGTCACAGTGGGTTCAAGGCCAACTTAGGTGCAAAGTCTGGCTCCTTATTTACCAGCTGGGTGGCCTCGGGGAGCTTCATCTCCCTGAGTCATGGCTTCCTTACTTGCAAAAATAAAGAAAATGTATGCCCCTCAGGGAGCTAGTGTGACCCTTAGATGACATGGAACCAGTGGCCTGTGATATACTAACTATTCAACAAATGTCAGACTTTGGCTTGAGCCATTGCTTGGCACCGTTCCTGCTTCCACCTCCTTCTGTCGTTACAGGACAAAGGAAATGCTCCAAACCTGAAACAGCTGACTATCTCAGTCCTAATGGGTTAAGCAAGAGAAGGGGGAGACAGAGCCTCCAATACACTGCTTTAGAACACCTTACAAACAGTGAATTGGCCAAGACGATGTGGTTTCCCAGTCTACTATGAAGAATCTGTTTATTAAGTACAAGGGCTTTTAATTAGACAGATGTTCTTCATTTCTAGTAAGTGTAAAGTTTCTTCTTCTGAGCTATTCATTTGTTTGAATTTGTAGAGAGCCTTCTCTTTGGTAGGGTGTCCTGAGAACGAAGGTAAATAGAATGCAGCCCCTGGCCCAAGAAGTATATTGTTTCATGGGGAGAACAGACCAGAGTCATCTAGCAGTAAGTTTGCAGGGTGGAGAGAGCTCTGACTGGCAATAACAAGTACCATTAAGTGAGCTGACTTTGTCAACCACAGTTCTGAAGGACTGAAAACACAAGTCAGACCAAATACTGCTAATAGTTGGACTCCTGACCTCTGACTCTGACCTCTGCAGCACACCATCTCAGGAAGTCAAACCACAGCTCCTGCCTGCATTGAGCAGTCTCAAATAGCCAGCCTTGGTCAAGGACATCAGTTTCCCTAATCTTTTCCCTGTTCCAAATATGCTCTCCCATGGCTTCCACCATTCCCTAGGCCAGAACCCTCTAATCAGGACAAACCTGAGGCCTTCCCTTGGCTCATTAGGAGGCCTCTCCACCCCCTGTCTGTACCAGAGTCGCTGCCAAACACAAGTGATGGGCGCTGACTCCTTACTGTAGCAAGCTCTGAATAGCTTTTGTTTTTGTTTAAATGGGCTTCATTAATCTCCACAGGTCTTAATGCTTAATGCATACTGACTCATTTATCTGTTAAAGCCTCATGATGTGTGTGTGTGTGTGTGTGTGTGTGTGTGTGTGGTATATTAGCAATCTCTGTTTTACAAAAAAAAAGAAAATTGAGGCATATCTTACCTCATGTAACAAGTAGTCTGGGAAGGACAGGATTCAAACCCATGCTGTATGGTTCTAAGTTAACCACCATGCAATCCTTCCTTTTCTGGCGAAGGACCATAGAAACAGAGGTCATCCAACCTAGTCCCGGGGTCTTCAGCAGTCTTCTCCATGGACGTCTGAGGTGACATCTGCTAGGGAAATAAAATGTAAAACAATATCTTCTTCCAATTCAGAAAACCTCTCCACAAAGGAAGTAGAGGAAAAGCAAAACAATTTTATTACTAAGCAATCATTAATCCAGAGTGTGAGGAACATCACAAGCAACTTGCTGAGCGATGACAGAGATAGAAAGAAACCTACCCGGTTATGTAGCAGTTATAATAATGGCACACCTATTTAAGGTAAATAATAAGCTCAAGTGAGAGAACTTGGTAGCACTATTTGTCACACATAGTTCATTCTGGGTTTACTTGGTAATTGGAGTGACCATCTGTGTTGGCTAATTAGTCTTAGTCAAGAGTGAAAAAAATTGCAAACCTTTATGAGAGGTAGTTTTGCAACTTGGAGCAAGGGACCTGCAGAAGTTAGGCTCAACTCAGAAGTGGAGGTAGGCATGCTCTTTCTCTCTCTCTCTCTTTTTTTTCAAAAACAAGTCTTTTTATTTTTTCTGTTGTGAGACAGGTTCTCACCCTGTAGCCCAGGCTGCCTTATGCCCTTGGGATATTCCTGACTCAGCCTCCAGAATAGCTGGGATTCCAGGCTGGGAAGCTAATTCCCTTGATGTCTGCATTTCACAGAGACCATTTCTGTGTCCTTCCTCATAAAGGCAAAAGTCTATCCAGTTTTCAAGATGATTTATATACATTTCAAAGAGAAGAGAAAGAACTTGTAATTACAACTCTTCTAAAGTAAAGCTCTAAGAAAAAGGAAAAGAGCACAGATCTCGTCTCTTATTTTCAACAGAGAGAGTTAAGCCTCTTTTTAATTTGTATCTGCTCTTACACATCCAAAGAAGAACAGAACGGATTCCATCCTCCCCACACAGTAGCTGTAGTCAGAGCCTCCACTGATCCCAGCAGGAAACCAGGTTGTGAAAGCCAAACTGTGGCCTGCAGAAGGGGCGTGAGCCAAGGCCCTTCCTTGTGCTCTATCCACACTGGGAAACTCAGCCACCAGCAACTTTCTCCTCATGTGCTAGCAAGGTGGATGGTCCCAAAGCAAAATGTTCTTCCTGCCTTAACTCCTGTTCTCTAAGTGGAATGGGTTGGACTGGGAGTCTCACTAATTCCATCTCTGCACCGCCCCTTCCCCCATGCTTTGAAGCATTTAGAATGTC